CCCTGAACAGAGGCACATTCTCCCTTACTTCATCTTGCAGCTTGTCAATATCGCTTTCGCGAACAAAGAACGGCTTTGAGACTGTCATTGGATGCTCACTGGTTGAGGAAGAGCATGGCAACCACACAAAGGCCTTGCCTTTGCTCACCTGTTCGCCGATTGAGTGCCCATGGGCTTTGCTCTAACAAATAACACTCAGTGACCAGTTGCAAAGCTGACTGGATTGTCCGTCTCTCTGACAACATCTGTGGGTACATGCTTGATGCATCCAATAGTTCTACCGGCACCAGTGTCCCCTAGCCATGTCACAGTACCAGTCGATCCCTGGTTGGCATCAAATACCGAAAAGGGAACTGCATCGGAGCTTGGCTCCTCAAGCTGACTGGCATCGACCAGAGGGTGTGGCATGGTGGGCACGCAGTCGCTTGGCAACGTAAGTCCTGAACTTGAACTCACACCATTGCGAACATGGAGTGGCTCAGGCTCGTGCAGCAAACCACCTGACGACAACAGTGACGTCGCAGCTGCAAATGCTTGGAAAAACCTTGGGAATAACCTAGCACTGGCCTTGGGCAAACTGGCAGCTACGTCGATGGTGCGCTAGCTTTTGGCTTCGCCTTTGCTTTTGGCGCGCTGGCTGCATCATGCACATACGGGCATGGGTCCCGCCTGCATGTCCCTGAAGGATAAAACAAACATGGATATCCCTTTTCACCAGCAACAATTTTTGGGTTATTGGATTTCTCCTTTCCCTTTGAGTCAGACTTAGGCTTGGCCTTTGGGTCTGCTTTCCCCTTTGCTTCCCGCTGTCTTTCTCCTTCTTATCCTTGTCCTTTTTGTCCTTTTTGTCTTTTTCTTTCTTATCTTTCTTTTCCTTTGGATTTGCGTTGTATGGGGCTGCATCTACTTTTGCACGCAATGTTGACAGCACAGAAGTTGTATTCTGGTCATGTTGAGCTTCATCGATTACATCAGACATGGACTGCCACAAAAACTGAAACGACCTCTCAAATGACCCTACCTGAGCATCCCGGTATTTGTCAATTCGCAAATTGAGTTTGGGAATATTCTTTAGGCAATCATAAATCCAAGTTGGCAGAATGGGTTCAGCTGGGTATTCGGATGTTTCAAGGCTACTCAGAATGAATTCAACCCTGTCCCTGAAAATCTCTAAGTCTCTTACCTCAGACCCCTGCGGCTTCAAGGAAATAAGATGCTGTTGCGAAAGCGACATGCCCTTCTCTTTGTCTAACCGAAAACGTTTGCAAATCTTGGCGACAGACAGAATGCCTGGTGCCTGCATACCGGACCGGATGATTCGTTCCTGGAGGGTTTGGAAATCAATGGCAAACCTACTACCCTTGGCGGATTCCAAAATCTTGGCCCCTAGAACACGATTGAGAACTGGGAACTCTGATGATGAAACTTTTTCCCCATCCAAAGGTTTCGCCAACCATGCCAACAATTCCCTCTCCGAAGAGCAAAAACAGGAAGTTAGTTGGGAAATGAAAGTGTTCTTCCACGTGCGAAGTTCTGCAGCTGATTTAGGAATTGAGGGAATCTTCAACTTGTCATAAGCTTTGATTCTCATGTATTGGATTCTTGTTTGTATTCATCATGGTTTGAACTCTGGGAATCGGAATCTGAAGATGAAGAATCTTCCTTGCTTTTCTTCCTGGAACGGCTTTTCATGTCATGACTAAGGCTTTGAACCTGTTCCTGCAATGCCGCAATCACCTCGTCATAAGAGTTGGGTGGATTTGGCATTTCCAGCTTTGGGGCTTCAGCAGCTTGTGTACCCAAAAACAAATCCCTAAACTTTGGGGTTTCATCTAATACTACACCCATATCTGGAGGCGCGCGGACGCAGCACTCCTGAGATATTTGGGGTTCGTTTACGCCTACACCCGTGTAAGGAGGCGCCCGGACGCAGCACTCCTGACGCTCCAACTCAGGTTCAATGCCCAATGCCTCACGCAGGCTGTCTCGCTCAACTTTGAGAGCTTCAAAATCCTTTGACATCTTTGTGTGCCCTTCCAAAACTTCAATCTTTTGTTCGTGGGATTGCCTGAGATCTTTGATTTCAGCGGCATGTCGAATTTGGAAATTCCGAATGGCATGCTCATGTTGGGCTTTCATGTTGCTAACCAAATGGTCATACTTGGATGCCATCTGCTGATATTGCAGCTTCATGTCATGCATAGCCTTATCAACAAGAGCCTGTGCGCTACCCCTAGATTCCATGATGACTTGTTGGTGTCTAGCTTGGGCTTGACCGACCTCACTCTGAAGGATTTCATTGTGCCTAGCTTGGGCTAACCTCGTTTCATCTTGAAGAATGTCCCTGCGTCGTGATTCTGCAAAAGCAACTTCATCCCTCAAAATTTGGTGGTGCCTGGCCCCAGCAACTTCTTTTAGGGAATCAATCGTGGACTGGTGAACTGCAGGGTCAACAAACTCTTGGTTGTGAATTTGGATACGGGGCCCATTATCATCACTAACACCTATCCCCCTAACCCTCTGTCTCATTATGTCTACAACCCCTGATGTGGATGGATGAACCCTTGGGCTTCTTTCACGACCACTTGGGGCAACAGGACCGGGGGATGGCTGGGACGTGCTTTGTGATGAAGTGTCAGTGTTGGCAATTTCAACTGGCATGGTGTTTACTAGACCACTTTGGCTAGACGATGCACTCACAATGGGAACATCAGGCATTTCGGATACTATCCCTTGCACCCACTATTTACTTCTACTGGATCCCTCAGTGGCGCGTTAAACGCAGCGCACTTTTCAACCCAATCGAGCTCGATACAGGCCTAGCTTGCAGATGTTCCTCCCACAGCTGAGAGATGTAGGTCAGGGCCTCGTCAGAATGAGTATGGAGACCAAAGTCTCTTGTCACCTGAACAGCCCTTACACCTTTCCGCTGGAATGCAGTGATCAACTGCTGCTGATCGTCGAAAGCTACAATGCAATCCAAACAACGTGCGAGCCTGGCCTTCGATTCACAGTCGAACACAATGAAGAGGATTGGTATCAACGAAAGGAGGCTTGCTTCTGACAATGCCCTGCAATAATCCTGGTGATTGTTCTTCCCAATGAAAGAAATTGCACAAAAGTTAAACCCACGAAACGACAGATTCTGCAAGAGTTCTGCAGTCTTTCTGTGGGTCACCTGCAATTCACCACGGAGTCGGGCAAGGCAGATTTGCTGCTGGCTCCTGTCAGCTAATCTCTGAGGAAAGACCAAGGTTTTGAAGATGTCGAATGCCACGCAAGGCTTCAGGCCTTCTGCTAGCAAATCGAAATCTTGTGGACCAGATCCCTCAAGACCAGAAAATGCGAGCTCGTTCACGAGACAGCCACCTGGAATGGATTCTGGCAAATCGAAAACCCGCTCCCTCACACTGCTGGCAGTCTCAGCCTGCTGCCTCACCAATCGCAGATCCGGCACGTAGAAAACTTGCACGGGTTCGTCTGGCGACTCGTCTTCTGATTCAATGATGTGGGTTAGATCAACAATGTTGACTGTTCCCGGGCCCTGTGAGCTAGAGCTTGCTGAAGATGAGTGCCGCCCGTCTGATGGACTTACTTTCGGTTTTTCTGCGCCTTTAGCCTTTAATGGCAAGGTTCGGGCGTGCGCTGGTCCACTTGAAGGATGGGAACTGCTCGGATTGTCCAACTGTGTTGACTCGGCAACGTTCCACCAAACTCCAAAGAAAGATGCGATCCACCCCCACCACTGGTGCTCCAGCGCCAACCGAATCTCCCTTATGATCTTTCTCTTGGCAGAAGTTCCTCCACGCGGAGCTCCAGGTGTGCGCGGCGTGGTGCCAAAGTTCCCAGACTATGGCGCCGGTGAAGGGAGATAGGAAATATGCAAAGTATGTGTGAAAGTGAAAGTGGAAGTAGGTATAAACCCAATATGAGCCTACGGCTGGTAACCCAATGATTTAGGCAATAAAGGTAAAACAGGTGGCCAGTAAGACAAGCTGCGGGGGCACCCTTTTACCTGAAACCTTGGGCCAAAATGGTCATTGAATGCTGAACTTTACAACCAGATGGCGGGAAGGGAGTTTAGTGGGCATTTGTCCCAATTATTTCTTCTATGATGATGATGCTGATGCTGATGCTGATGATGATGATGATGATGGTGATGGTGGTGATGGTGATGGTGATGATGCTGATGACGATGATGATGTTGATGATGATGTTGTTGTTGTAACATTCAACGCACAGGTAGCTAAGCTATGCGTTGCAAGATGAAAGCCGTGATCATGTACATGTGCATTTTGTCCCACAAAACACAGTGTTTTTTGATGTTCGGACATGTTGTCGGCGTCGGCGCGGGCAAACTGAGGGGTTTGCCCGTATTGTGATTATTATTATATATACTGTTATTATGATTTTTTATAATTATCATATTATATGTTATTATAATATGTATATTATTATACATATTATATTACTATTATCGTTATTATTATCATCATTTTCATATGTTATTATTGTTATCATTGTTATTTTATATTACTATCAATTATTATGTAATATTATATATTATTATTAATTATTAAATATAAATTTATATCACAATAATAATTATTATTACTGCTACTATTATTATTACTGTTATCACTACTACTATTATTATTCCTATTATTACTATTGTAGTATGTGCACATACTATGTGTTTAGGTCATAATTCTCGATTCTCTTGATAGTTGAGCTGCCTACATGTGCTCCATGATGCAAGCAATTTCAGCCAGCACTAAAATTGCACTCTGGGAGTGCTCTGTGGGAAAGTGGGCAATCTCTGTACCACAATCTGGGTAAGTAGCTACACTGCACCTATCTACAACATATATCAACATACTAGAACGTCTACAAAGCACACAAAGAGCGCGGCCTTGAACCTATGTGTCACCGTTTGAGTCGAGACATGACGAAAGCAAACTGTTTACTTTGAAACCCTGTCACTCATTGTTCCAAGTTGCGTCCCTCTGCAGGGAAGCTCATGTCTGGATGCACATTGAAGCCCGGACCCATCAGCTTCAATACACCTCGCAAAGTTCCAACAATCGCTGGCCAAACGGAGTTTGAAAAGAGTTTTCTCTCTAAGGTCCTAAGGAAAAACCCTTTTTCATTGTTCTACTTGGTAGCGTGAAGGCTATGGACATGGGAATACAACTATGATCCAATATGAATGAAATTCCATGGAATTCTCCTTCCCTGCGCGGGTTTTAGGCGACACTGACTTGGCTGATCTTTTGCAGAGTGCCAGCATGATCTGCTTGGTATTCCACTCTGACGATTGCAAACTTCTAGACTTTTGGAGCTGACTTTGTGTGCCTATACTCTGTTTGCGGTTTTGCCCCATGGCTCCCTGGCTCTTGCAGCATCGCACCCTCCACCTGCATCTGCACCCCCCACCTGCATCTGCACCCCAAAGGTTCAATCGGCGCAGTGACGCGTCACAACCCAAAGCGTCTTTTGCCCAAGCGCTGTCAATTGGAACGCATCCTGCGGGACAACAGAATGCGAGGAGACAGAACAACTAGCAGACCAAAATAACAGGAAACTTCAGAGGGGCATTCACAGTGACAGATCTCTCACTTAAAGCTGCAACAATTTTTGGAAACCAGGTTTTGTCAGGACAGAACATCATGGCAATCGCGGTGACTAATCCAGAGGTGACGGCAAACAAAGCAGGTCACCGATGATTAGTCTAGCTTCTCTTGAGCGCCTCCACTTTCTTCCCTGAAGCCCTTCACAATATATTCACTCTAATGCTCATGAGTAGTTGTATCAACCTTATCAATGACTACAGCACATAGCATACAATAGAGTTTTCTTTTGGGCAGCAACTTCAATTGTCAAGCAATGCCAATCGTCCATTATGTTTGTATTGTGCGGTGTTCTCAAGTTACCAATACCGCCATCAGACACATCAGTCAGTCAAATCAACTGCTAGTTACTTTGCTTTATGGCTTGCTCGAAGACCGAATCGTGCTAAAGCTCTGCTGTTACAGCGAGGCAACCACAACATCAGTACGGGCGTCCAAAAGGATTGGTGGATTCTGGAAGCAATACTCAGAGTACCATGGGCCGAACCTGGATATGAAAGCCTTTCCTCTCCTTTCGTCACTCTTCACCTTTGAACATTCAAGAATTGTCCTGCTTCCGCAAAGCCGTTGAGGTGTGAACTGACAATGCTGCGGAAGCCGCCAAGTGAGCTGTCCTGCAAACGCGTTGTGAGGCACCCAGACAAGCGCCTGGAATTCAGCATGATTCATGTTTGGAATTCATAAGAAAGAACAATCGTTTTCTTGTGAAAAATGATCCCTGAGGGATATTGAGAGATCAAAGAAGATTTTGCTGGGTCCTTCGTGACAAACACTGGGAGCACTGCAGCTTCTCCGACCCCTGAGTTTGCTCCAAAGGCAAGGCGTGGTTGCTGGGCCCGCATGCCGGAGAAGTCAACGTTTTCAAGAAGGTATTGCCTTAGATTCTCCAGGTCATTTCGTTGGACTTTTCGACTGGTTGTTCAGATATGTTCATCATTCGGAAGTGCTTGGCAAACTCTGTTTTGGCTAGCTCAACACTCAGCTTACACCAGTTTCATCATACTTGTTGCATTGAAAGAAAGATCTTCTTCACGCAAGATCAGTGCCTGCCTACCTTGGAGTTTTGCAAGGAACTCAGGATGCACTCTTTACTTTGCCAATAGACGAAGGTCCGAAGCTCTTGAAAATTTGCTGAAGCTATCTGAAGCTCCTGCTGTATCTTGCAGTGTGTTTCTTCTTGCCTCAGGATGCTTCAGCCGAGTGACACGTTGCAGGGCCCAGCACCACCTCGCAAACCGCAGTGCTGCCCGGCAGCAAGCGCTGCTATCCCCGGTGGGCTGCTGCCTTTCTGCGGCATCCGCAGTTGGCCACACTTTTTCTGTTCTATATCAGTGTTCTTATTAGTTTAAGCATGTCTGCGAGGAAAAATATCCGCCTCATTTGATTTACACTTTTAAGCCACAATCTTGCTGATCAATGAAAGCATGTCCACCAAGACTGCAAAGCCACGGGAGCTTGAGCGCAGTTTGAAAAGGTGCTAAGCTTTGACATTCCATCACCAAGTTTTGCCAGGTTTACTACGCTTTCCAATATTCTTTCCAATGTCTTGCACCAAGTCTTGCATGCCACATGCGTTTCAAACCTGTTCTGTTTGAAGTGTCAGGCAAAGCAACAGCTGCCGCCTATAAAGACACAGTTCTTCATGCCGAATGCAAAAGGGCCGGAGGGGCCCAGGAATTGAAGAACACCATAACCTCAGATCATCTCAGATCCGGAACTCAAACAGCTAATGTGAACTCTGAGAACTCCAATGAAGTCGTTGGCACAATCCAAGATGAATATGATGAAGACAAGTCTATACAAGTCCATTCACATGATCATCTACCTTCATATGGGGGTTGTCCAAAATACCTTTTCCCGGACAGCCCTCAATCGCTCAGCCAATCGCGTAGCAACCGCGGTACCACAGTGAGCAATCGCGGAAGGGTTTGTTCTTCGTTGATCAGATCATAGACATAAAATATCATAAAATATAAATTATGTATTATATAATGAATCGTGACAAAAATCTTATGCTAATTCTTTGTAATATCATTGCTTTTCTGCTGAATTTGAAACAACTGCTACTGCTACTGCTACTGCTAGTGCTGCTGGTACTATTGTGAGTTTTCCGGACCGTTTCCGGACCGCACAAGCTTATTTTGCTCCCAAATTTGAAATCGAATGCGTTCACGCATGGATCCTTACTCTCATTATAAGACTTGCTACTACTCTTAGTACTACCTACGTATTCTTGGGGGGAGCGATCCAGGGCCCTGCGCGACTTAATGCATACCCCTAAAGGAATGCGTCGAAAACAGAACGGGGCTGGTGATCGGTAAGGAGGATGGTACGATACCCGAAGCTATTACAATATATATAGTGGCATTATACTGGCAGTCTCCACTATTACATTTCGAAAGTTCTGCCTTTGTTTTTTTTTCCAAATGACAAAGGTCCCACTGAGGGGTCAGAAATCAGTCAGAAACCAGTCAGAAACCGGCCAAACGCAACCTCTCTCTCTCTCCCTTGCCTATTCCCCCACCCTCTTACCAGAACTCCTACGCCTACCCCTATTCCAATTTCCACTACCACTACTGCTACTGCTACTGCTAGTGCTGCTGGTACTACTGTGAGTTTTCCGGACCGTTTCCGGACCGCACAAGTTTATTTTGCTCCCAAATTTGAAATCGAATGCGTTCATGCATGGATCCTTACTCTCATTACTAGACTTGCTACTACTCTTAGTAACTAGTACTACCACCACACCCGCTGCTACTGCACCACCACTACCACTAGTACACCTAGGAATTTCTGCCTTTGCTTTTAAATCCAATTGACACGAGTCCCGCTGAAGGGTCAGAAACCAGTCAGAAACCAGTCAGAAACCCGTCAGAAACCGGCCAAACGCAACCATCTGTTCCCCTCCCTCCCTCCCTCTCTCTCTCTCTCTTTCTCTCTTTCCCTCCCTCTCCCTTTCTTCCCTTGCCCTGCTACTAGAACTCCTACTCCGATTCCTACTCCTACTCCTACCCCTACCCCTACTACTACTACTACTCCTACTCCTACTCCTCCTACTCCTCCTACTCCTGCTACTCCTGCTACTCCTGCTACTCCTGCTACTCCTGCTACTGCTGCTACTACTACTACTACTGCTACTGCTACTACTACTACTACTACTACTCCTACTCCTACTCCCTACTCCTACTCCTAGTACTGGTATTACTGTGAGTTTTCCGGAGCGTTTCCGGCAATTTTCTTTTCTTCTCAAATATGAAAACGAATGCGTTCATGGGCAGATCCTTCTACTAGTGCTGCTACTACTCTCAGTATTACCACTAGCGCCGCTACCACTGCAACGCCACTACCACTACTACACCGAGGAATTTTTGCCTTTGCTTTTCTCCACTTGACAAAAGTTCCACGGAAGGGTCAGAAATCAGTCAGAAACCAGTCAGAAACCTGTCAGAAACCGGCCAAGCGCGAGTATATACACCTATGACTAACCTATGACTAATTTGGATGAAAGTGTATGGTGGAGCTATACAAAACTCAAACTAGAAAGGAATATATGATTTCGGACCGTTTCCGGACCGCGCGCACTCTGGTTGTCGGCACAACCTGTATACACCTATGGCTAATTTGGATGAAAGTGTATGGTGGAGCATACAACACTCAAACTATAACAGTAATACTAGTAGCAATATCGAAGTAGATTGGCGCGCCGGGCGCCCGGCGCCGGGCGCCCGGCGCCGGGCGCCCGGCGCGCAGATAGGATAATATTATAGTAGTAGTAGTAGTAATAGTAGTAGTAGTAGCAGTAGTAGTAGTAGTAGAAGTAGAAGTAGTAGTAGTAGTAGTAGCAGCAGCAGTAGTAGTAGTAGTCGTACTCGTACTAGTAGTAGTAGTAGTACTACTACTACTACTACTAGTAGTACTACTAGTAGTAGTACTAGTAGTAGTACTAGTAGTAGTACTAGTATAGTACTAGTAGTAGTACTAGTAGTAGTAGTAGTAATAGGGTGGTAGCCGTATAACCAATCGCCAACCAATCGCTCAGCCTATCGCGATGCAGGTTTTAGCAATCGCGCAAAACAAAGTAAACGCATCAATTCATAAATTTGTGACCTGCTTTTACGGACGGCTCCCATATGTACCTCACGTACCTTATGAATGGCATGTAAACATGTGTAACAAATATGACATTTCGTGATATTTCGTGATATTTCATGCTGGTCTAGATGCATGGTCTGAGCATGTCTGAACCCCGGAGAACCTCGCACCTGCAAGGAGTCCAAAGTTTACTGTGCCAATCTCTGCCATCGAGCGTCTGTCACTGGGATCGTTGGCAAAGACAGAGTCGAGCATGTGCCAAGGACGGCCATCCACAAAATCCTTCCCCTGCTTCCAGTACATGGAATGGCCATTGTTGACCTCACAAACATGGAACATCATGGAACATAGTGAACATAAGGCAATCAAAAGCCTGGGCAGAGAGACTTGCGCCCATGGCTACAGGAAAAACACGCTGAAGAGAAAATAACACACTTAACGATTAACAATACTTAACAAGGATTAGCTGACGCTGGTGTAGTTGATGAACTGGATGTCACCAATGGCATACTGGCCGACATACGTGTTGTGCCAGTTGACTTCATCACGAACTTCGTTCACAACACCGTTGTCGGCACCATCTGCTGTGAACCACTCGCAGCTGTCTTTGTCGAGAAGAAAACCATCTTCATCGACTTTGACGTTGCGTGGGTATTGATGATCTAAGTACAACCCAAATCTGTTGCAATCATGGCAAGTGTTGCCACGCCACTCACCAAAAGGATAGAACTGCGGACAGACTTTGCCAAAAGCTTTGCCATGTCCAGACCCACGAAAGGATCCCGGGGTCCAAATTCCGTTCTCATACCCCACGATACGGTTTTCCAGAATGTTGTTGCTCATGCCGATCATGAAAATCCCAGCAGTTTGCGAAGCAGCACCACTCACCCAATTGACTTTACATTTGTTCAAGATTGAACAAATCATGACATTTTGGTTCAGCGTGTTGCGTAGTTCATTTCCGTCTTCAATGTACAAACCGTTGGCCTTGGCATCCCAGACCACATTTTGGTCCACCACAGCATCGTGGGTCCCATGCACTGTAATGCCAATATGTTCTCCATCCACAACAGCATTGCCTTGGAAGACACAACGAGGGCATTTCTTCAACAAATGAAAGTGGAGACAGTAGCGTCCCATCACTGGACGTTGGCCACAAAACTCCACTCGAGCATAACGCATGTCCATATAGCCGGGACCATTTGCCTGTATAGTGTGCAATCCTTCACCGGTGCTTTGAATGTCCTGGTATGATCTGGTATGCACGGCAAAAAGACATAAGATATGACTGTGGACCGTGTGGACCATACAACAGTTTGCAGCATGTTGGCCAGCATGTTGCAACCAAACAATAAAGCCACAAACTGGTTGTGGATCCAAATGGGTGGAAACATGCTCAAATTTTCCAGCATTCAGTGCAACATCACATTTTGCTATATGTGGGTGATGGATGGTGAGGTTTGGTTTCAGGTTCCATTGTCTTTCGATGGGGGTCAGATTATGTTTGCAACATAAACTAGAAAGGCAATCCCCTGGCACCCATAGTTCCCCTTTCTTTGTGAGAACTCAGATTACAACAGATTTTGTGCAGAGTTTTGCTCCTGATGGTCTCCAGTAATGAGAACCGATCGCTCCAAATTCACCACTTCTGCCGCCAACTCGAAGCGACGCTGAGCTCCGAATTCGCCAATTTCTCGATATCCTCCCCAATGTTCATCTCCTGAGCTCAGTCGGCGCAGTCATATCTTTGCTCACCAAACATGGACACAACATGACACAACATGACACAACCACCTACGAGTACTCTCCGGAACCATGGGTGCTGGAGCTCGATCCACATATTGTATCATATTGTCCATTTGCCTACTTGTATCTACTTGTGAGGTTTTTCTTGTTGAAGGCCAAATAGTTCACTCTAACAACCTGGTGCCTCCCAGATTCTGGCAGGTTCTGCAACTGTCAGCTGCTTACCAGAGATCTGAGTAATACGGTGCACCGTAGAGTCACCTCTGCTGGTAGTTGCTAGCCCAATCCTGGTGACAAAGCAGCCCTCAAAACAAGTGGAAGCGATTGCGCCAGTTTTCCCATATTCTCAAGCTTCAGTTCAAGAGTCAATGCCACAAACATCGTGTGTTGACAAAGCTTTGTTACATTTTGTTACATTTTGTTACACCAAAGGTCACTGTCAACAGTGTCATTGTCGTTTCCCCATGTTTCCCCGTCCTGTCACCAACCTGCCAGCCCATGGCAATGGGATCATGCTTCAAATGAAGCGTGGTCTCTCCGGCCATCACCGTCTTGCTGAGAAGCGTCCATGTCCGCTGCAATTTGCGTCCATGGATGTCAATCCTGGCAATACAACAATGGCAACATTCTGTATGTCAAGGTCAACAAACAAAACTCCGAGGTAGGGAATATCAAGGATACACTTCCAAGTGCTTTGCCTCATGCTTTATTGCGTTCTATTGCTAGTTGTGGCTTTGGGAAGCAGTTCGTGTCACTTGCCAACATGTCAAATTGCAGATCGAATACCCAAAGATAGCAAGTGTCAGACCAGATACGAAAATATTTTATCTTGCGGCATCAGGAACATCTAAGCTGAAGAGAAATCAAAAAACACCCATGTTCAACATGTTCTGATTGGCACCTGGTTGCACTCATATCAAAAGGTCGAGCAAATTAATTACATTAGTTGTATAATATATAATATATAATAACAAGTGTGTATATAATGTTATATGTAATTAAATATACACATATATAATATAATACAATCGCGTGTGCCATGTAATTGTATGTAGAAGTCCATACAGCAGCAGCATCATGAAGTTCTCTGTTTCTCTTGTTTCAGCTTAGCTTCTGTCCAGTACCACGACCTCCAAGAAATCGTCGTCCAAGCTCTGGGTCACTATGTATCCCCTTAGTGATGTACACAGTAGCAGCCAAATTCATCGGAGAATCTACAGTGCCCAGGATAAAGTGACCACCATCCTCCACCAAAATGTAATTGGCACGCAGCTCCAAGTTGTCTTTGCTCCGATCCCACTCCAGCGTGCCATAAATGGTCAGGGTCTCCACTTGCCAGGAGGTGTCCAAAAGCAACCTCTCCCCTGCAGGAATCACACATTCCCCTTGGCAGAGGCTGGTGGAGTCAGAAAGTCGAACCAGCTGCGACTTCTGAAACTTCTGAAACTTTGAAGTTTTGGCTGCAACTGAAGCTTCTGAAACTTCTACCCGGCGCTGGAGCAGGTCTGCTCCCTGCGACCGTGGGCGAAGTGGGCAAATCGATCCTCCGGCAGATCGGCAAACAGTGTCGCCGTCGACCATGGATTCGTTTCCACTGGCTACACCGAAGTGCACACCATGCAGAATCCACAAACAGCACAGATACCAAAGTGCCGGAATCATAGCACCGCACGGGCTGCACAAGCTGTGAGGGCTAAATTTGGAGACTTGGAGCGGCTGCACACTTCCTCCAGCAATTGAAGGAATTCTGAAATCAATTGAAACAATGTGACCAAAGGCAGACATGCTCGAGAGTTTCGGTGTTTTACAAGTTAGCAGATTAGCAGTGAGTGAAAAGATTGTGCTGTGCCTATGAAGTCCTTGGGACCGAACTGACTTTTCTACTCTGAGTCAAGCTGGGTTCAGAATGACTTCAGGATGAGTCATATATATAGGCGATACTAGATGATACTATTGCAATCTGTAAATCGCAATGAGTTGTCCACCATGACCATGTCTGATGGCTTGAGAAGAGGGCTGCACCAAGCTTTTTGCAAACGAGGCCATCTCCTGTAAAGCTTCGAGTTCTCCCTGGTTTGAGAGTCTGATGGTCATTGCATCATGAAGCATGCAGAGTAATTACTCAAAGTCGGTCAGGATTAGCCTTGGGGCGGAACGTAACAAAGACATCAATTGTAGCCCCAACTCATCCGAAATCATCACAAGTCGATTGACACCGATGTCGCTCGGTTTTGTCTCGAATCTTCAATCAAAATGTTTCAAGTAGTCAATGATGGTCAATGAGGTGTCAAGTCGCCACAAGGGAGAGGCATCGCCAGATCTCCAAAGTCTTGAGGACCAACCTTTTCCAAGTTACGCGATGACCTTAGCTTGGACAGGTTGCTTTGAGATTCTGAACTTATTGCATCTTATTGCTCACATTTTGCCCTGCGAGAGTTCTTTGAGGATTCTGCGGTGCCGCAGGTTGAAAGGGCATAATTTTCCATATGGCCCTCAAGAAGTGGAATTGCAAAGCACCCAAAGACCTTGGCCGCAGGTCTTGAAACCCAAAGCAGTGGCTGATTCCATCACACTTGACTTGTGATACGTGTGCTACTGTTACTGTGCTTGATTCTTGCAGCCTCAAATGTTTGCTGGGGAACCTGCAGAGGTTCAGTATATAATCAGTTTCTGTCTCTTGCCTCTTCCTCCAACACCTGCCAGTTGCCATCAGTTGCCAAGGATTCAATAAATTTCAGTCTGTGATTAACTCTCTAGTTCAAACATGTCTAAACACTCGAACTTCAGGCAGAAATGGCCAGAATCGCCTCATGCGCCCATCACTCGTGACGCGGAGACAATCTTCGATATTCACCACGCTGAGGGGTTGAGATCGCCGAAGTATGCTAAGGTTCTCAGGCTGGATGTGAGGCGGTGAGGTCATCCGTGAGTCTCACATTTGATGCTGAAATATCATGAAATATCTGAAATCGCTTTTTTCATTTACCTCTTGCAACTCTCAAGGGCACCAAGGACAGCTTCCAGGTCTGGCGCCAAGGGATCTGTCACCTGTCACGGGCCGCTAGACTGTCAACTTCAAGACTGCCATGTCTCAAATGCTCACAAAACAAAAAATTAAGTAAAGCAGTAAATGAATGTAAATGAAGTAAAGAAAATGACGAGGTGGGCAAAGTGAAGCAGACAAAAGATGACAAAAGCAAATATATCGCATATGCCGCGAGACTCGGATCACTCAGACACTTGGTACCTCGTGCTCTTGCAAAATCAAGCGGTGCCTGGCCGTGGCAGATCTTTGATCAGTTCGCCTCCTCGCCCTGATCTTCTTGTGATTCATGTGATGATGGGCATACGATGGCATAGGCATGTGACGGCATGTGTATGTTTGTTCACAGAGGGCGCACCTGTGCAAGAAATGCCTCGGGCACCAAGACTTATCTTCCTGTGGCCATGCACAAAACTTCAGCACTGGCAATTCAAACAGTTGGCAGCCATAGCTATGTTTGCATGTATCGAAACGTATTTCTATTTTCACCTCTTTAAGACACTTAAACAATCTTAAACCCACTCTACCCTTGATCTAGTTTGACCTAGTGACCCTCCGGATCTCCATCGCCCTCCCTTCTCTTTCCTTAAAGGTCGTCGCCGAGCAGTACTTGGCATCGCATACTGTTGGATGTCCAATATGAGCTGTGTGCAGCCTGATCCTTAGTCTGTCAACAGCTTCCTTCCATACAGAGAAATCTAGCCTGCGGTGAAATGTGAAAAAAAAACAGCCAGCTTCTGTTTTTCTTTGCCAGTCGTGATTTTTTGTAAAACATATGTCTGGACGTATGTTTCCTTCGGCATCTGGATTCCGTTCGGACACGGGCAATGATTTCTTGTTTCCAGGCTGAGGCATTGTCTGGTGCATTCGCCCAGTCCCAATGCGAATTGCCAACAAACAAAGTCTGCGACTGCTTCTCCTTCCAAGACGTGAATTTTGCACTTTCTCTATTTCTTTAAAAGTTGCAGTTGATCGGTTGGAACCGCATCATCGTTTTCAACACGTTTCAAACATCATACCGACGCCAATACACATTAATCAACACAAATAGAGATCTATCACAATAAAATACGTTGCATAATGAATCTTCCGTGCAGACTACAGAGAATTGCCTTGTAACTCCACGTTGACTGCATGTGACCAAGTTCTGCACAGTGAATCTGATCACACCTGTAGAGTTCAGCCACCGTGAGCTTTGTCCGCGCCACACGACCTGCCCGTGAGACCGCACTGGGAGCTCGCCTGCAAACGCAAAGCAAACACAAAGCAAAAGCGAAAGTTTTTTTGATGGTTTCACCATGCATCAGTACGTCTCAATCGGACTAACTCGATAGACTTTTCTCTGGAAACAAGTGGTGGTCATTGTGACGAAAGACCCAAACCACAATACAAGCCCAAACTGAGCTCAAATAAACTTGAGCACAATTGAGCATGATGTCCAATGGATGTCCAATGGTACAATATATGTGTCATCAGTGAGCTGAATCAGCTGTGATTCATCGCAGTGGTCATTGGTATTCTCAAGCTGCCTGCCATCAGGCCACCAGTGCACGCGGGCTGTAACCTCCGTCAGCGAAAGCAGCTCCTCTGTCGTCCTTCCATGTCCTTCTACGTTTCAAATCATAGACTAATCATAGATATCATAGATATTATCAATAATGAAAAAAACATGATAATATCATAATCATATTCACAATACAAGTCATAGTCATACATAGCCATAACAAGCAAATCTCCATGCAGTCTACACAACTATGTTCTTCGTGCCGACCGTGCAAATCAGAACACGTTTATTGTTTGTACATCACCAGTCCCAAAGGCAGGATGGCTGCACGGCCCACCAAGTCACCTGTCTTTCGCGATTCAACCAACCGTGACTCAGAGCCGTATAGTCTCTCACAATCTCTCCAGCGGCAGCCTGAAGAGGTGCGTTTGACACCATGAAATCATGGAACAACTTGGGAACAACTTTGGTCTTATGATGAAATGTGAAAACTGATCAAACGATCCAATTCCATCCAATTCCTACATTCTTTGCCAAAACCTTTCCAACATTCAGTCTGGTTCAGTGTCTGGTTCAGCGTCTTGTCCGCCTGCATTTTCAGTCTGTACCATCCCTGATGCGTCTTTGCGACAAGGATCCTTGACTGTCGGAATTCCCGAGTGCATAGTTGGCACAGCCCACACTCACACAACTCATACATCTCATATCTCAGCTCTCCATCAAGCTCCAAGTGACAGCCCTGAACTTGGCACGTCCAGTCGGTGCAAGAATCCTCTACCTCAAAAGTCTTGCCACTTCTCCAATCTTCAGAACTGATTGTTTTTGGCAAATGGCAAGACAAATGGGTCTGTCTGAAAATAGGGTACCCCATAAATATAATGAGCTATTTTGATTTCCTTATTGTTGAACTTGCCATTTTGGGGTATCCTGGCATCCTCTATTTTTGGAAAAACGGTAATACGAAAATGGAAGACGCCAAACACGAGCATGGAAAGCAGCCTAAACAGTAGTTGCTCGCAGGAAACTCTTGACAAATCAACTCGATGACCGTACACTGTTGAGCCTGAAGCAACCTAACTCTAACGCCTGGGCCTGGATCATCCTGGATCAACTAAATGGATCTAAATGGAGTTTCAACATGTTTCAACATGTTTCAACCATAAGGAATAGCTATGACTCTTGTAGTGTTTTTCAGTTGGCATTGTTGATCGGCTTGTGTTTCCACCTCCATGGCACAGCTTGGATTGAACATAAAGACTGATCATGATATCAATATATGTATATAATATAATTGATACGGGATGATAAAGGAGAGAATGGGTTGCAATAGGTTGCAATAGGTTGCAATGGGTTGCAATGGGTCGCAATGGGTTGCAATGGGTTGCAATGGGTTGCAATGGGTTGCAATGGGTTGCAATGGGTTGCAATGGGTTGCTCGTGTTGCGGGGGTATCGGTCAAGTGTTCCTGGAATTGCTTGGGGGAGCTGACTCCAAGGCCGCCACTATGATCAACATCTTTTAGAACGCCATGGCGAGGAAACATGGCCTGCACAAACAGCACAAATCTGGATGCAAAATGATGCAAACTGATTCGAATATGATTCTAAATTATTCTAAAATTATTCGATTATATAATATTACGGCCAGGCGCTGTGTGTTGCCCGGAAGGTTCAAATGGCGTTTAAACACCATCCTTCAACATGCTCAAACACCTGCGCAGGGCCAGTGTTTTGAGATTTCCCAGACGACGAACCCTAAACCATCCTAAACCCTAAAACCTCAAACCCTAAGCCCTAAACCCTAAAACCTAAGCCTCAAAACTTTGAAGCCTAAACTAGAAAATATTGCGTATACGCAGTATTTTCTGCAATCTCTCCTATCATATATTCGACAACACGACATTCTCAATGTTAATGTCTGGGCAACACATGGCGTCTGTGGGTAAGATTATATAAGTAATTATATAATGTTCAAACATTGAAGAAGTCTGGGACAACCAGTATCATCGAAGGCAAACAGCACAGCAATCGAGGGCCTTGAGGAAAAACGACAAAAGGCCCCTCCTTGGCTCTGCAAACTGCGTTCACACTTTTCTGCTTTTTGGGGAAAGCCGGGATCGTCTGGGGTCAGCTAATGTCGATGCAAGACAGGGTGTATATGGACTCAAGTGACATCTTTCAGATTTCAGATTCTTTCTCTGTGACATGCTGAGCAAGTCTGCGAAGGTCAAAACCTTTGGAAGTTGAGTGTCTCAGCTTCTTCTGGCTGGCCAGAATATGCATCATCAACCTGTCATGGAAACGTGAACATTGATTCAATTTGTCATCCATTTTACTCTCCAACCTGTGCCATGTGCTACCGTCCCATTACACTGCCTATAGCCTCCCCACATTTCGCAACCATCCGAAACCGGCGTATCTTGTTCACAAAGCACTAAACACTCCAGTACCACAAAGCTTTAAGCTGACATATTAAGCAGAGTTGATCAGTCGATCTGGCAGCTGGGTATGTGCCTGCCATTCCGAGGGCTTCTGAATCACCAGGAAGTCAGGATAGTTTTGAACGATGCCAGGCTGCCGGGTAATTCTGCCTGCAGCACTGCAGCCGTGTCCTTGTCCCATCTCTTAGAATTTCTTAGAATGTTAGTGCTGTTAGTGCCAAGTTAGTGCAGACTGGCCATCACTGGCGACTCCCTGCGCACTGGGGACTGGGCACTCTCTTTGAAAATCTTTGAAAATCTTTGCATGGGGGAGACATGGGGAGACACTGGGGAGACAGCAAAGGCCATTGAGGTACCGACTTGAAGGGTGACTGGGCTGGAGCGGCTCAACATGGTCTCCGCCAAAGGATCTTCCAAGTTTCAGCAAAGCACCTTCCACATGTTTCCACATCTTCCAGAGTTCATTTCGAATGTTACAGAAATATACAGAAATATTGTTCCACCAGCTCATGAGTCTCATAAGTCGTTATTTAATGTTATTTATTCTCTTGCAGCTTGGAATATCATGCTATCATGCACCCCAAACCCTGAATGTGAGTAATGTGAGTGTGATATGTTGATGCGTTGATGCACAGGGCCTTCAATTGATGACGCAGTGTCAACTCGCAAGCAGCCTTCGCAACGTGGCCACGACTAGCGAAGGAAACTGTTGCAAGCCATCAAAACGATGCCAGGTGCAGAAACAGGTTACAACATGTCACAACTTCCAGTGGCAAAACACGCTTGACAAATTTGTTGACAGCCAGCCTGCATGACTGCAGGCCCAGACCACCGTAAGGGCGGATGTTGTAAAGTCCAAACCATGCCAAGCGGCTTGTCGCGACACAAACTCCTGCATCATCTGCATCTTAACTTTCTCTGTGTGTTCAAAACAGGCTATCTGCGATGTGGTCCGGGAAGCGAAACAGATCGAAACAGGATCAAGTCTCAATCAGTTTCAAAGAACTGCGACAGGACAAACACAAAATGTATCAAAATGTCAGCAGCTGATCTGGGCACTTTGACAAAGTTCCCGAATCAGGTCACCGTCTGGTTCCAGGAGACTACACCAAAATGCTATGCGAAATGCGAAATGATGCGAAATGCAAATCTGAGGCCTCCGGGCCAAAGCTAATCAAACCTGGTCTAGACTGAATTTATGGGCCCCCAAATCTGCTTCTCTGAAGATTTTGATAGGTGTCCTTCTGCAAATCCTCCAAGAAGGATTGAAATTCTCCACTGGAAAAGGACCATGCAAGCCTGACGAAAACTCTACACTTGTATATGCCCCCTTCGTCTTTTCTATCGCTGTTAGTTTTCCAGTTGGGTGCTCTTCATGCATAAGCTACAGTTACTTTCCTGTCCCAGTAAAGATGCACTGATGTACACAAGAAATGCTTCGCTCGAGCCTTGCAATGTCTGCCAAATTGAAGCGTGCCAGTCCAATGTCAGTGATTCGTTGCATCGCTAGATGCATCAGATGCGAAGATTGCAAAGTCATGGACAAAGAGCTGAAGCTCCAAACCTCGACGCAAACGCAAAACCGTCATTCTGTGCAGGCCGAGCATAGACAAAGTAAAGCAAAGAATTTGCAACTGACGAGCTTAAACAAAGTTCAAACCGAGCTCACAGCACTTCTCAGGACTACAGAGTATGCGAAGGAAGAAGTCAGCAGTGCTATGCCCAAAAGACACAAAATATGAAGATCGTAAGTTCACTGTCACCGCGTTTCAGATAGGATTCCGACAACGTACCTTTCAAAAACCTCTAGATCTTTGGAGAGATGTTCCAAAATTCATTCCAACAAAGTGCAGGTTTGCAAGAGCACAGAACACCAACCACATGGAACCAACGTAGTCAAGCATATCACAGTGGTGCTGAGGTGCTAGAGTAGCTAACTCTTCAGGTCTAATGGATTTGTAGACATCAGCAAGTGTCTCCTGGCCATGTGGACGGCACGTGTGATACAAAACTCAATTAAACTCAACATTCAACAGGGTCGCATGATGTATGAAAAAAAATCAACAGCGGAACCAAAACGTTGGCATTCAGCTCCTGAACTTGCATGGCTTCAGGGTTTGAAGTCCTGAACACATCTGAACACTGGAAAACAATAGTAAAAAATTGGTTAAGAAAGAGGCTCTCGTCCCAATTCGTACCGTCCACATCCGTCCACAACAATTTTCTCAGAATTCTCAATAGACTTGTCTCATTTTGTCTCCTCCGTCTCCTTATGTTCAGGCGCTTCACTGACCTGGAATTCCACTTTGGGCGTCAGAAACACGTACAAACTGTGAAGACCTGTGAAGGACGGGCACTTTCATACAGCTTCATACAGCCATTGTGCCTCCAGGCTGTCTCTGACAACTCTGATGATCTTTCTCGCTTTCCCAGAGACTCACGATGGGTCCTTGGATTAGGTTCAGGAAATGCAGTATTTCCGCATCAAATGCTCCCCTTCAATGAGAACTGCTTTAAGTCTTTGCTTGGTCTGAGTCGAAGAACAGCCAAATCGACCATTGCCATTGCTTTCCATTTTGACATGCAGTGCCAGCAGCTCCATAGATCACCTAGGTTGCAAAGAAATCGCAGCTCAAAGACCCCCTGGTTCGAAGCTTAACTCGTACAAGTAGCTCGCATGAATGAATCGAGCTACAAAAAGGTTGCCATGGGCGAAAATTCAAAAAAAACAATCAGATTCTAGCTAGCACAAGCACAATCTGAACTGTGTCCGCGGAACGGAATTTGGTAGTACAAGCCTCAGCTGAGACAGGCCCACAAAGGACACATTCTGGCACAAGAACAAGAACCATCGTATCAATCACTAGGTCATTCTTTTCTTAGACCAGCGCAAGTGGTTTCACTGTTTGTGCATACAGGCAGCACATATATTAATATGTATACATATATGTGTATATTTATCGAAGGAAGTTTAGAAGTCAAACTTCCGACAATATGGACAGATGAAAAGCAGAGCAGGGCAGAGGCAGAGAGAAGAGAAAGATTAGAAGAGAGAAGATCAGAAGAGGAAGAGTCAGAAGAAAGAAGATGCAGATGCGCGAAAAGGTAGGAAAGTCGCGAAACACTGTGTTTTTCGAATGATTTGTGGCTCCGAAGGGTCGAAAAGTAGGCTCGCTAAAGCGGCGGGTGCGGAGCCAGCTGGCCAGACGAGAGATGAAAAATTGCACGCCGTTGTGGCGCGAAGCACATTTCATCACATTTCCAAGTCAAAATGTACAAAACACACCATGGTCGGAGCACTTTTGGAAGTTGCGATGTCGAAAAAGTGCATGCCGTTGTGGCGCGAAGCACATTTCCAAGTGAAAATGTACAAAGCACACCAGCTTCGGAGCACTTTTGGAAGTTGAGATGTCGAAAAAGTGCACGCCGTTGTGGCGCGAAGCACATTTCCAAGTCAAAATAAGTCAAAATGTACAAAACACACCAGCTCCGGACCACTTTTGGAAGTTGAGATGTTGAAAAAGTGCACGCCGTTGTGGCGCGAAGCACATTTCGAAGTCAAAATGTACAAAACACCAGGGGTTCGGACCACTTTTGGAGGTTCGGATGTCGAAAAAGTGCACGCCGTAGTGGCACGAAGGACATTTCGAAGTAAAAATGTTCAAAACACTAGGGGTTCGGACCACTTTTGGAGGTTCAGATGTCGCTTCGCTTCAATACACTACACTACAGGACATTAACTACACTACACTCCAGTACACTACATTACACTACGCTACGCTCCAGTACACTCCACTACACTAAATTACACTACACCACACTACATTACACTGAATGACACTGCAACACAGATAGACAGGTAGACAGCTAGACAGATAGACATATGAAAGGGAGAGATAGATAGATAGATAGATAGATAGGTAGGTAGATAGATTGAGAGATAGGTAATTAGATGAAAGAGAGAGAGAGAGAGGCCAGCTGGGTAGATGAGATAGATAGATAGATGGCTAGACAGATAGACAGACAGACAGACAGATAGATAGATAGATAGACAGACAGATAGATAGATAGATACATCGATAGATACATGGATCGATACATGGAGAGATAGATAGATACATAGAGAGAAAGAGAGAGAGAGAGATAGATAGATAGATAGATAGATAGATAGACAGGTAGACAGATAGACAGATAGACAGATAGACAGATAGATAGATAGATGGATAGATAGACAGATAGACAGCTAGACAGATAGACAGATGAAAGAAAGAGAGAGAGAGAGAGATAGATAGATAGATAGATAGATACATAGAAGATAGGTTGGTAGGCAGGTAGATAGTCAGAGAAAGAGAGAGAAAGAGAGGAGACCTCAAGCACCTTTCGGTCCATCAGTGGCTCCGCTCTGCCATCCCTGAGTCACAACAACCAACCTCTCCTATAGGTTTCCTATTTTTGAAACTTCCGCCACCGCCTTGTGCGGTACTACTGGTATATTATATTAGCACATATTGTATGTATTTTGAATGTGGGAGTAATTCTGCCAAGAAGCTTGTCTGACATCTGATTCAAAAGCTCCACTGCTACATCCCAACATTTCGCTCTCCGAAATGCACCTGGGCAGCTCTTTGCCCAAGGCAAGTTGTTGCAAAGAAAGCAACGGGGTAAGAAAACAAAAAATCGGCGAGCATTGAGTTCAACTTACCCATTCAATGCAGATTAGTCGCTAGCTGTTAGGAACTGGGATACCGGGATAATGGTATTTCTTGCTTTACTCTCAACGTTTACAGAGCCATATGATGTTCGGTGCATGTGTGAAGAGGTGTTTGCTGAAAGTCCTCAATTGAATGGATTCGAATTTCTTTGGGAAAACAGCGTGAAAAACATGCATTGTATGCTCTGTCCACCGCTACCGAGCTTCTGATCACAGCACTGTAACTGATCACATCTTGCACCACGTCCACCTGCATTTGTAGAGACTCATACTTCTGATCACAGAGTCCAGTAACATGTACAATTGTCAAAAGCCTGGCAACTAGCTAAGAATATTGACGCCTACAGCTGAAACAGCGGTATCATCGGTATCATGTGGCACCACTGTTGCACCTCTTGAAAAAGGATCAAGGAACCGGTCCAATGACTGGCTTTCTCACAAGCACTTATGGCGGCATTCTGACCTTGCCACATGGTCAGGTGCTCCAGCTACTAGCTCTTACTAGCTACCAGCTGTCCCAGCTTGGAGCTTGAAGACTCCAGTCACAAAATCTTCAGAATGACATGAGTGTACTCATATATATATATATATACAATTATATACATATATATAACGGTACATGTAACCAAATGGTACTAATTGATACTAATTGCATCGCATTGCTAGATCAAAGCGTGTGTGGTCATGGTTCAAGTCCATTTGAAGTTGCCTTGTCTTGGGGCTGAGCCCTCAACTGATGAGGTCCTAAGATGGCAGAGTTCTGCCCCATGGATTGGAATGGCAGCTCCGCAGTAGCATGTTCTTTAACAATCTTTAACATAGATCTTTTTAAGCATGTTTAAGCATGCTTTAGATTGTTTTAGCCCGGAGCATGCTCTTTGGTGCTCCTTGCCTCCAGGCTAAGAGCAGAGCTCGTTGAAGAATGCGATGGAGCAACTTCAGCAACAGCAGGGCAAACTGCCATTGTGTTGCCTCACAAAGTACTAGAAAGGAGAGCATCAAGGTCTACCGTGCCCCAACCCCGGACTTTTGAGCATGTTCTGCATGTTCTTGTATGTTCTTGCCACCTTTTCGCAAGAAGAGATCGCTGCATTATATGTCGCCTGGCTCGGCCTCCGCTGGTCAATCGAAAACCACAATGAGTCAGCTGCAAAGATTTGAAAGCTTACGATGGCTTACAATGTCAGAAGCTTTAAGCAGAGGAATGCCACACCTGACATCGTGCTGCCTGCCGTAACTCTCACGAAACTACAGCAGAATCCAATGCTAAACGTTCTGAAAAAAGGGCCCTTGACTTCAGTCAATCGAATGTTGAAGGATCATGCTGATAGCGGTTTCAGGTCGGAAAAAAAACTCTGCTTCATCTACAAAATATTCCAAAATCATGTTTCAAAACATGCACAAAGCATCGCAAAGAACAACAAAGCTGCATAGTGCGTCCTGCAACCTTCTGCTGCAAGTTGCCATTTGGTGCTCCTTCCACATGCCGTGACCCAAGCACCTTGGTCCCAAAGCAGGCTGTACATGTTTGCACTTCTAGCTTCACTCCAAGCGCCGCCCAAACTCAGAGCAAGGCCAATAGTGATTTCGTTTGGCAAACGTACACAATGCATCGACTGCATCATCCTCACCGCTGTTCACTTTTGACATCTTTTGACAAAGTGCAATTCGGAATTACTTCCCATTGTTTAACTTGTCTCAGCTGGACGGACTGCAAAGTTCATGTTGACCGGGCCTTCCAAGGATTGTCGATGCTCCTTCCCATTGGCTCCCACGCTCTAGAGCCTCAAATTTAAAAAAATGTAAAGCCTGAACAGTGTGATCAATCAAATGTCTCAACCAGTTGTACTGCCTTTCACTGCCACACCTCTAATAGCCCTTCAAAACGTGGCCGCTCTCTTCACCCCTGCTGATGTCTGCTTTCAAGTGGCTGTGACGACAGAGTTGAAACTGATGCTGTTGGCGTTGTTCTTCCTAAGTTTTTTCCGGACTTGAAAGATTTGAAAGCACATTTGCGGTCTGGAGCCTGCGCGTTTCTGAAATACCAAAACAATCAACATTCGGTGATAACCGGTCAAATTGATATCACAGCAGTCGTTCCTGGAATTCTGGCACAAAGAATCTTCGAGTCTGACGACAAAACTTGACAATCCTTGGCATCTCTTTGTTGGCTGCTTCTGTGGCCAAACCTCATGGTCTATGTTATCCAAGTTTCATATCCGGAGAGCTAAAAAGCGTGAGGGCAGAAGCCCATGGACTTGTGCCGATGGCCGAGTTCCAACCTCGAGGACAAGGACAGCGGCATTCGATTTCATGGAATGTTGCAGCTGAAACAGGGAGTGTCAGCCGCAGCTGGTCAGCAAAAAACTTTTCAATACCATACGCCAAGGTGCAAATTGCATCCAGTCTCAAGCATCTACTAGTCTCGCCTCGTGAATGTTTTGGATTGCAAGTCTTGGAAATTAAGGTGAGTCAAACCAAGGGGCTGAGGAAGTCTGAAAAGCCTGACCAAAAGTAGTACGTCTTGGATTGTCCTGGTGTCAACATGTTTCCTCGTTCTACAAAGGGTTTTAACATTCTTATCATTCTTTAACACTTGAATGAGGTGGCTTGACACACAGTCAAAGCAACAAGCAAAGCCCGTAATGGTCAAACAATGTCAAACATATGCAGCACAGTGACGCAGCAGCGAACAAGCGCAATGCCAGTGCCCAGAGCCAGCTGCTGAAATGGTAGCTGCATAGTTTGCAATGTTTGGATTCACCTCGTAGGGAAATCATTTTGAAATCTTTGAATACTGAGTGCAGAATAGTGCAGCACTGCAGAAATCAAAATAGTTAGACCGATCGCCTGGCCTCCTGGAGTGGAAGCTGCCGAAAGAAGTTCAAAGCCAATGACCAGTCGGATTTCCTGAAATTCTTGCAATCGAACATGTGAAAAAAATGTCATTATGTAAAGCCATTCTTAAGACACATGTCGAAACATGTAAAACCGGCTCAACATGGTTCAATCCAAAAACGGAAATTTGCTGACTTCACTCTGCTGCCTCGCATCGAAGAAATAATCACATTGTAATGAAAAGCATTGCCTCGCAACTGGCCTCGCCAAGTTCAAAACTTGAGAGCAGGCGGAGGCGGACGAAAGGTAGTGTAGTGGGAGAGGAGTGGTGTCAAAATGTTGCGCCCCTAAGATGATACACCAAAAAAATTTTGCGCAGTCTAAGATGATTTTATCCAGAGCATGACTGCATGATACGGTGTCTTGTGCAGCGTGAAATGATGCACGAAAAGGGGTTTATTAAAAACCCCTTTTTAAAACCCCTTGCAGCAACTGTTATTGAAGCTGAAGCAAACCAATTATGCTGGACTACAGGGACATCTCCCTCATGGAAAGTGTGCCTCTAATGTGGGGGCCCGTGACCGCGTCACCCGTGGGAATTGAACCCATGACCATTTTCGGGGGGGGCCCTTATAATTGATATCCAATACATAACGGCGAGAATTCCATGAATTCCACGGGCTGGCCCCCCAATACCCCCTAAGCTTGTGCTGAAGCACGGAGAACTCAGGTAGATGACGCTACCTTTCGTGACTTCAGTTTGAACATAATTGTATAACATGATATAACATCGATAAAATATTATGAAATTATATAAACAGTTTGACACATCCATATCATCCAGAGTTTTGTTCTGGGCTCCATGGGGGATGTACCCCGCCTTCCAACATGCGCTTGAGAGTCCCAAGAGCTGCCTTGGACCCATCGGAAGCAAATGGAAGCAAATGGAAGCAAATGGAATCAATAAAAAATAACACCATGGAGATCCATGGAGCCTAAACAGCACACAATTCCCCTACACAATGAGAAAAAATATGAAAAAATAACAATTTTGACAACAAATTTGGCAACAAATATCTGTTGTGAGCTGGATTCGAATGGGAGGCAATTGCCGGGGCATGTGATGGCCCTTCTGACTATCCATTTTGAATTTCAAATGGATTCAATCCGCTCAAGTTTCCATAACAGAAATTCCCTTGTTGAAGACTTAATGAACAAAACACGGAGATAAAGGTTTTCAGGGTCGTTTCTAAGTTTGGCACTTCACCATTGTCATTGCCGTTCGACGAACGAAGTTTTGAGAGAACTGTCGTCGCAGCTTTTGGTGAAAGCTTCTCCTGAAGGTTTGGTTCGACGAACCAAGATGACTCAAAAAGCAACGGAGATGGACCACGTAGGGGTCATCACATAATAGCCCTAAAAAGTACATGTACTACACACAATACTCAAGCTATAAACCAAGAGTCTGAACAAACAAACAAACAAACAAACAAACAAGCAAGCAAGCAAACAAACAAAGAAACAAAGAAACAAAGAAACAAAGAAACAAAGAAACAAAGAAACAAATAAAGAAAGAAAGAAACAAACAAACAAACGAACAAAGAAACAAAGAAAAAAGAAACAAAGAAACAAAGAAACAAACAAACAATCAAACAAACAAACAAACAAAGAAACAATCAAACAACCAACCAACCAAACAAACAAACAATCAACCAACCAAACCAACCAACCAAACAAACAAACAATCAACCAACCAAAAAAAACCAACCAGCCAAACAAACAACCAAACAAACAATCAAACCAACCAACCAACCAACCAAACAAACAAACAACCAACCAACCAAACCAAACAAACGAACAATCAACCAACCAAACCAACCAACCAACCAACCAAACAAACAAACAAACAAACAATCAACCAACCAAACAAACCAACCAAACAAACAAACAATCAACCAACCAAACCAACCAACCAACCAAACAAACAAACAATCAACCAACCAAACCAACCAACCAACCAACCAAACAAACAAACAACCAAACAAACAATCCAACCAACCAACCAAACAAACAACCAACCAACCAAACCAAACAAACAAACAAACAAACAATCAACCAACCAACCAAACCAAACAACCAAACAACCAACCAACCAACCAAACAACCAAACAAACAAACAAACAAACAATCAACCAACCAAACCAACCAACCAAACAACCAAACAAACAAACAAACAATCAACCAACCAAACCAACCAACCAACCAAACAAACAAACAATCAACCAACCAAACCAACCAACCAAACAAACAAACAAACAATCAACCAACCAAACCAAACAACCAACCAACCAAACAAACAAACAATCAACCAACCAAACCAAACAAACAAACAAACAATCAACCAACCAAACCAACCAACCAAACAAACAATCAACCAACCAAACCAACCAACCAAACAAACAACCAAACAAACAATCAAACCAACCAACCAACCAAACAAACAACCAACCAACCAAACCAAACAAACGAACAATCAACCAACCAAACCAACCAAACAAACAAACAAACAAACAATCAACCAACCAAACCAACCAACCAAACAAACAAACAATCAACCAACCAAACCAACCAACCAGCCAAACAAACAACCAAACAAACAATCAAACCAACCAACCAACCAACCAACCAAACCAAACAAACGAACAATCAACCAACCAAACCAACCAACCAAACAAACAAACAAACAATCAACCAACCAAACCAACCAACCAAACAAACAACCAACCAAACAAACAAACAATCAACCAACCAAACCAACCAACCAACCAAACAAACAACCAAACAAACAATCAAACCAACCAACCAAACAAACAAACAACCAACCAACCAAACCAAACAAACGAACAATCAACCAACCAAACCAACCAACCAAACAAACAAACAAACAATCAAACCAACCAACCAACCAACCAAACAAACAAACAACCAACCAAACCAAACAAACGAACAATCAACCAACCAAACCAACCAAACAAACAAACAAACCAACCAACCAAACAAACAAACAAACCAACCAAACAAACAAACAACCAACCAAACCAAACAAACGAACAATCAACCAACCAAACCAACCAACCAAACAAACAAACAAACAAACAATCAACCAACCAAACCAACCAACCAACCAAACAAACCAACCAACCAACCAACCAAACAAACAAACAAACAAACCAACCAACCAACCAACCAAACAACCAACCAACCAAACCAAACAAACGAACAATCAACCAACCAAACCAACCAACCAAACAAACAAACAAACAACCAACCAACCAAACCAAACAAACGAACAATCAACCAACCAAACCAACCAACCAAACAAACAAACAATCAACCAACCAAACCAACCAACCAACCAACCAACCAAACAAACAAACAAACATCTTATAGTCTTATACCATGTGGAAGAGAAGGGATGAGATCAGCCCGGAAGAGAAGGAGCGAAGGGATGGAGACCTTTGAAGGACACACAGAAACAACACAACGCGCACAAAACATACATACTGACGAGTGCGTGTCTGGTGACCCCAAAGCACCGTGGAAACTGGAGGAACCCGGGGGCATGAAAGTGTTAAAGAACACTTAGGTCGATGTGCACGCATTTGTGCTCATGACGCTCAGTCTGTGGTTCAGAAGGGAAAAGCCAGCTTAGCCAGCCCAGGGTGATATTGCCTAGCCATATCGAGAGGCTGCCGCTGCAGGGACTGAAAGGACCACTTCTTGGGAACTTAGTGCTACTACCCCACCATCTACCCACGTGGACCATGTATATCATAATACCATCAAACAGCGGAAGCAGCTTATACTAATCATGCAAGTTTGATTTAAGCACGGAACAAGTGTATCATTTACAAATCCTTACCACGAAATACACCTATCATATCAAGATAGGGATTTCAAAGCATATATTTGGTTTTTGGGTGCTTCAAATTATGTTGTCTTGACATACAAGTATGATCGCAAAGGCAAATATTGAAACAACATAAAACATCATGGAGCATCAGGCAGCAAAGAAAATGTACTCCACTCTGGCCTCCGCGTTTGGCGAGGGCCGACCGCCAGAGATGCGAAGCATGCGTCGCCAGCTTCAAAGTTGCACTTCATGCCATGCGACAATTGCAATGCCATGCAACGCGCTCCACCGCTCCTTCTTTGTGTCTTCGCACACCATGCAACGATGTGCAATGACCGGCTTAATTGCAGGTGTCTAATATGTTTTACTTACATCACATCATGGGCAAGCTCGTCTTCTGCCTCCATATTTTGATAGCGCCCAACGATGCTTATCTGCTTTCATCGTCAGTTTCATGTCTCTTTTTGCTTTGAACTGTTCAAGCAAGCGACTGGATCGTGCATTGCAAATTTATCTACAGTATTAACACTAAATTGACACCAAAAAGACTCAGATGTCTGACATGAGAAGCAAGCACAACTCTTCAATGGCCCCAAGGACTGTCATGCAAGTTGGACCAAGTTGGACCAAGCTGTCCACATCGCAAGACAGATTCGGCACGTCGATCTTTTCACACTGCCAAAAGTTCACTGCTTGGCTTGAAATTCTGCCTCAGACTGGTAGCACTGTGATCCATGCCCACTTAGAAAGAACCGTTCATGATACTCATTAAATTCATGCACATGAAATGTGAATTGTGATGAAGTATACCAGTATAACAGCTATTATCGTGATCTTTTATGTATTAATATATATACATATATGACAATATATGATACAGTAATATATGTATATGTTATATATATATAATTAATAATTATAGCGTTATCATTATATGATGGCTATATCCACAACCAAAAACTACCCCAACGATGCCTGGAGGATGGTGGCTGTGGATATGGCCAAGCTACTTGACAACGGCACGGCCAGGTGGAGCTGTCGCGACTTGACAACCGCTTCGTGTGCCATGCAGAAGCCTCGGAACTGATTGAAACACAGAGAGAAAATTAAACCGAGAAGAACCTGTTTAAACCTTTAAACCTTTAATTTAATTTAATTTAAACAAATTAAACCTTTACCTGAGAAGGGAGGAACGAAAGCCAGGGGAGTGCGAAGGTGGGTGCGAAGAAGAAGGAGAGGAAGAGGGAGGATGCGGGAAAGAGAGTAGATCGAGGAGAGGTGGTGCCAGGAATGCACGAGCTTTTGTCTCGCTGCAGCGGGCGAAGCGGAAAGGTGCAGAAGTAGGCTGCGAAGGTCCTCAAATGCACCTCCCACAATCCCTACCGTTGCACCGTATAAACGGTTTTGCTCGTTTCTTCCATGGTTTTATTTCCGTGCTTCTACTCCATAGTGGTCACACATCGAAACCGCAGTTTTTCCATTGCTTTTCCATTGTTTCACGCGTGCTTTACGCGATAATGGTCCCACATCGGAGCCTCAAGTGTTCCATTGTGCTTTCATCCCATCAATTTCCGTCATTTTACTCTTATTTTACTTGGCATCATTTTCGTCCGACATCAGAGCCGCAATTTTTCCATTCTTTTTTCCATTGTTTTACCCCACTTCTTCATCATAGTCGCTCGATTTTTCCATTGCTTTTCCATCGCTAATGGTCCCACATCGAAGCCATATTTTTTCCATTGCTTTTCCATAGTTTTACTCAACATCATTTTCCCCTCCATTCCAGTCTCCCCCGTGTTTTTTTCACCATTGTTCCTCCAATTTTACTCAATCGTCCCATAGTTTACGCGATGTCTCTATCAGTTTATCCTTCCATTTCATCAATTTTCCAGTGTTTTGCCATGGTGCTACTCGATTTCTCCATCATTACCCTTATGTTACCTCAGTGTGTCTAACGCTTACCCAAATACACCTCCCACAATCCCTACCGTTGCACCGTATAAATGCTTTTGCCCGTTTCTTCCATGGTTTTATTTCGGCGCTTCTACTCCATAGTGGTCATACATCGAAACCGCAATTTTTCCATTGCTTTTCCATTGTTTCACGCGTGCTTTACGCGATAATGGTCCCACATCGGAGCCTCAATTTTTCCGTTGTTTTTCCATCCCATCTATTTCCATCCTTTTACTTTTATTTTACTTGGCATCATTTTCCTGAAAAAGTTCACCTCGGTCCACCTTTTTTACCACCTAATTTCGTGATTTAGTGGCAGTTTGGGGCGCTCTGCCCCCAGACCCCCTAAACTCACTTTGTTCGCAAAAAAAACTTCGCCTAGCCTAGCGGCTGGCTTTCGTGATTATCTTTATGTGTTGGGAACATTTGGGAACTGAGAAGATCGATGGAAATCAAAGATCTGAAGGAATCGGAGGAATCTGTCGGAATCTGTTGAGTGTTGACTTCTTTCAAAGTTGAACTCATAAACCTTCAACGAAGTCCTCAAAGAACTTGTCAAGGTTGCTACCCATCAATCAACGAAACTGCTCCATCAATGGCATCACTGCTTCTCCAATTGATCCAAGATTCTTGGCAAATTCGGGTTGATTCGAATCTCAAGCATGTACTGCAAAATGCCAAGTGCAGCTTGCCACTGGCTAGTGGCCTCCTGCAAATGCTAAAATCTAGTCTGCATCCCGTTGCGAATCTCTGCAATTCGGGAAAGTACAGCATCATTATGTTTGAGAGCGTTCACAACTCGTTCACTTTCTGGACCTACATCTCTCTTATTTGGTCATTCCATATCGTATTATATCATATCCCAGAAAGAGTTGTGCAAGTGGACAACCTTGTACAAGTCCATTGTTTCTATCATCCTGTATCAAAATGTATTGGATCCATCCCAAACACACTCCTACGCAAATGCAATACACAATGAAGGATGCAGAATCGAGCTCGGAAAAATCTGCTGGGATCTGCTGGGTTGTTGACGTTCAGTCGGATCCCGTGGCACAAGAGCCAGCAAAAACTAAGCGCAACCAGGCTTCGCATGCACAAACAGCCCCGGTGAAAGCGATGAGATTCGGGCCAGTCCTTGAAATGCAAATGTAAGACATTGTAAGACTTCAAATGACTTCAAATGACTTCAACACCTCCGTCTTTGCCAAAGATACGAACCCTTTTCGGTATGAACTGATGACGAGCTTTCGGCGCATCATAAGTTCTGTACAACTTCCTTCAGACTTTTGTCAGGGCTCTCAGCGTTCGGAAAAAAGTCACTTTGAAGCAACTCCAGAGCGAAATGCCAGTGCTGGGCCTCAGGCACTAGACACATCTTCTGTTCAGACATTGAGGCAGTTCCAGGTTGCAAGATGCATTTTCCAAAAAGAAACATGAGTTTTTCATAGTTTTTCCATGACACGTCAAGCCAGAGTGCACTGGTCTCATCTGTCATTCGAACCTTTCCCCATGGCCTTGGCGCAAACATTGATGATGCAGCTGTAGGTGATATCGTTGGGTATCGCCTGGCATCACCGAAACCAAGTCACATCTTGTCAGCAAATGTCTCCACAGTCTGTCTAGATTGTGTAAATTGCATTTGCAGCGCTCCGCCCTTTCCTAAAAAGATATAAAAAGTATATCTCATGACTCATGATGCTCGATCGAGTGTCCCGACTCCAAATTGATATTCTATCACCAGTAATTCACGCTACCAGTATTTAGCAGTGCCCACGTTTTGAAATGGTCAATTAAAAGATTGGAAAGGCATGCACAAGTCTTGTGATATAGTAAAATCATGTAAAATCAGACAGCTTGGCAGGAGCCAGAATGAAGCAAACCAGCAGAGCACAGCATGACCCTCCTGACCCTCCTGACCCTCCCTTTGGATTCTGCCATATTCTGCCTCTGATTGTTGCATTTCGTCCAGAAGAGAAAGTGCCATGTCCCACTGAGTCTGGCCACTGATCACAGCCTGACAGGGCGTACAAAGGAAAGGACAAACACAACAAAGTACAACTAACAGTAACTAACACACGGCAAATCCTACACAAAATATCACAAAATATCTGCTGGCTCTTGTGATCTTTATGCACTTCGTACAGATTTGCCACCTCTTTTAGTATACAGAACATGACACCTAGATAGAAAGGTTACAACTACAACACAATGCGGTCTGCGACTGAACTGTTTTGCGATGTCATTGATATCATGTTCATATATGTTCATGCAAAAAGACAGTGCCAAGAAGCTGTATAGGTCACTTCAGTTGGGAGGACTCGACGCTGTTTCATGCCTCATTAGATTCGGAGAGTCTTTCTCTCGGAAGGGGGACGTCTCAGCATTTTGTGGGAAAGGTTCAAAGATGTTTATAAATTTTGGGGGATTTTAGGGGAAGGTAAAGTTGCACCCCATGCTGTAGCCACATCTCCACATCTTTTCATTTTCTCAAGTCTTCTCCTCTCTTCTCCTCTCTTCTCACCTCTTCTCCTCTTGTCTTCCGCGGGTTTGACATTTTTGACATGGTCATCTCATGTCATCTCAAGGTGCCGACCAGACACTATCGAGCAAGTCCAGGGTCATCCACCAGAAATGGCCATCAGTTCCACACGCGCTGATGGCAGCGTTGTAGCCTGAGTCTGCGTGTCGTGCATGTGTTTGCCGCTGTTTGCCTTTCATGTCTAATATGTATATGGATTGTTGGTGACATCTGACAGCCTGCAAGCTGGAGGTGGCAGAATCATGCATCAAAGCATTGTCAACGAAGATGCAGTTCAGCTGCATATGCTGTCAGGACTGGCCTGGGACGTGTGCGAAAATTGACATCGCTCCGAGTCCCTTCGAAATGCGACTTGAAAATGGAATGAAGTTGATAAGTTGATAAGTTGATGGTTTCATGCCAAGATGCAATGGAATGGAAAATCTGCAGGGCCAGCTGCCATTTCTGGCCTTTCCCACAAGCTGTCAGTGCTGCAGCACAGCTGATCTCATTGGGTGCGTCAACTGACTTCAGGGATTGAAGCAGAGAGAGTACAATTTCCCAGCAGCTGCTCTTCTCGCAGCTGCTCATTGCTGTGTTGTAGCTGATGACATTCCGTTCCACCTGGCGATCAAACACGAGAAATGAATAGAAATGAATAGAAATAATTGAAATGTCCTCAAGGAATCGTTCGACTGGAGTGCATCCTGTTCAAATGAGTCCTCTTTCTTTGATCACATGTTTGCTGAGATGCCAACAATCTGAAGCAGAATCGGAAAGGTGAACGACTAATTGAGAGGATCAAGGAGAGAACGACAAACCAAAACAAACCCGAAATCAGTGATGACGGCTTGAAACTTTCGCACAACGTGCTTCAGCAAATAAAATTAAAGAAACCCAAAGGGCATGGATATTCATCTGTTCCGGAAGTGATCGCACAAAATGGGTAAAGCATGATGTTCCTTCGCTGCGGTTCCAGAAGAAGCCTTCCAAGAAACATCAACTTGAAACCATTTGAAACCTATGCTTTGGACCGTCAAAGTAAGAGTGAATGTACTTGCAACAGTTAAACTCACAACCCTGCAGAACCATCAAAGCCCTGGCTCAAAACTTCAAATTGGGGGCCTCTCACAACCTTCCAGAATCATCCAGAATCCATTTTGCTTGCACCTTTGTTTGGAACTTGTCTGAACCATCTGGAAACGCTCAGAAGCGTTCGCCACGTCTTGTCGGCAAAAAGTAGTTTTGGAATCCTACATTTGTTAGAGCTTGGAACCTTCCGGAAGCCTTACTTCCAACCTTACTCGGAATGGTTTACCGAAAGAGGAACTGCAGGAACTCTGAGAAATGACTACATTTGACCGAATTTCTGCGGGACGGGCATGTGGAGGAACCCCTTGATCACCTCAAGGCGACTATTTATGCCGCAGTTGTCGGGGCGTCCAAAGAGTAGAAACTCAAACAGTACTGCCCCGACAACTCTTGGCAACTCTTAGCAATTCCTAGCAATTCTTAGCAACTTGGTAAGTTGCCAGCCTTCCACAAGTGCATGTTGTTCAGCAGAGAGAGCACCATCTGCCACCGTGAGCCACAAGAACTCATGACAGCATTCAGACTGATGCTATCAGGCGTGATCTGGTTCTCCTCAGCCGCGGTGCAGCACAGTGTGACACCCCTTGATTCTTGTTGGTTTCAATTTCACCTCTTGGGCTGGTTGCACACAATGACAAGTACCGCAAGCAATGATGTAAACAATCATTCAAAAAACGCTCCAAGTGCAAGAGAAAGATTCTGTCATGGAGTTCAGCAAAACAAGCGCCATTTGCCATTCGTCGCCTGAACATGCATGTGTATAGTCGGCGAAACAACGCAAACATGCACAGCGACCAGAGCAAGCATGCGAGGTCGTTAGAATACTTGCAGATTGCACGTGTGGTCATAATAATTACCATGTGGTAGATCCGTTGCATTTTACTGATCACATAAAAATGAAAGCATTACACATGTTAAACATGTTAAGCTTTTTTGCCTTTTATCTTGGCACCGGCCGACAGACAGCACCGGTTGAGTCAGACGTCAGGCCTTTTTCACAGGCACTGATGGCAGCATTGAAGGCGATGAGGCCAGTGAGGCCAGTGCCGTCGTCCCCGTCCCGGCCTCTCCGGCGTTTTCGTTCCTTTCGTTCCTTCAAAAATGTAAAGAGCAGCTGAATGGCCATTTCCCACTGACCGCATGTCTCACAAGCACTGATGGCGGTGTTCCAGCTGATTTCATCAGCCAAGTCCAGATATTTCATGTTCTGCAAGAGTTGGACAGCAAGTGTCCATTGGTACCCCTTTTCCAGCGCACTGATTGCAGCGTTGTAAATCACACAGTTTGGAGCTAATTGCTTCTGACACTCATCCAGAATTTTCAAAGACAAGGGCCACTCACCTGACTTGACTGTGGCCACCATGAGGGCACCGTATGTTACTTCGTTTGGGTCAACTCTTCGTGCCAGCATGTCCTCAATCAAGCTGAATGACAGTTCCCATAAACCAGCTTGGGAAATGACGCTGATAGCTGAAGTAAACGAAATAACGTCAGGGCTCAGTCTGCTAGTTGCAATCCCGTTCAAGAGTTTCAGGGAGATTGTCCAGGAGCTACTCTGTTGACATGCGCTAATGCAGGAGTTGAATGTGACAATGCCTGGGACAAGCGACGCCTGAGATGCTTGTTCCATGATGGAGATGGCACATTGCCATTCACTGGCTTTTTCGCACACTTTAATTGCGCTATTGAAAGTGATCAGGTTGGGTGTGACTAGCCACCTCCTTGCATCCTGTAGGATATGAATACCCAACTGCCACCGCGAATCCATTGCACTAATAAGGGTATTCAAGCTTACAACATCAGGCAAAAGTTTCCGTGTGGAAGTTGCAGAATTCTCAGGCTTCTCCAAAAGTTGAAAGAGTTGCAGTGCTACTTGCCACTGTCCAGCCGTTGCGCTCGCTGCTATAGCAGCACTGATGCACACAATGTCTGCCTGAAGTGAGACGTCTCCCATCTGAAAGAGCAAAGCCAGCGCTTCTTCCCAGAGACCATCTCCTTCAAACGACTTGATGGCAGCACTGTACGCAATCTCATTTGACGCCACACCGTCAGCAAGCTCCATGGACGACAACACACTCAAAGCCGCCTTCCACTCATGTGCGCGACTACAAGATTTGATCGCAGCTCCATACGTCACCTCACTCATTGGGATCTGCCGTGCCTTCATTCGTTCCATGAGATGCAGAGCATGCGTCCATCCCCCTGCGGTAGAACCAGTACTGCCAATGACTGCATTGAAATGGAAGGTGTTCACCTCCACTTCTCTCGCAGAAAGAAAATCCAAGATCCTTACAGCTTCCTGGTGCGGCTCGAAATGTTTGAGAGACTCAACCCACCGTGCTACCTGGTGCAGTATCAATGCTCAATGATTCTTAATGTGTTTATTTTATTGAATTCAAACCAAGCAAATGTTATCATGATTTCTGCATCGTTGTGCTGACCTTTCCTTACAAGTAGCGGAAGGCTGAAGATTCTGAAATACCAAATATCATATCAAATCACAAATCTATGAGACGGTATCGGTTCGTGGTCCTCCGCTGAGACTCCGCTGTTTTGATATACAAACAGAATTTTAAAGACATGCCCTTCCTGGAGCTGATCCCGTGCAACGTTCTTCAAGAATTTGGTGGCCAACTGCGGGCTCCTGGAAAATCGGAGCGAATTTAATCAGAAAAGAAACTACTAGGGAAATCAGAATGATGGGAAATTACGGTTCACTTGGCTAGACACATGCAATTCATGTTATTTAATGTTAATTGTTGTTTGACAGCCTCTCCTGCGGCATGTCTTGATAGCTTCTTCCACGGCTGCATGTCCAGCTTCTCCACGGAGAGCAAGAAGGCCTTAGACTTATTAGATCAAGGCGTCTGCACTCGGCAAGAGCAATGTGCATGATGATCTCATCACGGCATCACGGACATCATGACAGTCACAAGCTGACCTTGCTTGTAAATTCTTGTAAAAAAAACTTGTGATGTCATTTCTGCCAAGCTCTGCCAAGAAACTCTGGTCCCCCCGAACCATGAGCCGGTGGCCCAGGCCGGGCCGGAGCTAATTCGAAGCTTGAAGTGACCATATGGCAAACATTTTGCAGCACGGCTTGGGCTTGTGACTAAGTCAAGCTGTACTTCCACCCAACAATTAGATACTGTAGTATCTGAATCTGAGTATCTGTATTCAGTTTCCTCTCAGCAGGTGAGTGACATTGAGTGTCATTTCATGCACTCAATTCATGTTGGTCACAGTGACTCATTCCACTTTATTTCTGCATGAACTTGCTGGGCTGCTTGCAATTCCCGCAATCTTTGCGTTGCCGCTTTTTACCAAAAAAGGACACAATCTGATGCTTTGTCGGATGATGTCGGATGCTATGACTCGCACTTTTTCAATGCCAAAGTGGTCTTCGCCAATCCCGGCCGGCACTTCAGCGACTTCGCACGCACTGACTGAGGCGAAAAACAAGTGACTTGCACTTGACAGACCTGACAGACTCAACGATTGCTCAAGGGTTGCTCGTTGCTCAGCATCAGCAGCTCAACCAGTCATCTTCCTACAGCATCATATCATATCATACCTTCATATAACTTATATAATCTTAATTAATCTTATATATCCTCTACGTTACAAGAAGCCGGAAATAATTCCCTGAAAATCGCCTATGCATGAGGCGAGGACGCCTGAGGCCGTTCTCCAGGAGCTGCCTTGCATTGTCCCATCGGTTCAGCTTTAGACGTGCCAAAACTTTACTAAAGTACTGGCCAAAGTGTCAGCAAAGAATGCGACGGCACTGCTGCGAATCAAGACGTGTCGAGACATGTCAAGAATCAAATCAAATAAAATCTGACATCAGAAATTATCAGAAACTATCAGAAGCGTTCTGGACGAAGTCCCCCCGGAGTTTCCCTCAAAATCCCAGCTGTCCCAGCTGCCTCTGACGCAGGCGTTCATTAGAGCACTGCAATTTGCCTCGTCCATGGAGACGTATCCCAGGCTCTGCATCCTACGTAGCGTGGGCTAAAACAACATAAATCAACATATTAATGAACAACATAATGAAACACATCGAAACACAAAGCACCAAGCGAGAGATAAAAACCAGCGAGAAAACCCTGAATCTGAAACTACAGTGTCCCTTGTTCATAATTGGTCTAAATTCCAGGTGTTGACTTTGTTTTTTGTTTGTCACTTTTTGTCACTATCTCTACTGATCTCTACTGGCACAAAGCTGACACCAAAGCTGACACTATCCTTGCACGATTTGCACGCCTGTTCCAGGCATCCAAAGCCAGATTCCACTCGGTTCGCCAAGCTGCAATGGCAGCACCAAAACTATATCGACTCGGAGCAGGGGCCGGAAGGGCACTCTGTCCTGTGATATGAACACGGATAGGCTTCAGAATTGTGCAGATTGTGCAGTGTGCACAGCCACCAAACACACCAAAAATACCAAACATATCCAAACCTCAGTATCCTCAGTCCTTTTTGGCATGCGCTGATCACGGCATCGTAGCTTCCGTCGACGGGCTCTATCGTTGATCCAATCATGGTATTCAGCAACAATGAAGCAAACCTCAACGGCCCAGGAACGGCCCTGGCAGGAGTCCCAGGTGCAACAAACGCTACAACTACCTGGCACATCCTGCCACTAGGCCCAAAGGCTACACTGAAAGATGATGAAAGATGTCGTCTGATGTCGTCTGATGTCGTCTGATGTCGTTTGGACATGTTTGGACAAGATGCTGCCATCGTTGGCACTTCTCACAAGCGCTGATGGCAGCGTTGAAGTTAATCTCGTCAGATTCCACCTGTCGCTGCGTGGCTGCCAAGTCAGATGAAGAACTCCAACAAACATAGGACATGCTCAGACTATCTCAGACTCATGAAATGATGGCGTCGAATTCTGAAATAGGTTTGCTGGAAACAACATGAAACAACACTAGCTCTGAACATGTCTCTGGCAGGCCATGGTCGATGTTTTTTCGGTGAGCCTGTTTTTTGGCGCATTGAAGAGAGGACACGCACTGCGAGCTGCCATTGATGTCCTTTCTCGCAAGCGCTGATGGTGGAACCGTAGCTGATGGCATTTGCACCAGCATCAGATTCCTGGCAATTCACTGTTGTCAGAGGTTTGAAAACCAAGTTCGTGGGTCAGAATTCGAGTAATTATTACCTGGTAGAAATACTGCATGGCCTTGCTTTCGAATTGAAAAGTGATGAACCACATTGACACATCATCCATCATCATCCTGTGTTGTTGTTCTATATTCTGCCTGTTAAATCGTTATTTGACTGCAGAAATCCTCCCGACCCTGCCAACCTCCAGAGAAGCTTCAAGGAAGGTCACTGCGACTTCCCAGCAGGAGGACTTTTCACATGCGCTGATTGAGGCAGCGAAGGAAAAGGCATCTCGGAGGGCTCTACCTAGACCGGAAAGTTCGGAAAGACTGATAGCACTGCTATAGCACTGGTAGCACACCTCACTGCTTTGTTTGCTTCACAGGTCAGAAGCCGATCAATGGCGTTGCAGAATTGACTGATTTTGGGAGGTTGCTTTCTTGTCCATCTGTTTGAGCTATTCGGAGTGAAGACGCTGTAGTGCTTGCAAAACAACTCTAATAGGAAAGAGAGAGTTGTAGCCTCTGTCTAAGGTTCGAAGAGAAAGTTTCAAGAGTGACAGCTTCGAAAAGATACGGTACGTCGAGATTCGTTCAGTCAATGAAATTGCAAAAATTGCAATATATCAGTGAAATGGCGAGGAAGTAAGGAATATTACGGAATATTAACAAATCGATGCTCGAATCAGAGATACCCACAGCCCAGAAAATATAATTCTGTCATATTCTGTCCAAGTTGCATTGTGGCATTTGGCCAAAGATCTCCACTGCTAAAGACCACTGCAAGCTTTTCTCGCAGGCACTTAGAGCAGCATTGAGAGCAATCTGTTTTGCACCAACCTCCAAAGCAACACATTCTTATCTGTTCGAGCTGCACACTGCCCGCATTTCTATGAATTTCACTCACCCAACTATATCATTCTTGAATTTCAAGGTTAACCAATCTTGCCGCTCCTTCGTTGCATGAAATTGCTGCAAGACGTTCACAGCCCCCTTCCAATGTGATGACTTCTCACAAGCACTGAGACAAGCAGTATAGCCTCTGCACAGCACAGCACAATGAACATAAAAAGAAAGGAACTGCTTGGCGAATATGAACAAAACGATCAAAACCGTGCAACTTGGTAGAACTTGCTGTTTCTGTCACTTCAAAATCTCGTCCAGTGCAATCAGGTGGCTGATCTCATCCGGCACCTGACGGCATGAAAAATCATGAAAAGGGCCCACATGAACTTCATGCCGCTTAGGGCGAGAAATAGCGAGGGTGCACATCCCATGGGAAACGAACCTTTTGCATCCTTTTGCCCTTTTGACTCGGGTTGACTTATGCTGCTAACATCTGCTGACTGAATCTGACTGATGCCCACCTGCTTCGAAGCCTTCATGTGCAACATGCAGGAAAATGCTCTCTGCCACTGTCGCATTTCTTCGCAAAAACCCAAAGAGGTGTTGCAAGCAAAGACATCTGCACGCACCTGCGGCACAAACACGTACAAAATTGTCAGCCTGACAATAGAATGTGTTGCATGTGTTGGTGCCAAAGTGGGAATCTCCAGGCAATGATCCAATACGCGGCGAAACACATTGGTGCAAAGCTATTGTAATCCATGGCAACCTTCCGAACTACATCAGACTACCCTCCCAACCTTGGTTCTTTGCATCTCCGCCAGCAAATTTTCCGCAGCTTCCCAGCGTGCAGCTCCGCACGAGAAAGCCAGTGCTGTGTAGGTCACTGGTGTTACCACTGGGGCCACCACTGGGGTTACGAGAAGTGTTTGTGTTGCTTGTATGACTCGTCCACTTCTCGGATCATTTCGCACATCTGACACGTCGCGGATCATTTTTTGTCGCATATCCTCGAGCAGTTTGATCCCGACGGTCCAACCACCGTGAGCGCATGTATCTATGGCGGCATTCATGACAACCTCGTCTGCCTCCACATCCTTTAGTGTGCACAACGACAATTCCCATTCATGGTCAAAGGCAGAAACAAGAGAGCTGTAAGTAAAAGCATCTGTAGAAATTCTGGATATGCCCATGCATGCAAAGAGCTCCCAAGCCAAATGCCAGTGATCTCCACATGAGCAAGCACTGACAGCTGAATTGCAACTGATTGAATTTAATCTCAGCCCATTCTGTTGTCCCAGATGTCCCAGGTAGATCAATGCCAATCTCCATTGTTTTCTCTCAGTGCAAGAGTTCATGCAGGATGTGTGGCTGATCTCATCGGCCACTCGACCAGTCAGAACGGAAAGACCATGTTGCCACTTCGACGAGGCAGACGAGGCCATGATGGCAACGTTGCAACTCACGGCGTCTTTTTGAAGTTTCAAAAAGGACATCTCTCGGAACAGCTCAAGGGATCGCTTCCACTGTCCCGCTTTGAGACACGCATCCATAGCAGCATTGAAACCTCAGTCAGGCCTAGACCTGGAGGTGTTTACGAATTCTACGATACATATACATTGTATCAATTGTAATACATAACTATATATATATTAGATTATATGAGATATTATGAGATTATATGTGAGATCATATGTGACACTATGTGACATTATGTCTGTATATGCATCATCCAACAGGAACTTTGGCTACCTTCAGTACCCTTCAGTCACCATCTCCGCGTTGAGGTGATTAGCGCGAGGTACATTCCTTTTAAGGCTCATTCTTTGCAGGCAAGGGATGGCAAGGGATGGCAAGGGATGGCAAGGGATGGCAAGGGATGGCAAGGGCTTCAAAATATTCTGCATCTGAGCGTCTGATTTCTGTGATATCCGTCTTGAGCAGCTCCAAAGCCAATTGCCAATCGTTGCTGGCGGCACAAGCAGAAAGGGTTGCGGAACAGTGGAAACTGTTCACTTCGAGCTGGCGTCTCTGCCTCGGACTCTCAAAATTTCAGTACAAATGTGGTACTTATGTGGTGCTTACTGTTGATGTTTTTGGTATCGGTGTTTTTTTTCTTATTTTGCTACTGTTGCTACAGTTGCTACTGTTGCTACTTACCGAGCCTCTTGGATGGAACAGCTTTGATCCTATCATATTTGGGCCCTGCTGCATGGCTCAGCCAGCTTCAATTTTGTTTCTCTAAGTTTGCTGTGTTGTGCCATTCAACGTAAAGTAGAAAAAGCAAACGGCGTGTTATTGAACGTCCAGGCACATCCAATTCAAAACTTCAACCGCCACCTCGGGTCAAAATGACAGAGTTCTGCCGATGTCCACTGTCTATTTGTCTATCTGTTTTCTCTCGGATCTTTCCTTTGCAAGACATTATCTTCAACATCTCACTTCCTTGGAGCGATGCACTGTATGGCCTTGTGGCATGAGTGAAAGCTGCATTGCTGCATTTGTACAGTAAGGCTTTGTGCTCCAATTTTGCGTGTCCAATTGCATGTCCAGCCTGTGTTTCCTTCTGCTTGGCAAGCTTGGTCAAAATGCTTGTTGGCAATCGAGGAGTGAAGCAACGGTTCTCCAGACTCTCCCGCAACAAAGCCAAGGCCTGAAGACAAGAAGCAACTGAAATTCATGCGAAAGCTAAAGGGAGCTAAAGTAGTCGAGTTTGAACCTTGCCGTGAAATATGACTTGAAATGAGAAGATATGAGGTTCGAAGCATGTGAAATGTCCTCAAACAGAAATGCCATACTTGAAGGTTCTGGCGCCCAAATGGATTTCTGAGGAATGAAAATGATCTTCTGTATGTCTACAAAATGTGGGATGGCCAAAACAAAATGCGGCTAAGAAATTCAATGCCATGAGATGTTCAAAAGGAGTTGAGTCAGAAGGGGCCGAGGATCAGAAGCCGGAGGCCTTCAAGTGCTCAGGTGTGGGGAATCATGGAAGGGCAACTTCTATACTGAGTTCCTACAGGTCACCGAAGTAGTGAAACGCATGAAGTATTCAACACATCGAGGCTAGAGAAAGTCAAAGACGAGAACATGATGCTGCCAATGGCCACGGTCATCACCCGAGTCGGAGAAAGAGTGCGGAGCATGGGAGAACACATAAGTATTAGCCTATTAGCCACGTTCCAGTTCATCCAATTCAATCCAATTCATGTGTCAATGTCTCTGTGATTTTGTGTGTCGATTTGACCCAGCCTTCGAGAGTTTGTCACCAAACACTCGCGAAGCAATGCCGGCTCGGGACCCAGTGGACTGATCTGGAGCAGATGCCACACTCACTGAGTATACCGAGCACGCCAAAGTTGGGAGCATTCCAACATTCCAACATGGCGTCAGAACATGTTGGAACGTGCTATGCTGTCCCGCATCCGGAGGCCAGAGGCTTCGCTTGACGCTTGACCTTTTCGGCTCCAGACCCTGCGGGTCTCATCTCAAACAATCCAATTCTAGCACCACCTCAGAATATCTCCGACCTATTGCCATTTGCGGGATCCGTAGAATTTCGTTCGCCACTCCCTTCATGTGCCAACAAAGTCTGCTTTGTGGTTGTGCAAACAGATCGACGTAGATCAAAACAATAAAGATGCACTTAGTCGCAAAACGTTGCAATACAATGAGTTGCAATGCATCTCTTCTCCTTTTCCGCTCGCAACCTGCTGGGGTGCAGAAGGTTTGCTGTTTTGGGTTTCCAAACAGCATGCCAAGCCAAACTACGTATGGAGATGACACTACCAATACACACTGGTGGTACACATACACGCAAACGTCCGCACAGCTTTGACTAGAGCTTATGGCTTATGGCTTACGGAATCTTGGCTCAAGGCCTGAGCGTTGGTCGAGCAAAAACTGTGTTGCTCTGCTTTGTAAAGCATCGCACACATATGAAGAATTGCACTTCAGGGAATCCTCAGTTCGTAGGAAGGGAATGTATGTGACCATGTCTGTCACACCCGTGACACACATTTCATTTTCAAAATCCCAAGCTTCCTGCAAAGCAAGCACCTTGCAAGAAGCTGCTATTAAAGAATTATGTGTGCAAGCATCAGCTTCTATCAGGTTATCTGACATCTCTTCAAACACCTTGAGGGCTCGTTTCTGCAAACCTCCATTGCCACATGCACTGATGACAGCATTGTAGGATATCAGGTTTCCTTCCACATGTGTTTGCTGGAAGTCCTCAAACAACCTCAATGCAGTGGCAAAGCGCTTGCCACTTTCACACGAATTGATCAGAGTACTGCATGTGACTGATGTCGGTTGGATAGATGCCGCACGCATCTTCCGAAACAAAGAAAGTGCGGAGTCTACTCTAGATAGGCGCGAGCAGGAACTAAGTAAAGCATTGAAAGTGATGACATCACTTTGCAATCTTTGAAGATTCATGTCTTTTAACAGATCAACTCCTTGACGAAAATAACTGCATTTGTCGCACGCGCTGATCAGTGCATTGTACGTAATCTCAGTTGGGCTGATCTGCCTTCGAGGCATCTCATCAAAGAGCGACAAGGCAAGATCCGCCTCCCGAAGCTTCCCAAGGGGCTTCCCAAGGGGCTTCCTAAGGGGCTTCCCTTAACAACCTAACACTGTGATAGGTCAACCTTGTACTTTGAACAGCAATGGTGGTAAAGGGGCGCTCGCGCTTATTCACATGTTCATACTAATTCACACCTATTTATACCGTACCTATTCATACCTATTCATTGCCTCTTGTTGCCATGAATGTCTGTCAAGCCGCCCTGTAAGAATTGTGCGAACAACGCATACTTGCAAAACATCCAGCCTTCTTGCTCTTCTCACAACTAGTGATCGCAGCGTTGTAGGTGATTGCATCTTGCTCTACGATCTGAAGCTGCATAGATTCGAAAAGCCACATGGAGGTCTGCCACTTACCACCACAGGAACTGATAGCAGCGCTGCACGCTACCACGTTTGGGAGTAAAGCACTCGAGCCCATGCTTTTCAATACAGCCAATGCAGCGTCAGTGTCCTGCTGCTTTTCGCAGGCGCTGATCAAAGTGCTGTAGCTTGCAACATTTGGGCGCAGCTTCCAGGTTAACATCTTCTCAAATATCGACATGGGAAGCTCATCTGCTGCCAGAAGCATGTTGCAAGCCAAAGTGGATGGCTTCCAAGCTCTTTCTCTCATGTCAAATAGAAGTTGCTTTGCTGCAATAACATTCTTAGACTTGGCAAATGACGCTATCAACGAATTATACGTTGTTGACATTTGAGAAGCCGACATTTGAAGAATCCGTTGCCTCCGGAACAGCGAAAGGAAACTGAGAGCGTGCGGCCAGGCCTCGGAAGACACACCACCAATCTCGTCAGCGCATACAGAGCCAGGAGAATGTGGATGTCTGGGATTTTGCAGATTTCCAGAATGTTCTCTCAGGTTCTGTATCTGTCCGCTGGTGAGATCCAGTTGCCTGAGGTGTTGCTTTGACGCTTTATGTGCGTTTAATTGCGTGTACATATAAAATCATATATATTATAAGAGCCTGGGTGCACTGCTTTTTCGCAAGACAACTTCACGAACAAGCCAAGCGATCAAAAGCTGAACATAGCTGAACGCTAACTCACTATCTTACACGTGGCTGTTCTATACTCGGAGCTGGAAGCATGGTTTCTTACTTTCCAAGAGTCCAAGCTCAAGAGTTATATGAGTTACATGCAACCTTCATCAGTTCTGCAGAGGTGAAGGTACATGCAAGCTGAATAAAAAAACATGAAAATGTCCTGTCAAAAAAATCCAGTCAGGAAATGGCATGGTAAAAAAGAGCCAAAAGTCTTGCTGCATTGTGGCCAGGCTGCTGTAACTTCTCAATACAGATGAAGACCGACTCCCAAATGTTTGCTATGCTGAAGGCTGAGGCTAAAGACGTTAACAACACAAGTTGTGCTTTAGTCGACTCAATGGACACAGTCGACGCCAGTGACGCTGACAAAGCTGACACGGTCCACTGCCATCCTCGTTGATGACATGCTTCGTGGACGACTCTCTTGGGCATCTCTGACGAAGCATGAAAGGCAAGTTGCCAGCTGTGGGCAGAATGCAACCGCATCGTCCACATAGAATTGGAGTCAAAGATCTGTAAGGCAAAGGCCCATGAAGATTGAGGGAGCAGCTTGAGACTCTGGCTAGGACTACTCTGCAAAGCTATATTTTTTTCCAGTAGAGATAGGACCTGTTCCCAATGCATTCGACTTTGCTTGGTCAAACTCGTTGCCAAGGCATCGTAGCTAAGTTGGTCTGCTTGAATTTGAGAAGCTCTCATGGATTTGAGTAGCTGCAAAACGCACCACCATTCCCCACACACAGCACAAGCATTCATGACTGCATTGTAGGCAGCAACATCTAGCGTAATTCTAAATGAAATTGAACCTGCCAAGTGCTGCACTGCTTGTTGCCACAGTGCGTCGTGACCGTCGTGACCGTCGTGACCTTCAAGAGAGTCGTATGAGTCGTAGCCTGTGATAGACCTAGTGATAGCAGCAAATGAAAATTTGTCTTGGAGGACCTCTGAGAGTCTCATGTTGGTCAAAATCGTTTGAGAGGCGTGCCATGGTGCAATTTTTGTAGCTGCAGTCAACATCACTGCATCTGAACGAACCGAACGAATGCGTCCGTGCCTAAGGCAGCTTAACACCAGCTGCCAGGCAGCTTTTTCACAGCCGCTTATTGTGGAAGTCATCAGCGAAGCAGCTCTCTTGTCGTCTTTGTCATCTCCAAATGCATCTTTTCTGTGGCTCTGTTCAGAAAGCCTCCTCAGTTGGAACCCTTGCAGTATCGCCACAGCACTCCTCCACTTTCCTTCTTGTCCACATGATCTAACTACCACGTTGTAAGCTGCACAACTCTGCACTGATGTCTTGCCATCGTGTAGATCTAGAGCAATGGTCCACTGGCGACCTCTCGAGCATGACGAGAGAGTGCTTTGAAAAGAGATTTTGTCAGGTTTTAATGCTGAAAGCGCAAAGTTTGCAAGAATATCACAGGTGTCCTGCCATCTTAGTGAGTTGATTGCCACGTTGGACAAAACCACTTCACTTTGTCTCTTGGGGTCAGCTAAGAGGCAAAGCAAGGCCCACTGTGACACCCGGCCACAAGCGCTCAGAACCGTTGTCTTCTTGGCAACATCGTTGGAACTAAAAGGCCAGTCCAGAGATTGCAAAGCATCTTGCCACTTCCGACTCTGTGCAAAAGTTTTGATCATTGGCTCAACGGCGTCTCTTGAGGTCAAAATGCCAGAGACAGTGAATTTTGCAAAGCAAACTGCAGCACAGATTTCACCAAGTGTTCAGTTTCCGACAAACAATTATGTTTTGGAAATGTTACTTCAAGTAAAACCACGGTGTTCGTCCCATTGTTCTAGGTCAATATCATGGAGCTAGAAAGAAAGTGTGTTGAGCTGCACACTCGAAGCTACGACTCTGATCGGGTTGCTGCATTAAAGCGACACGTAAAAAACATGCATATTAATGCATATTATTCAACATGCATATGTATCGCAATAATGTGTATGTGAATCGTGAACTCCCATGTCCTTCATGTGATTCCTGTGATTCTCCAGTTGGCTGCCAAACCTTTCCAATGCCGTGCATCATCTTGGCCCAGATCAGAGGTGGGTGGGATGAGGACCATAAACCTTTGAGCTGCGGTGGTGGAAAAGCTACGTGTGATTGGGTGCAGGGCCATCCTTATGATTTCATTTAATCAGCGACAGGGTCGTTGTTTCTTCACTGACAAGGTCAGATCAAAGCATTTCTGGTTTGGAGACTTCGCTACCAGTTTAGAGTGTATATCTGTGTATGTATGTGTATAATTGTGTATATAGATATACATACACAATATGTAATTGTACATAATTACACGATATTATACGTACAAAACGATACAAAACGTACAATACATTCAATCATTTGAATAGACCTCTTGCCGGCAGCTGAAACTCACGCACTCTGACCAAAGCGAAAGCCCTATCCAGATCCGATGAGATTTGCCTATCACTTTCTACATCTCATCTGCAAGCAGTCTTGGTCACCATATGCACAGAACCAGCTTCTGGAAGCTTGAGTTCTGTGATCTGATCGAAATAGAATGAAATAGAATGAAATAATAGAATGTATATCAAAATTGAAATACATGTCCTTTACAGAGTTCGAAATTCAAACACTTTCGGCTTCTGCAATTTCTGCACGTTGCTGCACCGCTGTTTTGGCCTTTTCAGCTGCATCTATTTCTGTCTCCACACCACACTGCCTTTGAAAGCTCTTTGTACATTCTTGCCTTGACACCTTGGGAAGTCCAAACTTCAACAGAAAACAGATTTCTCTGATTTGCGCCTGCCTTTAGCCCGATGTAGTCTTGCCAACACCAGTTTCAGGTCGGAAGGTAGCGGCTCTTCCACCTTGCCAAAGGGCAAATTGGTCAAGTGGCAAAACTAAGATTTGTGTATTAAACGTGTGAAGACTGCCATCCTGCAAAACGGTCGAAACGTATCGAAACAATGCCTGAGGCACCTTGGTTTGTGAGGTCCAAGAGGCTTCTGTAGAGAACTCCAAGCAATATCTGTGCAAGAAATTTCGTGGGCACCACAGACGGTCTTCTTGAAAGGTTGCTGCTGAAGCATACCTGGCATCGGTAATAACTGGATGTCCCACATGCGCCGTGTGTAGACGGATCTGGTGGCATCGACCTGTGACGATGTGAATTTTGACGAAAGACACAGCCCTGGCCCAACTCGCAGAGTCGCTCGAGCAACTCGCAGAGCTGGAACTGCCTTCTGCTTCAGCTCTGCCTTCTCTGCCTTCTCTGCCTTCAGCTTCATCGTGGTTATAGCTGCTGTAGTCGCTATAGTCATTGCTATCGGCTGTTTTTTTTTCATTGCAAGTGTTCAAGGGCTCAGCAGAGAAAGCCGCTGCTGTATGATGTGTATGATAGCATGCCACGGTTTCCAGTAGTGTCACCGCAGGCTTGCCGTACAACAAGACTCGGCTTCCAGAAAGCCATGCAGGTCCATCCTCCAGCCAATGAACATTCGCTTCAATCCTTGTGGGACATGACCAGCCATGACACAGTACGGCATAGTCTCTTGTCATGGCTCCAGACACCAACTGCAGCTGCAAGTCATAGTAAGCTTGGTACGTGGTGGCCACGAGAATCAGTCCGGAAGTTGGGATGTCCAAGCGATGCAAAAACCCACGACGGTGCTTCAGGTCGCCCAGCAGCTGCTGTTGGGACAGTGGGAGAACTGATCGCAAGAAGCACGAGAGCAGACGCCGCTTCGAATCGTCCACCACAGAATCATCAACCTGCCATTGACGACATTTGACGACTCAGGGTGCACAATTTCTTAAGTTTTCTGTGTGTTAGTCTTTACGTCTTTATACACACATTTGAGATCATTTGAGGCTGTGATACTGCAGGATGGCTTCGCTAGATTTGTTTATCAGAATTGTTTTTCTCTTGTCTTCAGCGTAAGTCTTTGGTTTGGTTGTTTGTTGTTGAACGAGCACCGAAACGCTTCTTCCACAGAGCTAAATCTCACCTGCCATCCTGTGGGCTTCAGCACCACCAGTTTTTGCTGCAAAGCCTTCACGATCTCCGGAGACTTCGACAACTTCAATCGTGAGAGACTCGAAGGGAACATCGATGACTTTGCACCTTCTGACTCTTCTGACTCTTCTGACATCATCTCTGTTTTGTCTTCTGTTTTGTCGCTGGTCGGCTGAGCGACATGGGATGTGACTTCGGAAGTGACTTTGGAGGTGCGCCGTCCTTCTCGCTGGTCGAGGCTGTCCGCTAAATGAAGCACCGCTGACTTGATGCCAGCCAGGACGGAAGTGGGAAGCTGTTGGCTAAAGGTTGACGCCCACAAAGTCTGCAGCAAAATACTGGCAGCGGTGGCGGAAGACTCAGTAAGCTCAGCAACTGCAGTATCATGATGCTCAGTAGGCCCAGTAGGCTCGGTGCGTCTGAGGATCTCCTGTTGTAGTGTATGATACACGTCATGGATTTCAAAAACCTTCTCTCCTCCAGTTTCAGTTTCATGAAACACGACACAAGGCTTTCTCGAATTTCTCGATCCCATCAGACTTCCCAAGGCCCACAGCAAGTTGCCCAAGAGCTTCAGTGGCAGTTGCTTGTGATGCCCAAGTGCAAGCCTCAGCAGCAAAATCACCAAAACATGAAAACAATCGAAGACAATCTCCAAGACAATCTCGATAATCCAAGGTTGAAGACTATTGACTATATGTATATGTATATCCCACTACATTTGCTCCATGCTACGACGTCTACGACGTCTACGAGCTACATCGAGCTACCACCATCGAACTCAATTTAGGTGGGGTCTTGATTGATTACAAGTACTGCGTTTTTCGATTCGATGATCGTAACATGAATATACATGAATCATCATGAATCCACAGTCAATGCCCAGAGCTGACGCCTGGCAGTTTGGTTCCAAAAACATCCTGCTTACCGCACTACCACCACAATGCACAAGGGATTCAGCAAATTCTTAGTCCCGGACAGCCGACGCAGTTTCCTAGTGGCCTCAAGGAGAAAGGCATTGTCTTGTATGTTGAGCACTGCCATGGACCACCTTTGTGTCAGCTGCACACAATTGCACATGTATGCAGCATACGCATGCACATTATGCAAATTATGCACGTCATGCTTTTGTGCTTTCGATTTGCTTTTGGAGCTTTCAACTTGTCGCGAAGCTGTTTCAAGAAACATTTGTCTCTTGTTAATCGTGGTATTTCAAGTTTTGTAGCCATTTGTAGCCAGGCCACAGACAAGTACCAAGGTCCGAGATGTTTGCATCCGCTGCATGAATCGCAGCCCGGCGCCATGCACGTGTGAGATTGTGCGGTGAAATGTCGAACATAGCCAGCTGTGCCATCTTGGCCAGTCGCCAAGTGATCTGGGCAGCCGGCCCCTTGCCTTCGTAGGATTCATCCTGGAACGGACTCTGGAGATCTGCGGAGAATCTCAGTCGTGACATGTCGTGACCCAAAGATACCCAAAGACTCATCGTTAGACCGTTTAGACCTGTCCTTGACGGAATCAGTGCCTCGAGTCTGGCATCAACTTGAATCTGGAAACAACGTGTGCACATGTTTGATGTTTCTACGTGTCTTGGAGTTCAACACTTCTTGGTGACAATTCGCACGTGTTTAAGGAAAACAGTTGACAAAATGCTTGACAAGACACACAGGGTAAAGAGCTGAGCTCCGCCAGGGGTTGAATCATCCACCAATAGAGCCAATACCTTGGTGATACAAACAAGATAACAACACGGTTTCAGCAGGCTCTACAAAAACACCCCAAGACGCGCATGGCTTACTACAGCATCAGTGGTAAGGTTGCTGGGATACCAACATGTGCTGACCAAGAGAACCTAACAAACATGATACAACATGATACAAACGTGGAAGCGCAGAACACAACCTGGCCTGCTCCCACTTCCTGGTATTTTCACATGCGGTAACCACTGCATTGAAACCTGGGCAAGGTGAGAAACTGGCAAAGTGCAAAGTGCTCTTGGAAAGCTGCTGTAAGAAGTCTTTATATATTTAATTATTTATATATATATAAGAAGTCTTTACTTGTCTGTGTAACAATGTGTAACAGGTGCAACCTCAGGGTCTCACTTATGGAATCTGGAGTCACATCGGCAACTCTCATCCGCGCAAATAGCTGAACTGCTGTCTGCCACATGCTCGCTCTTTCGAATGCACTCAAAGCCTTGGCAAACGTTATGAATTCGACGAGAATGGCACAGAACATTTGTAACATGCAAAGTGCTGGGGCTCAGAATATGGTAGCTGCATTTGCACACCAATCCCGCTGTAACCACAGACATGCGAGACGATTCTTCACATAACATCACATAACATGCTTTTCTGTGGCACTCTCTTGCATGCACAAACACAGAACGAACCGGAGAGATTACTGGGTCAACAATGGTCAACATGTTTAAGAAATATGTTTCACTTATCTAACCTATCTATACCTATCTAACAATCACAAAATGCCTTTGGACTCAAACGGATTCAAACGGGTCACTGCATTGTAAGAGACCGCATCAGCCTCTGACCCAAGCAGTTGCAGGAGAGACAAAGCTCGTGCCCATTCACGAGCATGTCCACATGCACTGATCACCGCGTTGAATGTAAAGAGATTGGGCTGAAGAATGCGGTCAGACATTTCTGACAGTAAGCAAAGTGCCAGTTGCCACTGCTTGCCTTTTTCACAAGCGCTGGCAGCCGCACCAAAGCAGACAATGTCTTTTACAGGCATTGTGTGTAGGAGGAAAAGGGCTTGCGGCCACTGGAAGGCTTTTTCACATGCACTTATGACCGTACTAAGACTGAACTCGTCCGACTCGATTCCCAGAAGTACAAGTGCAGCTTGCCAGGCACTCACTTCTGAGCATTCTTTAAGCACAACATTCGCACAAATTGCAAGCTTTCGATGTCCTGCGTCTTTGGCTGTTTGAAGCACGTTAAGACCTTCTTGCCATCCACTGAAAAAAGTGTCAAAAACATCGGAAGCACTGCGAGCAGCTTGACTCCTTACTTTAATTGCAGATGACACACTGAAAGAATCTGTTTTAAGGCCATGTCTTCCATAACTGCGCAACGCGTCCAGCCAAATGCCGTTGGACAAGCCAGAGCTGCCCGAAGCACAGGTATGAAGATAGCTGTTGAACGACAAAACATCAGGGAGGATCGAATTTGATGCCATGTCATCCAGCATCACAGTGGCTCTGGCCCATGCAGGTGTGGTGAATGAACCCAAAACTGAGTTTAAGGTAACGACATTCACCTTCAATTGTTGCTTAGCGGTCGATGTCAAGACAGACAACACAATTCGCCAGTCTTCTCCACGCAAAGCAGTGTGATATGTTATAAGATCTGGAACCGGAGCAAAGAAGCGCATGGACCGCATGGAATTCAGCAAGTGCACATCAGTCTTCCAATTCGAGTCTGGTACTGACGCCAGCATAGAGTTCCAGCTGAAAATATCTGGTTGAACCAAACCAGCTGGCATTGAACTCAGGATGTGGCAAGATCTCCTCCACAAACACAGCTTTGACTTTTGGAGCACATCCAATGCTGCCATGTAGGAGAATTGGTCAGGTCTCAGCTCTTCCATCATCAAGAAATGAAGAGAGTGCTTCCAGGCATCTTGCGTTTTGCATGAGGAAATGAGACGGTTGTAGGAAATTGTGAGGTCTTGTGGCTCTTTCGCACTGTTGTTTGTGTTGCGATTCAGAGTTTTCAGGTTGCCAACAAGTGCCAGAGTGATTGGCCACTTGAGCGAATTCATCACGCAGTTGTAGCTCACTGCATCAGCACATGAGTTGCATTTGAATTCTTTGAGTAAGTCCAGGTTTTCTTCCCAGTTGCGACAGCCAGAAAGAATAGCATTCGAGTGAAAAGTGTTCACTTGGAAAAGAGCTTTGTCCAGTGTCTTAAGCAGCTGCAGCGCTTTCTGCACTGAACTTCTGGACTGCACTTTGAGAGCTGCAGCCACTTCCCGCGGATCAGGTGGTCCAAGACGTTCGGATCGGACGGCCTCGATCTGTTCAAAGAAATACCTCGTCCCACACGCCGTAGAGTCCGTAGAGGCCGCCAAAGACGTTGGCGCTGAAATTTTGACACGTGAAAATTGCAGAAACATGGTGTTGATTGGTGTTGCCTCTAATTGTTAGGCTTCACCGTGGCATGGCCAACATGAAATTGACAGCAGAAACACTTCATCACTGCCTGCCGCTTGTCTTCAAGGTGGCCAGAGTATGCCAGAGTATGCCAGAGTATGCCAGAGTATGCCAGAGTATGCCAGAGTCACAGAGATCCAAAATGCCATCATCAATTTTCTTGTTTGAGCTATCCAAAACTTTGCGGCACATTCCAAACGCCTCATTTGCACTTCTTGCTGTGAATGCGCAGCCTGGTCTGTTTTTTTTTTGAATGGTTCCATGGTCGATTACACGTCAAAGTAGGATTATCTACGTTACTGTAGAGGAAAATTCGAATTCCTGCACTTGATTTTTGATGAAGTTCTGCACAACAAAGCGCATCTGGTCTTTCGTTTAGCTGTCGTTGCATTGAGAAGAGTGAATCCAACACTGCAAGGTGACAAAAGCCGAAAAAGATGAAAAAGGCACCACATCTCACATTAGCTCCCTCCGTTGATGAAATGCTTTTCTCTGCATTTTTTTAAATCTCTGGCGAAATCGGACACAGGCAGTGACGCTCCATAGATGTCGCTATGCAATACGGCTGCAACATCAGTCTTGTTCCAAGATGGTTCACCGGTTTGCAAATTAGGTCTCATACCCTGGGCCTGGGACTTGCAAGAGCTTGGACAAACAGCACACCATTAATAGTAGAAGCACAAAGACTGCCGAGTTGAAAGCGAAACTGGCCAGTTGCAGGCCTTGACTCTCTGATGCCATTTGCAAGCTGTTTGTAATGTTGCCTTGTCTTCGCTTGCACAACTGGGTGGAAGAGAGCTCGCTCTTCGTCCTTATCAGCTTCTTTCATATTTTTCCCCCCGCAATGAATTTACCCCCGCTTAATCTACAAAAAATTGAATGCCTCCCCCCCGGCCCTGGGCTGCCCCTGTGAGTGAGCCAGCATGAGCAGAGAGTATCCCGCCCACCTGCAGGCAGCTGCTCCTGAAGCGCCCATGCGTCACTGGCCAATGCGCCCTCATGACCCCCCGACCAAACACTAAGGAGAGCTCTTTACAGAGCATCTCCCCGATGTTCGGCTCGGCGGTGCAAGAGCGCGCAATGGCTGGTGTGACTCAAGGGCACAAGAGTTGCAGCTGCATGCCGGTGGACGGGATTACTCTCTTGCCCAGGATCCCAGTCGCATGACACAAGGCAGGAATATTACGGACGTCCCCGGGCTTGCATGATGTCGGTTATTATTATGACCAGGCGAATTTGGCTAGCTTCTTGCACCGTCTTGTCAAAAGCAGCATATGCAGAGCCAACTCGTTTTATTATATTCTTATATTGTTTTCTCTTCTTTCATTGTGTTTTGATTCCTTCATCTCTTCCTCCCATCGCTGTGTCAGCAGGGAACGCAAAGCTCACTTCTGAAGGGTCCTTGCACTCGTAGCTTCAACCATTCCACATTTTTGGGTATGCATTTTCAGATACTGGTATATGATAGCAATAATATGAGAACCGTAAAAGTGGTCATATGCTGGGTGGGTCGAAGAAGGGCGTTTTTGGAAAAAGTAGGACCACACTACACATGCAATTTCTTCGATAAAAAAGCAACGGAAAACTTCGATTTCAGGTATCAATCCTGTCAGCGCGCATCCTCAGGTCCCAGGCAAACGCATTGCAGCAGCCATGCAAACCACCTACGGCACCAGCTGTAGCCATGGAATTGAAAAGAAACATAAAGAAACAGAGAGACAAACGACAACAACACAAATAATATATAATATGTATATAATAAATATTATATTATATATAATTATATATATAATTATATATATAATTATATATATACACGCACAAAAGGATGACTTCATGTGTTTGTCTCGTTATGAGTTAAACAAAGTAGGCCCAGCTGTGATTTGAAACGAAGCTAACTTACAGTAACATTTCCTGAAAGAAGCGCATTCCTTTTCAACTTATGCAATAGAGTGGTCTGTACAACCGCAGCATGTTTGAAGGAACAGTTACTGAACAGTTTGTAGTGCAACACTCCTCGATCTGAAGACCATGGGGGAGGCTGGTGACATTCTGATCTCGTGCCTTCTCCACTGTGTAGCGAAAGCTCTGTCACTCAAGGCATCTCAAGGCGCAGGATCTGGAATGCTACAGGGCAGAGCCTAAACTTCGCAATGAAGAAGTGTGGAAAATGAGAAAGTATAGACAAGACTTACACTTGCTGTTTTGAGGAGAGGATCTTTATTGTCATGAGCTATCTGAAGACCGAGTTTACAAGTGCATACTATGATTTGCGCAAAGCCTCCCAGTCTGAACAAGCACCAAACTGCTGCTCAATGTGCCCTTGATTCATGGAGTCAGGATGAGTCAGGCATAGAGGTGCTTGCAGCTGTTTTCCCGCCTGTTTTCTCTTATCAAAATGCCATCATCAATTTTCTTGTTTGAGCTATCCAAAACTTTGCGGCACATTCCAAACGCCTCATCTGCAATTCTTGCTGTGAATGCGCAGCCTGGTCTGTTTTTTTTTTGAATGGTCCCATGGTCGATTACACGTCAAAGTAGGATTATCTACGTTACTGTAGAGGAAAATTCGAATTCCTGCACTTGATTTTTGATGAAGTTCTGCACAACAAAGCGCATCTGGTCTTTCGTTTAGCTGTCGTTGCATTGAGAAGAGTGAATCCAACACTGCAAGGTGACAAAAGCCGAAAAAGATGAAAAAGGCACCACATCTCACATTAGCTCCCTCCGTTGATGAAATGCTTTTCTCTGCATTTTTTTAAATCTCTGGCGAAATCGGACACAGGCAGTGACGCTCCATAGATGTCGCTATGCAATACGGCTGCAACATCAGTCTTGTTCCAAGATGGTTCACCGGTTTGCAAATTAGGTCTCATACCCTGGGCCTGGGACTTGCAAGAGCTTGGACAAACAGCGCACCATTAATAGTAGAAGCACAAAGACTGCCGAGTTGAAAGCGAAACTGGTCAGTTGCAGGCCTTGACTCTCTGATGCCATTTGCAAGCTGTTTGTAATGTTGCCTTGTCTTCGCTTGCACAACTGGGTGGAAGAGAGCTCGCTCTTCGTCCTTATCAGCTTCTTTCATATTTTTCCCCCCCGCAATGAATTTACCCCCGCTTAATCTACAAAAAATTGAATGCCTCCCCCCCGGCCCTGGGCTGCCCCTGTGAGTGAGCCAGCTCTGCGCCGCTATCAACAAGAGTGGCCGGTACAATACCACAAGCCCATCACCCGGTCGGGGCAGCCCAGGGCCGGGAGGGTAGCGCGGGGCCGATCGACTTGCAGCTTGGGCAAGCCCAAGCTGCAAGCCGCTCAGCCCAGCGCCTCCGGCAACCAACTACACCCAACCCCGGCGCCGCCCGTTCATCCTGCCAAGGCCCTGCGCCGGCGACCATGAGCAGAGAGTATCCCGCCCACCTGCAGGCAGCTGCTCCTGAAGCGCCCATGCGTCACTGGCCAATGCGCCCTCATGACCCCCCGACCAAACACTAAGGAGAGCTCTTTACAGAGCATCTCCCCGATGTTCGGCTCGGCGGTGCAAGAGCGCGCAATGGCTGGTGTGACTCAAGGGCACAAGAGTTGCAGCTGCATGCCGGTGGACGGGATTACTCTCTTGCCCAGGATCCCAGTCGCATGACACAAGGCAGGAATATTACGGACGTCCCCGGGCTTGCATGATGTCGGTTATTATTATGACCAGGCGAATTTGGCTAGCTTCTTGCACCGTCTTGTCAAAAGCAGCATATGCAGAGCCAACTCGTTTTATTATATTCTTATATTGTTTTCTCTTCTTTCATTGTGTTTTGATTCCTTCATCTCTTCCTCCCATCGCTGTGTCAGCAGGGAACGCAAAGCTCACTTCTGAAGGGTCCTTGCACTCGTAGCTTCAACCATTCCACATTTTTGGGTATGCATTTTCAGATACTGGTATATGATAGCAATAATATGAGAACCGTAAAAGTGGTCATATGCTGGGTGGGTCGAAGAAGGGCGTTTTTGGAAAAAGTAGGACCACACTACACATGCAATTTCTTCGATAAAAAAGCAACGGAAAACTTCGATTTCAGGTATCAATCCTGTCAGCACGCATCCTCAGGTCCCAGGCAAACGCATTGCAGCAGCCATGCAAACCGCCTACGGCACCAGCTGTAGCCATGGAATTGAAAAGAAACATAAAGAAACAGAGAGACAAACGACAACAACACAAATAATATACATATTATATATATAATATGCATATAATAAATATTATATTATATATATAATTATATATATAATTATATATATATACACGCACAAAAGGATGACTTCATGTGTTTGTCTCGTTATGAGTTAAACAAAGTAGGCCCACTTGTGATTTGAAACGAAGCTAACTTACAGTAACATTTCCTGAAAGAAGCGCATTCCTTTTCAACTTATGCAATAGAGTGGTCTGTACAACCGCAGCATGTTTGAAGGAACAGTTACTGAACAGTTTGTAGTGCAACACTCCTCGATCTGAAGACCATGGGGGAGGCTGGTGACATTCTGATCTCGTGCCTTCTCCACTGTGTAGCGAAAGCTCTGTCACTCAAGGCATCTCAAGGCGCAGGATCTGGAATGCTACGGGGCAGAGCCTAAACTTCGCAATGAAGAAGTGTGGAAAATGAGAAAGTATAGACAAGACTTACACTTGCTGTTTTGAGGAGAGGATCTTTATTGTCATGAGCTATCTGAAGACCGAGTTTACAAGTGCATACTGCATACTATGATTTGCGCAAAGCCTCCCAGTCTGAACAAGCACCAAACTGCTGCTCAATGTGCCCTTGATTCATGGAGTCAGGATGAGTCAGGCATAGAGGTGCTTGCAGCTGTTTTCCCGCCATGTTTCAAGGATGGGCAAAGATGCCATGCCGGAAATGTCCTGCCAGGATTGAGAGTTGGTACTGTACATCTTTTCCAGCCATTATAGTCGTTACATGTCGTTACCGAGTCTTTATCTTGCTGTTATATGCTGTTATCAGTAAGTGCTGTTCTCTGTTTCCCATTTCCCTGAAGCTACGCGCAAACAGCCTGGATATCCACCGGGAGATTGGAGCTTCTGCCTCTCAGGGAAACAAAGGCTTGATGAGAGCACGCATAGGTGTCAAGCTACGTTCAAAAAATATCACAAGTGGATGTCTAGTAAGTCTAGCAAGTCTCAGTCCAAGTGCAACTCTTCATCATGCCATGGCCTTCCATAATGTTCTTTCGATCAATACTTCTTGCAAATCAAGCGGCAGTGGTTCGGCGGCCTGGTTTCAAGACGGGAACCGAAAGTTAGGAAGCCTTTGGAAAATCTGATCAAATCAGCACCATTCAACAGAGCACCTCACAAAGAGATGGCTTCAGTCCCGATCTGCAAAATGCCAAGTAGTACCTCAAAGACTCAGAAAACTCAGACGACTCCCGCGCTGCAAGACATTGCAAGACAACGATGAATGGTTGAATTGGTTGAATTGGTTGAATGTCTCGTTCTTAGAGCCTGGCCGATGCAGAAAATTCCTCTTGCACCAGGAGCGATCTTCTAGGTACGTGGTACTGGTTAAATAGAGTCCTTAGACGTGGCACCATGCCATATATTGCGATATAGAGTCAGAGGTGGCATATCTATATCATATCTGTATATTATATTATATACATACATATATATATACTGTATAATATATTATATATATTTATATATATATATATTTGTAACATGTTGAAACTCCTTGGATATGTGTCATGCGCTTGAGTCACCACGGTCTTTGATCATGTCGGTAGATTCATTGTACATCCATTGGAACTTGCTGTCTTGCGTTGTCTTGTGCTGTGCTCATCTTCCAGTGCCAATAAGCCTCCATCATTCACAGTCGGATGTCCCCGTGAGCTAAATGTACACGGGATCTTTTTGCATGTACCATTGAAGGACAAACACAAACTGTTGGCACATGTGAGTCTCACAGCAGAGCCAAGAGTCCTGGAAGAAAACAAAAATTTGCATCGGACAGAACCTCAGTTCTTGTCGCTTGTGTGCACGCGTGTTTCAGCCAATATGCCAACCCTGCAATCAAATGTAACCTCATTGAAGGCTTCAAGGCATCACCATCGAAGGAAAAAATGATTCCCACTAATAGACACAAATACCTTGGCGATGCTGATGCTTGATGATTCTGCCCAATCCTAGTCTAAGTTGTGGAGAACCAGTTCCTGAAGTTTCAATGTCAGCATTCTGAGTGTTTCGGCTCTTCTTCTGATTGCACCAGGCATTTCAAGTCCACTGAATCTCCCAGCATTCACGGCGTTCCGTTCGCCTGTGAGACTCAAAAGCGAGTCAAAGGGAAGACGGAAACGCCGAAAAGTGCTCCACGCGAACCAACAGCTGCGGGAAGCGGAGCCATGGACCATGTCAAGCGATGTCGATTTCCATGGTAGAAAACTTGGCTCCACAAAATCTTACCTGATTGGAATTCGCTGGCATGGTTACTGGTTTGGCCACAATCTGGAAATGGCGTGAAACACACCCTCTGCGTTCTTGCTACATGTGATACTAGTTCATATTAGATTCATATTCATTCTGGTTTTCTGGCATGACTCGGCACGAGCATTTGACCTCTTTCCGCGCTCCAGTTCCATTCTGCGCAGATCTGTGCAGGACTTTGCCGTCATCACTCTGTGGGAACTACGGTAACTACAGTAGGACTGAACCAAGTCACTGAAAAACTCAGCGAGAAAGGGTGAAACCTCTGATCTGTAGGGCAGCCTGTGGATGGGATAAGACGTGCATTGGTATGATTCGCCGCCCAATTTTTGAGCTGCGAAAACCCACGAGGCTGCCAAGGTACTTACTGCCATTCCTGCAACAAAAGCGAACATTGAAATCTTATGAAATCTGGAAAGCGCCGAGCCAGAGCTCATTGCGTTCAGTCCGAAAGCGTTTGCGCACAGAGCTAAAGTGTTCGTGGCGCGTTTGATTCCAAACATGTCCAAACTTACGGGGTGATTCATGAATCCGCCCCCCTTGCTGAGGAATTCTACACAGCTGTGGGACAGCTGCATATTCCCTCACAACAATAAGAAGCAACACAACATAACAAAACTAGAGTTCCAACTGACATCACCATCTCCCGTTCCACAATCTATCTTGCAACTTCCATCACAATTGGAACACTTTGTGTCCGTGCTTCCCCTTGCATGATGCGTCCTATCACTTGGATTGCTGTGTCTTTTGAATTCGGTTAGCCCCAGTTTCTTCAGTTCCAGCAGTCCTTCATGGCAGCTCTTCAAGCAACTCCTCTGCCGAACTTTTCTTTGGCAAACAACCGATGCCTTGCTTGCCTCGGTGGACTTTGAAGCATGACTGCAACATGGCAGAAGAAGGTGAAACGCCAATTCCGGATATTCCGGTAGGATTCGGCCACAAGTGTCATGTTGCTGTCACAGCACCTGACATCTTCTTGGCAATTGTGCAAGCTTCTGGCCAAACATGGGCAAAGTTTGTCGAAATTTTGCAAAGATTCCAAACATGGGCAGAGTTTATCGAAATTTGCAAACACTTACAAAGTACAGGGCAAAAGGGCAAAGCGTTCGTACTTACTACCTTAAATACACAACTATTTCGTGTACATGGTATAAGCCTTAAGCACCAAAACGGAACTTTATTATTACGCACTATTTCAATACAGAACCCTTTTATACGGTACTCCTTTGAAAGAGCATGGTATTCCTTCAAGAAAATGTCACTAAGTGTCTGCGTGTGTGTGTATGCAACATCTCCTTCACAAGGAACGAGCATTTTGATGGAAAATGTGGCGGACAAAATTACTTACTACTCGCAATGGACATGGCCAAAGTGGGTGGTCCCCTATCGGTTGTGAAGGTTTTCACACGAATTTGAACATCCCAAGTCCACTTCCTACTACTGTAGTCTTCCCCTAATTGTGTTGGATACTGATTAATATGTGTATATATACTGTAAATATATGATTATAATATAATTAAATATAATATTGTGTATATATATATATATGTGTATATATTATATGTATATGTGTATATCATGTATATATATATATTGTATTATATATTGTGTAGTGTATACTATATATAATATTGTATATATTATATATAATATATTGTATATGTATTATATAGTGCATTATATATTATGTAGTGTATACTATATATAATGTTGTATATATGTTATATATTATATATTGTACATATAAATATATTATATATATATATATTATATATATAATATTAAATTTGTATATATAATACAATATATATATATACATATATATTATCTTTTTTATATACTATATGATATCTATATATAATGTTATCTATATATATCAAATTATATTCTGTATACTTATATGTTTTATATTTCTTATTGTCTATATTATACATATGATATTATATATATATATATATATTCTATTATATATATATATATTCTACTATATATATATATGTTATTTACCAATTCAAAAAATAAAATAAAAGGCACGCTGAAATTCGTCAAAGAGATTGCACCTGCAAAAAAGAAGCACGCTCTTTCGACAACGTGCCTGTATCCGACAAAGTGACTTCAAAGAGTGCTACATTCGCGCATTGACAATTGCACTTCTTTGCCGGGTTTGGTGAAAAGCAAATTGCATACTGTGCGGGAACGGTGCCTTTTCAAAGGGATGCTGTAACATTGTAACATGCTGCAACATTTAAGGAAGACTGCGCTTCACTAAAATGAACACTGCACCATACTGCACCATTTTGGAGGAATGCTTCATATTTTGCAGAGACACTGCTTGAAAGAAAGCCTGTCTTGTCTCAAAGAAAGACTGCTCCAGCTTATACATGAACATGCTCTTTCAAAAGAGCGGAATGTTGCATGTATATGTATTGAACACTGTAGAAGGATGGATAAATATTCTGAAAGGCAGCCAAACTACCCGCTCTCTTTTCTCAGTCTCACTTCTGCAATCTTTCACAACCACTGGGTGCCCAGCATTTGTGCGCATACCATACGGCAGGCGTACCATTGGACATCTTCACTTGGAAGTCACCTTGAGAAGTTGTGATTGATTGTTGCGACGTTCACAGGATCCGTGAAACTGCATGTCACATTGAGAGCTAGGTAGCCCAGGAAGAGATATGCTCCCTGGGAGTTCACTATGATGCTGATTTCAGACATGCAACATTTCAGTCGCTGTCTGAATCGTATGAATTTGGACCAGTTGCCATCCTCATCGAAACCTTCCACGGTTCCAATGGTTTCACATGCATGGTGGACCCGGTCACCAATGCTGGGAAGCCGTTCGGTCACACCTTGCTGCGGGAAAACCACTGGGAACTTGGGAAAGTTCATGCAGATTCTACGGAATTCATGAGGGCTGCCGGGCTTGCCGGGCTTGCCGGGCTGCCACTGCGATCACGCAACCGATATCAAACGCGGTCTTGGCCTTTCAAATCGTCTAACCACCCAACAGACTGTTTCCACAGAGTCTGTAATGCGTCTATGAAGTTCAAGGGGCGAAAGATTCCCAAGATTTCCAAAGATTTCCCACATCTGACCAACCAAGGGCTTTGAACCTCCCAAAACTATCCAAAACTGATCCTTTGGTGTGCTGCGACCATCTCTGATAGCTAGCTACCGGGCATCCCATGGCAACAAGCACGAAACCCACCCAAACCCTGCAACGACAAGCAGCAGCGGGGCCAAACGCTTCGGAGTTGGTTAGGCTTCACCACCACCGGGTCATCTGCCAGGACGCTTCGAAGAAAATGCACATTTTTGAGGTAACATAAGACTGGTGGCATATCTTGGTTCTATCATATCTTTCAGGTATCATATATGGATATAGACACCTTATGTATGTACTTTATACTACCACATCCGTCAACGTGGCAAAAATGTGGGACTAGGACAGGGTTAAATATGTGTCGCCATCTTTTGACGTGTCTCTGAACATGAAACCTGTGGAACTCTTGCTGCGTTTATGATATTTTCTGATTTAATCCAAGATCTGGAACCCGTCTCGTCCAGGTCCCCGCGTTCCAACAAACGGAAGCGCACCCATATGGTCGAAGCGAATGACTTCCGCCACTTCTTGTCTCCAGGTGTTGAAGACCCGGTCTCCGACACTGAGAGCCTTCCGACAGTTCTTGGCGTAGAAAATCTGAGCCGGGCAGGAAGACTTGGAAAGAACAGCAAATGCTGGCAACGTCGGCAGCCAAGACTTTTCCACACCTATCAATCCCATGTTGAGTCTTACACTGTCTTACTGTCAACTATGTCTTACTATCTGATCAATGTCACCACTGCGAAATTACAAGTGAATCATAGTGAATCCAATTGTGCAGTTGGATGGAATTCGTACATGTACAGGTACGCGGAATGGCACAATGCTCCACCAATATGGGGCAAAGGCTAAAGCAGAAAAGGCAAGACCGAGTCCAAATGCTTGACCCCAGCATTCCTCTGCAGGATGATGCTTGATATTTTTGTGTCACTACAAAAACATTCACATATTTCACATATCGGCAACTCAGAATGCAAAACCTCTACTAGTGCTCCATAGTGCTCCTACAAAGTAGCCAACGGGTCTGCAACAACACATTGGAAGACTTTGCACATGAGTTGTTCAATGTTGTTTGGTCATCCGATTTCTGCCGTTGCAATGTTGGACTGGTTGGGATGAGTGGTCTACACTGCCGTTCCCAAACTTGCAGCCAAATGCTGCACCAGGTAGCCATCATCTTCCCATCGTCGGTGAAGACAGGAAGGTCTCCGTCTTCGTCCACACCAACAATCGTCGCTTTCGTTCCGCCTGGGATCACTTCATGGCATGACGATACGATATGCAAGAAAGTGCAAGCACCAAATCCAATCCATGTCCTGCATGAAGCCCTGGGAAACCAGAAGTTCCGATGCATGTGCCAGGGCGTGCCAGGGCGTGTGTGAGCCACACTCTGCTCTGAGACTAGGGTCCCCGACAAACATCGGTGATCCTCCCACCTACCGTGAAGATGTTGTAGTCAAATTCACGGCTCCTGTGTATCACAGCACCATCACATGCCCGAAGTGTCTTGCTGCGCCGAACCCAAACAACGAAGCAACGAAAAATGCATCGAGCAGAATCGAGCATAGTCAGGTGGGGTCCGGGTGCGCCAGGTGCGCCGGGTGCGCCGGGTGCGCCTTGGGCCACGGATCCAGGGCTGCATGGCCTGCTCGATAGGCTTCAACACCGCTTTGGCGACCTGGCACAGTTTACGTCTCGGACCTGCCTTGGCCCATTTGCAGTCATATCGTATGGATGTAAAAATGGCTCAAATGCGTCAAAGGCATGTGGTGCTCACAGCTACTCTTTCCATGTTCAGCACCTTTCAGCCACATGCCTTGTTGCTTGGTTGCCCAAAGATTGTCCATCGTAGATGATTTGGATCATTTTAGAACTTGCAAAAATTTACTTGAAGCTTGCAAACAGACGGTTGCAGCATCGTCTCACAAATCTTATTAGAATGAGCAGATTCCATGAAACACGTGGTCTACCACTGTGTGAAAGCTGCTCAAGTACTTCATGGGTTTCCCATGTTTTTCCTATCTGCGGCCATTAGTTGGAAGTTGAAGGCCAGGCGGGCAGCAAAAGGAGTACAGTACAGACCTAGGATGTTCAGTTTCCACGTTATTACCCGTGTAGGACTCAGGTGTGCATTGCCAAGCTTCAGGATTCCAGCACTAAGGAAACATTGTGGCCCTTGTGAGGCGCATTACGTCCCTGAAGGCTCTGCTGTTTTTCGTCATCCACACCTTCTTTCCATGCGCTTCACGCTTCACACCTCGAGGCGCAAATGAGCAAGCTGCACAGGTCATCAGCTACGAGAGGATCCTACAAAAGCGATGATGACATGCTACGACCAAATCGATGAATGACTCTCCAGCAAGTCAAGTAGCAATCTCAAGCTATCCATGGTAATCATTGGTAATCCATCTATCTAAGACCTCAACAGCCTCAACACCAAAACTGCAATCGTCACGCGGCTCCGAAACACCACTGGGGCTCCAAACGCAACGATGTCAGCAGCGTGCCCCGCGCTCTTCCGTTTCCCTGTGCGGCCCGGCGTCGGCGCCACGCCCTGCAGATCCAATCCGCTGGCCGACGTCAATCATCTCAACACGCTTATCAACAAGGATTCGTAGGCCTACATCCTCATCTGGCTTTACACCCTTTCCGGCCCTTTCCATCTAAACATCTTGAAAATGTTTGAAAACTCTTTGAAAGCAATAAGACAGATGCGTGGTGGTTCATTCATCCACTCAATCCACTTTCCGGTCCTCAGGAATACCATCATCAGGAAAATGAAAACTGGTAGGAGAACTGGGATCAGCTCTCCACCTTGGATGCAAACAGAAATATCTGGACCTGAAATTTCATGTGGAATGTGGAGGAGTATGCCTTCTCAGCCATGGAGCCCAAACTTTCTCCAATCAAAGCATTGCCCGAGATATCCCAAAGTCCAAACGGAAACGGAGCAACAGATGCAAACATGTCTCAAGAAAGGATTCCAAGAACACAAATGTCACATACGCCCTACTTGCTACGAGTAGCGTTGGGCCGAAGGAACTGAAACCTTCACAGGCTTCACCTCAGCGATGGCTTGTGGGCAAGCAAGGCTGACACGTGCTGCCCACAGCAAATGGATGACATGGAAACGCACAGAGCATCATGTTCTGGATACATGCCGAATCCACAGTCCCTCCCTGAAAAACGTTGTTGCACGTTTCTGGGAAGTTTGGAGAAACGAATCCACAAAGCCAGAATGAAATCTATTGGACTGGCCAAAATGGAAGACAGAGGCTAAGGCTTCCGTTGATGAAACAGTTGTATAACCAATCTCTATGAACTCTATGCTTCGTTTCGGTGTACCATTGAAGGCAAACACAGGCTGTAGGCAAATGTGAGTCTCACAGCAGAGCCAAGAGTCCGGGAAGAAGACAAAATCCTCCATCGAGCAGAACCTCAGTTCCCCGCTCGCGTGTGTGCATGTGTCTCGGCCAACATGTCGGTTTCGGAACTTAATGACACTTGATGATTCTGCCGGTCCAAGTTGCGCAGAACCAGTTCATACATGTTCCACGTCAGAGTCTTCAGATGTCTTCAGACTTCTAAGTGCTTCGGCTGCGTTTCTGGCTATTCCGGGCGTGGCTCTGAGTCTCCCACACTCAAAAGCGAGACAAAGGGAAGACGGAAACGCCGAAAAGTGCTCCACGCGAACCAACAGCTGCGGGAAGCGGAGCCATGGACCATGTCAAGCGATGTCGATTTCCATGGTAGAAAACTTGGCTCCACAAAATCTTACCTGATTGGAATTCGCTGGCATGGCTTGGCCACAATCTGGAAATGGCGTGAAATCACACCCTCTGCGTTCTTGCTACATGTGATACTAGTTCATATTAGATTCATATTCATTCTGGTTTTCTGGCATGACTCGGCACGAGCATTTGACCTCTTTCCGCGCTCCAGTTCCATTCTGCGCAGATCTGTGCAGGACTTTGCCGTCATCACTCTGTGGGAACTACAGTAACTACAGTAGGACTGAACCAAGTCACTGAAAAACTCAGCGAGAAAGGGTGAAACCTCTGATCTGTAGGGCAGCTTGTGGATGGGATAAGACGTGCATTGGTATGATTCGCCGCCCAATTTTTGAGCTGCGAAAACCCACGAGGCTGCCAAGGTACTCACTGCCATTCCTGCAACAAAAGCGAACATTGAAATCTTATGAAATCTGGAAAGCGCCGAGCCAGAGCTCATTGCGTTCAGTCCGAAAGCGTTTGCGCACAGAGCTAAAATGTTCGTGGCTGGTTTGATTCCAAGCATGTCCAAACTTACGGGGTGATTCATGAATCCGCCCCCCTTGCTGAGGAATCCTACACAACTGTGGGACAGTTACATATTCCCTCACAACAATAAGAAGCAACACAACATAACGAAACTAGAGTTCCAACTGACATCACCATCTCCCGTTCCACAATCTATCTTGCAACTTCCATCACAATTGGAACACTTTGTGTCCGTGCTTCCCCTTGCATGATGCGTCCTATCACTTGGATTGCTGTGTCTTTTGAATTCGGTTAGCCCCAGTTTCTTCAGTTCCAGCAGTCCTTCATGGCAGCTCTTCAAGCAACTCCTCTGCCGAACTTTTCTTTGGCAAACAACCGATGCCTTGCTTGCCTCGGCGGACTTTGAAGCATGACTGCAACATGGCAGAAGAAGGTGAAACGCCAATTCCGGATATTCCGGTAGGATTCAGCCACAAGTGTCATGTTGCTGTCACAGCATCTGACATCTTCTTGGCAATTATGCAAGCTACTGGCCAAACATGGGCAAAGTTTGTCGAAAATGTGCAAAGATTCCAAACATGGGCAGAGTTTATCGAAATTTGCAAACACTTACAAAGTACAGGGCAAGAGGGCAAAGCGTTCGTACTTACTACCTTAAATACACAACTATTTCGTGTACATGGTATAAGCCTTAAGCACCAAAACTTGCAAAGTTCCTGGGCATCCTGGGGCAAACGCTGGGTATTCATTTTGAAACTCGTGCGTAACCTGTACTCAACCAGCGCTTTACTAACCAAGTCTTTCACAGGGGTGAAAGAAAACTCGGGTTTTGTCTGAAAGCGGCATTGTGGTTTTGGAAGTTCCAGGCAGATTGACTTCCAACTCTCCAGCTAGGTGCCTGTTGGCCAAAAAGACCAGGGCCACGTTTCACGGGGAAACCGTCCATCAGAAGGGCAAGCGACCCTAAACAAAAACAATAGGTACAACTTGCGCAACATCAGTGGTCAGGGGCATGGGGAGTTAGGGTACGAAATATCATACATTGGAAATGGAGGACCACACCGTCAGGGTGGCATGGGGGTAGGGTACGAAACACAGCAATACGTGGGCGTCATTTGAGTCATGTGTGAGAAGAATCAATGAAGAAAGAGAAGAAGACAAGTGTGGTTGGCTCCTTGAGTTTCAAGACTGTAGAGAGAGAGTTTAACGTGCGCGTTTCAGACCACGCAAAGCGATTTGGTCACTTGCGACCCAAGAAAACACCCAAGTTGGAGATATATTTGGGTATTCGGATCTTGTTGTTTTTTCAATTGCTGTCACTCGCTACCCAACTTTTCCGGGTCACAAGCGAACCCCTGTGAGTCTTCGAAATGTTGCACCTGCCTCACAAAACAAGTTGAGACACTACATACGGTACAACCCTGCAAAAAACAACTTTCAAAGAACACAAGCGACAGAGGACCCCGCACCTGCAGGGTGCACGATTTAATACGATTTAGCTCTGTTCAGGGGACATTCAAAATGGCCATCTCTGAAAAAATATGATTCTGGCATCGCGTCATGACGCGGCAAGATCCATTCATCCATGGATTCCATTCCTTTTGGAAGGGGTGCACTGCCACCATTCCACACAACCTCGATCATTGCGATTGAGGGAAACCCACAACAATCGTAAAAACCTCGAGGAAAAAAATGTTTTCAAAACTCTGAGGTTGAGGGGGCTGTCTCTGGTAAGTGCCTTTAGACCATGTTGTTTTGTCTGCGGATGTCTGCGGTTGTTTTCTCGAGGTTTTGGCCACTTTCGGCCACTTTCCACAAAAAAAATGCTGAAAACCATCGAAAAGAAAAACAAAGCAACTAAACTGTCAGACACCATGTCTACTCGCCAGCCTCTCCTTCAACATGTGCGAAGTTCTTTTCAAAGAGGTAGGGATGGGTAGGGTCCCGGGAACTTTATTATTACGCACTATTTCAATACAGAACCCTTTTATGCGGTACTCCTTTGAAAGAGCATGGTATTCCTTCAAGAAAATGTCACTAAGTGTCTGTGTATGTGCGTGTGTATGCAATATCTCCTTCACAAGGAACGAGCATTTTGATGGAAAATGTGGCGGACAAAATTACTTACTACTCGCAATGGACATGGCCAAAGTGGGTGGTCCCCTATCGGTTGTGAAGGTTTTCACACGAATTTGAACATCCCAATTCCACTTCCTACTACTGTAGTCTTCCACTAATTTTGTTGGATACTCATTAATATGTATATTTATATATATGTGATTATATATAACTAAATATAATATATATGTATGTATATTATATCATGTATATATATATATATATATATGTTATTACTATTATCATTATTATTGTTATTATTATTATTATCATCATATATTATGTAGTGTATACTATATATAATATTTTATATATTTTATATATAATATAGTGTATATGTTATATAATATATATTGTATATATAAATTTATATTATATATAATATTAAAATGGTATGTATATATAATACAGTATATATACATATATTTTATCTTTTATATATACTACATATATTATATCTATATATATATTATGTTATATCTATAATGATATATATTATATTATATATTCTATATATTATATATGATATATATTATATAATATTATATTTTTCTATTATATATTATTATTATTATTATCATTATTATTATCATTATTATTATTGTTATTATTATCATTATTATTAGTCTTATTATTATTATCATTATTATTATTATCATTATTATTACTATCATTATTATTATTATCATTATTATTATTATCATTATTATTATCATTATTTTACAATTTTAAAAAATAAAATAAAAGGCATGCTGAAATTCGTCAAAGAGGTTGCACCTGCAAAAAAGAAGCACGCTGTTTCGACAACGTGCCTGTATCCGACAAAGTGACTTCAAAGAGTGCTACATTCGCGCATTGACAATTGCACTTCTTTGCCGGGTTTGGTGAAAAGCAAATTGCATACTGTGCGGGAACGGTGCCTTTTCAAAGGGATGCTGTAACATGCTGTAACATTTAAGGAAGACTGCGCTTCACTAAAATGAACACTGCACCATACTGCACCATTTTGGAGGAATGCTTCATATTTTGCAGAGACACTGCTTGAAAGAAAGCCCGTCTTGTCTCAAAGAAAGACTGCTCCAGCTTATACATGAACATGCTCTTTCAAAAGAGCGGAATGTTGCATGTATGTGTATTGAACACTGTAGAAGGATGGATGAATATTCTGAAAGGCAGTCAAACTACCCGCTCTCTTCTCTCAGTCTCACTTCTGCAATCTTTCACAACCACTGGGTGCCCAGCATTTGTGCGCATACCATACGGCAGGCGTGCCATTGGACATCTTCACTTGGAAGTCACCTTGCGAAGTTGTGACTGATTTTTGCGACGTTCACAGGATCCGTGAAACTGCATGTCACATTGAGAGCTAGGTAGCCCAGGAAGAGATATGCTCCCTGGGAGTTCACTATGATGCTGATTTCAGACATGCAACATTTCAGTCGCTATCTGAATCGTATGAATTTGGACCAGTTGCCATCCTCATCGAAACCTTCCACGGTTCCAATGGTTTCGCATGCATGGTGGACCCGGTCACCAATGCTGGGAAGCCGTTCGGTCACACCTTGCTGCGGGAAAACCACTGGGAACTTGGGAAAGTTCATGCAGATTCTACGGAATTCATGAGGGCTGGCTGCCACTGCGATCACGCAACCGATATCAAACGCGGTCTTGGCCTTTCAAATCGTCTAACCACCCAACAGACTGTTTCCACAGAGTCTGTAATGCGTCTATGAAGTTCAAGGGGCGAAAGATTCCCAAGATTTCCAAAGATTTCCCACATCTGACCAACCAAGGGCTTTGAACCTCCCAAAACTATCCAAAACTTGGATCCTTTGGTGTGCTGCGACCATCTCTGATAGCTAGCTACTGGGCATCCCATGGCAACAAGCACGAAACCCACCCAAACCCTGCAACGACAAGCAGCAGCGGGGCCAAACGCTTCGGAGTTGGTTAGGCTTCACCACCACCGGGTCATCTGCCAGGACGCTTCGAAGAAAATGCACATCTTTGAGGTAACATAAGACTGGTGGCATATCTTGGTTCTATCATATCTTTCAGGTATCATATATGGATATAGAAACCTTATGTATGTACTTTATACTACCACATCCGTCAACGTGGCAAAAATGTGGGACTAGGACAGGGTTAAATATGTGTCGCCATCTTTTGACGTGTCTCTGAACATGAAACCTGTGGAACTCTTGCTGCGTTTATGATATTTTCTGATTTAATCCAAGATCTGGAACCCGTCTCGTCCAGGTCCCCGCGTTCCAACAAACGGAAGCGCACCCATATGGTCGAAGCGAATGACTTCCGCCACTTCTCGTCTCCAGGTGTTGAAGACCCGGTCTCCGACACTGAGAGCCTTCCGACAGTTCTTGGCGTAGAAAATCTGAGCCGGGCAGGAAGACTTGGAAAGAACAGCAAATGCTGGCAACGTCGGCAGCCAAGACTTTTCCACACCTATCAATCCCATGTTGAGTCTTACACTGTCTTACTGTCAACTATGTCTTACTATCTGATCAATGTCACCACTGCGAAATTACAAGTGAATCATAGTGAATCCAATTGTGCAGTTGGATGGAATTCGTACATGTACAGGTACGCGGAATGGCACAATGCTCCACCAATATGGGGCAAAGGCTAAAGCAGAAAAGGCAAGACCGAGTCCAAATGCTTGACCCCAGCATTCCTCTGCAGGATGATGCTTGATATTTTTGTGTCACTACAAAAACATTCACATATTTCACATATCGGCAACTCAGAATGCAAAACCTCTACTAGTGCTCCATAGTGCTCCTACAAAGTAGCCAACGGGTCTGCAACAACACATTGGAAGACTTTGCACATGAGTTGTTCAATGTTGTTTGGTCATCCGATTTCTGCCGTTGCAATGTTGGACTGGTTGGGATGAGTGGTCTACACTGCCGTTCCCAAACTTGCAGCCAAATGCTGCACCAGGTAGCCATCATCTTCCCATCGTCGGTGAAGACAGGAAGGTCTCCGTCTTCGTCCACACCAACAATCGTCGCTTTCGTTCCGCCTGGGATCACTTCATGGCATGACGATACGATATGCAAGAAAGTGCAAGCACCAAATCCAATCCATGTCCTGCATGAAGCCCTGGGAAACCAGAAGTTCCGATGCATGTGCCAGGGCGTGCCAGGGCGTGTGTGAGCCACACTCTGCTCTGAGACTAGGGTCCCCGACAAACATCGGTGATCCTCCCACCTACCGTGAAGATGTTGTAGTCAAATTCACAGCTCCTGTGTATCACAGCACCATCACATGCCCGAAGTGTCTTGCTGCGCCGAACCCAAACAACGAAGCAACGAAAAATGCATCGAGCAGAATCGAGCATAGTCAGGTGGGGTCCGGGTGCGCCAGGTGCGCCGGGTGCGCCGGGTGCGCCTTGGGCCACCGATCCAGGGCTGCATGGCCTGCTCGATAGGCTTCAACACCGCTTTGGCGACCTGGCACAGTTTACGTCTCGGACCTGCCTTCGCCCATTTGCAGTCATATCGTATGGATGTAAAAATGGCTCAAATGCGTCAAAGGCATGTGGTGCTCACAGCTACTCTTTCCATGTTCAGCACCTTTCAGCCACATGCCTTGTTGCTTGGTTGCCCAAAGATTGTCCATCGTAGATGATTTGGATCATTTTAGAACTTGCAAAAATTTACTTGAAGCTTGCAAACAGACGGTTGCAGCATCGTCTCACAAATCTTATTAGAATGAGCAGATTCCATGAAACACGTGGTCTACCACTGTGTGAAAGCTGCTCAAGTACTTCATGGGTTTCCCATGTTTTTCCTATCTGCGGCCATTAGTTGGAAGTTGAAGGCCAGGCGGGCAGCAAAAGGAGTACAGTACAGACCTAGGATGTTTTCAGTTTCCACGTTATTACCCGTGTAGGACTCAGGTGTGCATTGCCAAGCTTCAGGATTCCAGCACTAAGGAAACATTGTGGCCCTTGTGAGGCGCATTACGTCCCTGAAGGCTCTGCTGTTTTTCGTCATCCACACCTTCTTTCCATGCGCTTCACGCTTCACACCTCGAGGCGCAAATGAGCAAGCTGCACAGGTCATCAGCTACGAGAGGATCTTACAAAAGCGATGATGACATGCTACGACCAAATCGATGAATGACTCTCCAGCAAGTCAAGTAGCAATCTCAAGTTATCCATAGTAATCCATCTATCTAAGACCTCAACAGCCTCAACACAAAAACTGCAATCGTCACGCGGCTCCGAAACACCACTGAGGATCCAAACGCAACGATGTCAGCAGCGTGCCCGGCGCTCTTCCGTTTCCCTGTCCGGCCCGGCGTCGGCGCCACGCCCTGCAGATCCAATCCGCGGGCCGACGTCAATCATCTCAACAGGCTTATCAACAAGGATTCGTAGGCCAACATCCTCATCTGGCTTTACACCCTTTCCGGCCCTTTCCATCTAAACATCTTGAAAATGTTTGAAAACTCTTTGAAAGCAATAAGACAGATGCGTGGTGGTTCATTCATCCACTCAATCCACTTTCCGGTCCTCAGGAATACCATCATGAGGAAAATGAAAACTGGTATGAGAACTGGGATCGGCTCTCCACCTTGGATGCAAACAGAAACATCTGGACCTGAAATCTCATGTGGAATGTGGAGGAGTGCGCCTTCTCAGCCATGGAGCCCAAACTTTCTGCAATCAAAGCATTGCCCGAGATATCCCAAAGTCCAAGCGGAAACCGAGCAACGGATGTAAACATGTCTCAAGAAAGGATTCCAAGAACACAAATGTCACATATGCCCTACTTGCTACGAGTTGCGTTGGGCCGAAGGAACTGAAACCTTCACAGGCTTCACCTCAGCGATGGCTTGTGGGCAAGCAAGGCTGACACGTGCTGCCCACAGCAAATGGATGACATGGAAACGCACAGATCATGTTCTGGATACATGCCGAATCCACAGTCCCTCCCTGAAAAACGTTGTTGCACGTTTCTGGGAAGTTTGGAGAAACGAATCCACAAAGCCAGAATGAAATCTATTGGACTGGCCAAAATGGAAGACAGAGGCTAAGGCTTCCGTTGATGAAACAGTTGTATAACCAATCTCTATGAACTCTATGCTTCGTTTCGGTGTACCATTGAAGGACAAACACAGGCTGTAGGCAAATGTGAGTCTCACAGCAGAGCCAAGAGTCCGGGAAGAAGACAAAATCCTCCATCGAGCAGAACCTCAGTTCCCCGCTCGCGTGTGTGCATGTGTCTCGGCCAACATGTCGGTTTCGGAACTTAATGACACTTGATGATTCTGCCGGTCCAAGTTGCGCAGAACCAGTTCATACATGCTCCACGTCAGAGTCTTCAGATGTCTTCAGACTTCTAAGTGCTTCGGCTGCGTTTCTGGCTATTCCGGGCGTGGCTCTGAGTCTCCCACACTCAAAAGCGAGACAAAGGGAAGACGGAAACGCCGAAAAGTGCTCCACGCGAACCAACAGCTGCGGGAAGCGGAGCCATGGACCATGTCAAGCGATGTCGATTTCCATGGTAGAAAACTTGGCTCCACAAAATCTTACCTGATTGGAATTCGCTGGCATGGCTTGGCCACAATCTGGAAATGGCGTGAAATCACACCCTCTGTGTTCTTGCTACATGTGATACTAGTTCATATTCATTGTGGGTTTCTGGCATGACTCGGCACGAGCATTTGACCTCTTTCCGCGCTCTAGTTCCATTCTGCGCAGATCTGTGCTGTAGTTCCCACAGAGTGATGACGGCAAAGTCCTGGCAGGACTTTGCCGTCATCACTCTGTGGGAGCTACAGTAGGACTGAACCAAGTCACTGAAAAACTCAGCGAGAAAGGGTGAAACCTCTGATCTGTAGGGCAGCCTGTGGATGGGGTACGACGTGCATTGGTATGATTCGCCGCCCAATCTTTGAGCTGCGAAAACCCACGAGGCTGCCAAGGTACTCACTGCCATTCCTGCAACAAAAGCGAACGTTGAAATCTTATGAAATAATCTTGAAAGCGCCGAGCCAGAGCTCATTGCGTTCAGTCCGAAAGCGTTTGCGCAAGTGTTCGTGGCGCGTTTGATAACACAGACGCCTGAATCGGAAATGATGGGAAAATCCAACCGACCAGGCCTGACTTATGGTCAGATCACAGACCTGTATTCGAGGCAACGTTGTGAGTCAGGCGGCCTGTATCACAACCATGCCTCAAATACAGGTCTGTGATCTGACCATAGGTCGAGAACCTCGGAGTCTCGGAGGTAGAAAAGTTGAATATATTTGACACTCGATAAAGATCACCTCCAATCATACTAGAAGACCTTTGTTCTCGTGTCGCGGACCACTGTATATGTAAATGAAGCATCACACAAAGGAAATGGGATCTAGATCGTCTATGGGATGACGAGAGATCTGTACAGCCCCATGTCACTCTTGATGTCTCCACCAAAAACATGGCGGAAAAACAGACGGGATTCCCTAGGAATTCTGCACAACTGTGGGACAATTACATATTCCCTCACAACAATAAGAAGCAACACAACATAACAAAACTAGAGTTCCAACTGACATCACCATCTCCCGTTCCACAATCTATCTTGCAACTTCCATCACAATTGGAACACTTTGTGTCCTTGCTTCCCCTTGCATGATGCGTCCTATCACTTGGATTGCTGTGTCTTTTGAATTGGGTTAGTCCCAGTTTCTTCAGTTCCAGTAGTCCTTCATGGCAGCTCTTCAAGCAACTGCTCTGCCGAACTTTTCTTTGGCAAACAACCGATGCCTTGCTTGCCTCGGCGGACTTTGAAGCATGACTGCAACATGGCAGAAGAAGGTGAAACGCCAATTCCGGATATTCCGGTAGGATTCAGCCACAAGTGTCATGATGCCCTGCATGTTACAAAAGCGGTCCAGTCACAGGATCTGACATCATCTTGGCAATTATGCAAGCTACTGGCCAAACATGGGCTTAAACATGGGCTTATCAACGTCGAAAATTAAGGAAGTCTCGCAGAATAGCTTCGTTTTCAATCTTGCAGGTAGACAGATAGATAGATAGGTTAGATTAGATTAGGTTAGATTAGACCAGACCAGACTAGACTAGATTAGATTAGATTAGATAGATGAGATGAGATGAGATGAGATGAGGTGAGATGAGATGAGATGAGATGAGATTAGATTAGATTAGATTAGATAGATAGGTAAATAGATAGATAGATAGATAGATAGATGGATAGATCGATAGATGGATAGATGGACAGACAGACAGACAACTACAAGTACAACTGCAACTACAACTACCACTACACTACACGACTCCTACAACTACAAATACAACTATACTACACTACATTACACAACACTAATTACACTACACTACACTAATTACATCTATAATTACACTACACTACACTAATTACACTACAGCCACAACAGCTACTACTGCTACTACCACAGCTACAATTACAATTACACTAAACTGCACTACACTACACTACACTAACTACACTGCAGCACACTTCAACTACAAATCCAAATACAACTACAAGTACACTATATTCCATAACACTACACTACACTAATTACTTTACATTACACACAAGAACAATTACCACTGCAACTCCAAACTACAATTACAACTACCACTACATTGCTCTACACTACACTACACTAATTACACTACACTACAACTACAACTACAGCTACAACTACAACTACACTACTTTACACTACACCACACTAGACTACACTACACTATGCCACACTACAGTACACAACACTACAGTACACTACGACGATACACTACACTAATTACACCACACCACAACTACAACTGCAACTGCAACTACACTACACTAATTACATTGCGTTATAACTACAACTTTCAACTACAACTCCATGACACCACACTACAACTACAACTACAACTACAACTACAACTGCACTTCACGACACTACATCCAGCAGTTGTGGTGAGGTGACCACTGCAACCATTGCAACCACTCCAAAACACAACTCCAACCACCTTTCGGTCCATCAGTGGATTCGCTCTGCCATCTGTGATTCACAACAACCAACCTCTCCTATAGGTTTCCTATTTTTGAAACTTCCGCCACCGCCTTGTGCGGTGCTACTGGTACATCGGCAAAAGGCTCAGAATGCAAGACCTCTACTGGTGCTCCTACAAAGTAGCCAACGGGTCTGCAACAACACATTGGAAGACTTTGCACATGAGTTGTTCAATGTTGTTTGGTCATCCGATTTCTGCCGTTGCAATGTTGGACTGGTTGGGATGAGTGGTCTACACTGCCGTTCCCAAACTTGCAGCCAAATGCTGCACCAGGTAGCCATCGTCTTCCCATCGTCGGTGAAGACAGGAAGGTCTCCGTCTTCGTCCACACCAACAATCGTCGCTTTCGTTCCGCCTGGGATGACTTCATGGCATGACGATACGATATGCAAGAAAGTGCAAGCACCAAATCCAATCCATGTCCTGCATGAAGCCCTGGGAAACCAGAATTTCCGATGCATGTGCCAGGGCGTGCCAGGGCGTGTGTGAGCCACACTCTGCTCTGAGACTAGGGTCCCCGACAAACAAACATCTGTGATACACAGGAGCCATGAATTTGACTACAACATCTTCACGGTGGGTGGGAGAATAACCCACCCACGGTGAAGATGTTGGAGTCAAATTCACACGCCGTAATGTTTTGCTGCGCCGAACCCCGACATAGAAGCACCGGAAAATGCATCGAGATGCATCGAGCATAGTCAGGTGGGGCGTGCCCCGGGTGCACCGGGTGCGCCTTGGGCCATCGATCCAGGGCTGCATCGCTCGATGGGCTTCAACACCGCTTTGGCGACCTGGCACAGTTCATGTTTGTCCATGTTTGGGCCAAAAATGTTTCATCGTAGATGATTTGGATCATTTTAGAACTTGCAAAATTTTACTTAAAGCTTGTAAACAGCCGGTTCCAGTGTCACTGGCAAACAGCCTATAAGAATGAGAAGATTCCATGAAACCCGTGGTCTACCACTCTTTGAAAGCTGCTCAAGCAGTTTTCCCTGTCTGTGGCCATTATGAAGGCGAGGCGGGCAGCAAAAGGAGTACAGTACAGACCTAGAATATTCAGTTTCCACGTTATTACCCGTGTAGGACTCAGGTGTGCATTGACAAGCTTCAGGATTCCGGCACTAAGGAAACATTGTGGCCCTTGTGAGGCGCACTACGTCCCTGAGGGCTCTGCTGTTTTTCGTCATACACACCTTCTTTCCATCTTGCGCTTGACGCTGCACTGGTGATCAGCTGCGCTCAGAAGTTCAATCGTACTTACAAAGTGGTGGTGACATCTGACAACGCAACGGATACATGACTCCCAAGTAATTCAAGTATATGTAGTTGCAAAGTATTGCAAAGAAATCTCATGTAATCCAGTTATCCATCTATTTGAGACCTCACCAAAAACTGCAACCGCCACATGGCTCCCAAACACACCTGGGGCTCCAAGCGCAATGATGTCAGCGTGATGTCAATCATCTCAACACACTTTTCAGCAAAGCATTCGGAAGCCAATGTCCTCGTCTGACTTTATCCCCTTTCGTCTAAAACATCTTGAAAACACGTCGGGAGCAGTAAAACGGATTCCTGAAGCTTGAAGATTCATTCGTCCACTCAATCCACTTTCCGGTCCTCAGGAATACCATGGAATACCATCATTATCAAACAGATTCGAACTGATCCCACTTCTCCTCCCTGTGATCCTTTGTTATTAAACAGATTATCACAGGGAGGAGACATGGAATCAATTCGAATCTGTTTGATAATGATGGTATTCCATGGTATTCTGTTCAAACATGCCTCCCACATCGCTGTGTCAGCAGGGAACGCAGAGCTCACTTCTGAAGGGTCCTTGCACTCGTAGTTTCAACCGTTCCACATTTCTGGGTATGCATTTTCAGATACTGGTATATGATAGCAATAATATGAGAACCGTAAAAGTGCTCATATGCTGGGTGGGTCGAAGAAGGGCGTTTAAAAAAAAGTAGGACCACACATGCAATTTCTTCGGTAAAAAAGCAACGGAAAACTTCGATTTCAGGTATCAATCCTGTCAGCACGCATCCTCAGGTCCCAGGCAAGCGCATTGCAGCAGCCATGCCAACCGCCTACGGCACCAGCTGTAGCCATGGAATTGAAAAGAAACATAAAGAAACCGCGAGAGACAAACGACAACAACACAAATAATATACATATTATATATATATAATAAATATTATTTTATATATAGTAGTGAACTGAAACTTATAATGAGGTGCAAATTTCCAAAATTCACCTGGAACACTTAGAATGAGTGGAACATAGAATAAGGTGAAACAGCATATTTATAATAGATATTTGTATATTATATATTAAATATTATTTATTACATACTATAGTTTATATATTATATTATAAATATAATATATTATTATTATATATATATATTATTATTATGATATATATATATATTATTATATATATCATATTATATATATATCATATTATATATATCATATTGTATATATATATATATTATATTATATAAATTATATTATATATGTATATATATATATATTATAGGTGATATTAGAAATATTTTATCATATATTATTTAAATATTATATATATAATTTATATATATACTATAATAAATATAAAATTAAGTACATTACATATAATATTATGTTTAATATATAATATTATATATTGCTAAAAAAAAATATTAAATATGTATGTATATATATTATTAAACTTAATATTATATTTAAATATATTATGTTTATTAAAATAAAATTATACATTATATATTAAATATGTTATATATAGATATATTAATATTATATATATATGTGTATTATTAAAGATTATAAACAATATATGTCATATATATATATATACATATAATAATATTATTAAATATTAAAAATATAATATTATATATATTATACATATAATAATATTATTATTAAATATTAAATATATAATATTATATATACATATTCTATATATATATTGGTTTCTGAGTTTCAGTTCTCCAGCATATGTATATATATATATACATATATATGTCAGTCAGCCAATATGCGGTGTCACTATGAATATTAATTATGGTCATAATTTCATACCCCGTCCTACAATTCTGTTCAGAAACAAAAAATTGGCTTCTCGCCTTCAAAAAATATGCAGGAACATATTCCCCCACAGGGCACAAACACGTGGCTATAGTGGGGAAAAGAACACATAGAATGCCCATGGAAACTACAGCAGAATACAGCAGCTTCAGATCAATGGGCAAACAAGGCATAGAAGAAAAGGAAGGAAAGGAACAAGGAACATCATAGGAGACAAGGACAAGAGAAGGGAGGGGGATACGAGAAAAGGGAACAGGTTCCCCCACAGGGCACAAACACGTGGCTATAGCGAGGAAAAGCACACATAGAATGCCCATGGAAGCAGGAAACGAAAGGAAAGGAACATCATAGGGCATAGGAGAAAAGGACAAGAAAAGCGGAGAAGACACGAGAAAAGGGAACAGGTCCCCGCACAAATCCCACAAACACGTGGCCATAGTGGGGAAAAGCGCGCATAGAATACCCATGGAAACTACGGCAGAATACAGCAGATTTAGATCAATGGGCAAACAAGGCATAGAAGAAAAGGAAAGGAAACGAAAGGAAAGGAACATCATAGGAGAAAAGGACAAGAGAAGGGAAGAGGATACGAGAAAAAGGAGCAGGTTCCCCCACAGGGCACGTAGCTATAGTGGGGAAAAGCACGCATAGAATATCCAAGGAAACTACAGCAGAATACAGCAGATTTAGATCAAGGCATAGAAGAAAAGGAAAGGAACGGACAAGAAAAGGGAAGAGGATACGAGAAAAAGGAGCAGGTTCCTCCACAGGGCACAAACACGTGGCTATAGAAGGGAAAAAGCACACATAGAATGCCCATGGAAACTACAGCAGAATACAGCAGATTTAGATCAATGGGCAAACAAGGCATAGAAGAAAAAGAAAGGAATCGAAAGGAAAGGAACATCTTAGGAGAAAAGAACAAGAGAATGGAAGAGGATACGAGAAAAGAAAAGGGAACAATTCCCCCACAGGGCACTGACACGTGGCTATAGCGTGGAAAAGCACGAACATCTTAGGAGAAAAGGACAAGAAAAGGGAAGAGGATACGAGAAAAGGAACAGGTTCCCCCACAGGGCACTAACACGTAGCGATAGCGGGGAAAAGCACACATAGAATACCCATGGAATTTACAGCAGAATACAGCAGATTCAGATCAATGGGCAAACAAGGCATAGAAGCAAAGGAAAGGAAAGGAGCATCATAGGAGAAAAGGACAAAAGAAGGGAAGAGGATACGATAAAAGGGAACAGGTTCCCCCGCAGGGCACAAACACGTGGCTATAGTGGGGAAAAGCACGCATAGAATGCCCATGGAAACTACAGCAGAATACAGCAGATTTAGATCAATGGGCAAACAAGGCATAGAAGAAAAGGAAAGGAAACGAAAGGAAAGGAACATCATAGGAGACAAGGACAAGAGAAGGGAGGAGGATACGAGAAAAGGGAACAGGTTCCCCCACAGGGCACAAACACGTGGCTATAGCTAGGAAAAGCACACATAGAATGCCCATGGAAGCAGGAAACGAAAGGAAAGGATCATAGGAGAAAAGGACAAGAGAATGGAAGAGGATACGATAAAAGGGAACAGGTTCCCCCGCATGGCACAAACACGTGGCTATAGCGGGGAGAAACACATAGAATGCCCATGGAAACTACGGCAGAATACAGCAGATTTAGATCAATGGGCAAACAAGGAATAGAAGAAAAGGAAAGGAAACGAAAGGAAAGGAACATCATAGGAGAAAAGGACAAGAGCAGAAAAGGGAACAGGTTCCCCCACAGGGCACAAACACGTGGCTATAGTGGGGAAAAGCACACATAGAATGCCATGGAAACTACAGCAGAATACAGCAGATTTAGACCAATGGGCAAACAAGGCATAAAAGGAAAGGAAACGAAAGGAAAGGAACGTCATAGGAGAAAAGGACAAGAGAAGGGAAGAGGATACGAGGAAAAGGAACAGGTTCCCCCACAGGGCACAAACACGTGGCTACAGTGGGGAAAGGAACATATAGAATGCCCATGGAAACTACAGCAGAATACAGCAGATTTAGATCAATGGGCAAACAAGGCATAGAAGAAAAGGAAAGGAAACGAAAGGAAAGGAACATCATAGGAGAAAAGGACAAGAGAATGGAAGAGGATACGAGAAAAAGGAACAGGTTCCCCCACAGGGCACAAACACGTGGCTACAGTGGGGAAAGGCACACATAGAATGCCCATGGAAACTACAGCAGAATACAGCAGATTTAGATCAATGGGGAAACAAGGCATAGAAGAAAAGGAAAGGAAACGAAAGGAAAGGAACATCATAGGAGAAAAGGACAAGAGCAGAAAAGGGAACAGGTTCCCCCACAGGGCACAAACACGTGGCTACAGTGGGGAAAGGAACAAATAGAATGCCCATGGAAACTACAGCAGAATACAGCAGATTTAGATCAATGGGCAAACAAGGCATAGGAGAAAAGGAAAGGAAACGAAAGGAAAGGAACATCATAGGAGAGAAGGACAAGAGAAGGGAAGAGGATACGAGAAAGAGGAACAGGTTCCCCCACAGGGCACAAACACGTGGCTATAGTGGGGAAAAGCACACATAGAATGCCCATGGAAACTACAGCAGAATACAGCAGATTTAGATCAATGGGCAAACAAGGGCATAGAAGAAAAGGAAAGGAAACGAAAGGAAAGGAACATCTATTAGGAGAAAAGGACAAGAGAAGGGAAGAGGATACGAGAAAAAGGAACAGGTTCCCCCGCAGGGCACAAACACGTGGCTATAGCGGGGAGAAACACATAGAATACCCATGGAAACTAACGCAGAATACAGCAGATTCAGATCAATGGGCAAACAATGCATAGAAGAAAAGGAAAGGAAAGGAACATCATAGGAGAAAAGGACAAGAGAAGGGAAGAGGATACGAGAAAAGGCAACAGGTTCCCCCACAGGGCACAAACACATGGCTATAGTGAGGAAAAGCACACATAGAATGCCCATGGAAACTACAGCAGAATACAGCAGATTTAGATCAATGGTCAAACAAGGAATAAAAGAAAAGGAAAGGAAACCAAAGGAAAGGAACATCATAGGAGAAAAGAACAAGAGAATGGAAGAGGATACGATAAAAGGGAACAGGTTCCCCCACAGGGCACAAACACGTGGCTATAGTGGGGAAAAGCACACATAGAATGCCCATGGAAACTACAGCAGAATACAGCAGATTTAGACCAATGGGCAAACAAGGCATAAAAGGAAAGGAAACGAAAGGAAAGGAGCGTCATAGGAGAAAAGGACAAGAGAAGGGAAGAGGATACGAGAAAAAGGAACAGGTTCCCCCACAGGGCACAAACACGTGGCTACAGTGGGGAAAGGAACATATAGAATGCCCATGGAAACTACAGCAGAATACAGCAGATTTAGATCAATGGGCAAACAAGGCATAGAAGAAAAGGAAAGGAAACGAAAGGAAAGGAACATCATAGGAGAAAAGGACAAGAGAATGGAAGAGGATACGAGAAAAAGGAACAGGTTCCCCCACAGGGCACAAACACGTGGCTACAGTGGGGAAAGGCACACATAGAATGCCCATGGAAACTACAGCAGAATACAGCAGATTTAGATCAATGGGCAAACAAGGCATAGACTTAGATCAATGGGCAAACAAGTAATAGAAGAAAAGGAAAGGAAAGGAACATCATAGGAGAAAAGGACAAGAGAAGGGAAGAGGATACGAGAAAAGGGAATAGGTTCCCCCGCAGGGCACAAACACGTGGCTATAGTGGGGAAATGCCCATAGCTAAAGCCAATTGCCCAGGACGGGCAGAATCACCCAATTCTGCATGCAAATCTGAAGATATCTCAAGATTTTTATAAAAATGTTTCTGGGGTTGGATTGGTATGGCATTCTAAGTGTCACAAAGGCAGCCGGAGGGGACAAAAATCGTCGAGGAAAGCATAATTCATGTGGAAATCAGCAAAAATCATAAAACACATGCCCCCAAGACCCTTGGATGCATTCTATGTGTTAAATTTTTGGCAGCATTCTATGTGTAAAATCACCTGGTTAAGTTTCCAAAACGTCATTCTAAGTTTCGGTTCTCAACTATATTTATATATATATATACATATATATATATACGCACAAAAGGATGACTTCATGTGTTTGTCTCGTTATGAGTTAAACTTTACAAAGTAGGCCCAGCTGTGATTTGAAACGAAGCTAACTTACAGTAAATTTTCCTGAAAGAAGCGCATTCCTTTTCAACTTATGCAATAGAGTGGTCTGTACAACCGCAGCATGTTTGAAGGAACAGTTACTGAACAGTTTGTGGTGCAACACTCCTCGATCTGAAGACCATGGGGGAGGCTGGTGACATTCTGATCTCGTGCCTTCTCCGTAGCGAAAGCTCTGTCACTCAAGGCATCTCAAGGCGCAGGATCTGGAATGCTACGGGGAGCCTAAACTTCGCAATGAAGTGTGGAAAATGAGAAAGTATAGACAAGACATGACAAGACTTACACTTGCTGTTTTGAGGAGAGGATCTTTATTGTCATGAGCTATCTGAAGACCGAGTTTACAAGTGCATACATGTGCATACTATGATTTGCGCAAAGCCTCCCAGTCTGAACAAGCACCAAACTGCTGCTCAATGTGCCCTTGATTCATGGAGTCAGGATGAGTCTGGCATAGAGGTGCTCGCAGCTGTTTTCCCGCCATGTTTCAAGGATGGGCAAAGATGCCATGCCGGAAATGTCCTGCCACGATTGAGAGTTGGTACTGTACATCTTTTCCAGCCATTATAGTCGTTACCGAGTCTTTACCTTGCTGTTATCAGTAAGTGCTGTTCTCTGTTTCCCATTTCCCTGAAGCTACGCGCAAACAGCCTGGATATCCACCGGGAGATTGGAGCTTCTGCCTCTCAGGGAAACAAAGGCTTCATGAGAGCGCGCATAGGTGTCAAGCCACGTTCAAATAATATCACAAGTGGATGTCTAGTAAGTCTCAGTCCAAGTGCAACTCTTCATCATGCCATGGCCTTCCACATTGTTCTTTCGATCAATACTTCTTGCAAATCAAGCGGCAGTGGTTCGGCGGCCTGGTTTCAAGAAGGGAACCGAAAGTTAGGAAGCCTTTGGAAAATCTGATCAAATCAGCACCATTCAACAGAGCACCTCACAAAGAGATGGCTTCAGTCCCGATCTGCAAAATGCCAAGTAGTACCTCAAAGACTCAGAAAACTCAGACGACTCCCGCGCTGCAAGACATTGCAAGACAACGATGAATGGTTGAATTGGTTGAATTGGTTGAATGTCTCGTTCTTAGAGCCTGGCCGATGCAGAAAATTCCTCTTGCACCAGGAGCGATCTTCTAGGTACGTGGTACTGGTTAAATAGAGTCCTTAGACGTGGCACCATGCGATATATTGCGATATAGAGTCAGAGGTGGCATATCTATATCATATCTGTATATTATATACATACATATATATATACTGTATAATATATTATATTTATATATATATATTTGTAACATGTTGAAACTCCTTGGATATGTGTCATGCGCTTGAGTCACCACGGTCTTTGATCATGTCGGTAGATTCATTGTACATCCACTGGAACTTGCTGTCTTGCGTTGTCTTGTGCTGTGCTCATCTTCCAGTGCCAATAAGCCTCCGTCACTCACAGTCGGATGTCCAACGTGAGCTAAATGTACACGGATCTGATGCTTTCGCCCAGTGGCAATTCGAATTCCAAGCAAAGAGACAGCAGTTCCTATGGCAGTTCTTGTTCTCCCAGTCGACCCAGTCGACCCGGTCGACCCAGTCGACCCAGTCGACCCAGTCGACCTCACTGAATGTCCCAAATGTCCCAAATGTCCCAAGAGTTTGACGTGACTTCGAGCATTGCTTCGAGCGGCGGAGCTTTGAGACACGACGCTTGGTGTATCCTGCTGAACTCCAGAGTCAGACCAGGCAACGGATGCTCTCACATCGCGGTCCCCAGCAAACCATCCATGGCAAAGACTGGTATAATCTCGGGTGATCATACCCAGTGACAGCTGAAACTGCAGGTCATAGTAGGCCTCGTAAGTCGACGCCACCAGTATCAGGCCGGAACTCGGAACATCCAAACGATGCAGAAAGCCTCTTTGGTGAGCTTCATCACTGAAAATTGGATGCCTTTTGAAGCTGGAAATGTAGGAAGACAGAGGCAAGGCAGATGCTTCCCCAGACTCATCCACCTTCAAACCACAGGGGTTCTTGACAAGTGTGATGTACAGTAGTCTGAAGCTTTGTGATACCTTGTGATACCTAGTCTGAAGCTTTGTGATACCTTGTGATACCGTGTGATACCTTGTGATGTCTTGCTGTGTGTGATAGATTCCGTCTCCTTTGACACGTTTAGAGCTTACAGCACACAGCTAAAACTGTACAGATTTGCAGCGGCCTGCCAACCCGATGGTTTAAAGACCAGAAATCCTCAGTCGGTTTGAAAGTGGCTCACGGCTCGACTCAGTTGGAGTGAACCAAAGGAAAAGTTTCCCCACGTGCCAAAGATCCAAAGAACGAAGAGCTCAAAGAGTCAGCTTTTGGCACCAAGATTCGATCTGAAAGTTGCAAGACAACCCGTGGTTCACATGTCAGCTCTCTGCACAGAGCAGAAATGGGAACTGAAGGAGTCATCGGAGCTATCTGTGGCAATGCAGTCGAAGGTGTCGTACACATTGCTTTGCTGCAACGCATCAAGGCGTGCCAAATCGGAGAGAGCTGCTTGGTGGGCAACGCCAAATCAACGAAGGTTGATGCCCACAGAATCTCCAAGGCATTGCTTGAGAAGCCCAATGCCGAGACAGACGAATCGGCGCGTTCAAATCTTTCGAATCCTTCGAAGAGCTGACTTCGACGCGTCAGTTCGTGTTGAAGACTTCGATAGAAAAAGGGTAAGACTTCGGTCGTCCCCTCAGTCCCGCGTCCCTCGAAAGGCCAGGTGCCTTGGACAGACGCAGCCCAGGCCAGATTGGCCAAAGCACGCAGTGGCACTAATTTTTCCTGGGATGCGGTCCAAAAATATCCAAAAATATCAAGGGAAATCAAAGAAATAAAGATGATCAAGGAATAAAATGGACAAAGGATCTGACAAAGGCATGTGGGACTTCAAAATTCAAGTGTGCAAATTGCATGCTCCCGTCCGTCCCGTCCGTCCCGTCCTCTCCATTCCGAAGTCTGGAGACAACTTCGGCAAGGAGAAGCCGCCAAAACTCTTTCGGCAAGGACGATGCCAGTGACCACGCCAATGTACTGAGTTCCTGGGAGGCTAAGATGGCTAAGGCAGCAGAAAGGCTCGGTTGCTCAAGTCTCACAAGTCTCACAAGGTGTCAAATTTATACAAATTTCATAACGAATTCACACGGATTCATACAAGTAATGATTCATAGAAGTTCTGCATGCTTGTGCCCCTTTGCGATTGAAACTCGATTGAATATAACTCGAATTGTCAGATGTCTATAGATGTCGATTGATGTCGCAACTTTGTCGCAGTCGGGACTTTCGGATACTTTCGGACTTTCCCGGTCCTGAAGTGACAACTTCGTCAGCTCCGGCAGATCGCCGAGCTCGCCGCCTGGCTCTGCACCAAGGCGTCGTCTTCGGGCCCGACGCCAGGCAGCTTGTGTGGACCTCAACCAGACCCGGAACCCGGGAAATCCCAGGACTCTTCAGGTGTCGAGATCTGTCGAGATCTGTCGAAATCAGTGGAGCATCAGTGAAGAATCAAAATCACTAGAATATATTCAGAATATACTAGAATCATCTGTCGAATCTGTTTGTTTCTGAAGATGTTACGCCACTGTTACGCATGGAGAAAAAGAACCTGCCGATAAGAGCAGCAAGGGATGTAAAACATGTTTCCCTGATTGTCTGAAGCTGGCCACAAATGTTGGGCCTCCGACGTGGCTTGTATTTCCAAGCAAACTTCTGCATCCAACAAGAGCGACAAAGCATGCTGCCACCTCAGGAACGGATCTAGACCCAGACTCCTTAGACTCCTTGTCCTCCCGATGAAAAAATCGTGGAATACGGATGAATACGGTGCAATGCAGGGCCAAAGCACTGGTTTTTCTTCTCCGAAGCTGTCACCACCTAAGCTTGACACTGCAATTCTACAATGCTCAAGAAAATCAAAGCACCTGCCGACTTCCTTGTGATGTTCGAGAGAAGCTAGGAAAATCGAGAGCATGTCTCAAGAACTCACGAAATGAAAACCAAGTCACTGAGTTGTATGAGACTTCATTGGGCTTCACATTATGCTGAGTCATCCATCCTTCAGGAAGCCACAGTAACCACAGTAAAGAGGCTAGGCATCATATGCAGATCAACAATGCTCAACAAACAGAGCTTAAGTGCGCCCGCGACCAGGCAGGAGAGCCAAAAGAAGATGCCACACAGTTGAAGTATTTGACACACTTTGGGTAGGATTGCACATCACCAAAATGCTTCAAGGGGACAGAGCTCATTTAGATTGCGCCATTCAACTTATTGACCCTTGCGCAACCCCTAAGAGCAAGATCAGACTCGAGTGATTGGAATGTCAAACGTTATGGTGGACCTTCTTTGCAGTCAAGTTTCGAAGGAAAGCCAGGGATATGAGCCATTTTTGACTCTTCTCACATGCACTGAGGGTAGCACTGCAAGTGATCTCCTTGCTGAAGCGTTCGGACATATTTACACATTTGAATTTGTTTGCACATTTATTTGCACATTTTGCACTGGCTTGCCCTTCTTCTCTCCAAATGCTTCACCCAGTTGATTCCCATCATTCCCACACCAACCAGTTGTTAAGGGGCTGCAATTTTTTTTGGGATGTTTTTCCAGTTTTTTTTTGGGATTTTTTTCCCGTTTTTTGGGGTTTGATGGTTTTGATTGGTATTTGCAGCGTTTTGCAGCTAAGCTCTCTGATTTGCATGATGTTGTTGTTGTTATTGTTGTGGTTGGATGGATGGATGGATGCATGGATGCATGGATGGATGGATGGATGGTTGGTTGGTTGGTTGGGTGGTTAGTTAGTTGGTTGGTTGATTGAGTTGATTGGTGATTGGTTAGGTTGGTGGTTGAATTGATTGAGTTGGTGGGGGGTGTTGGTTGGTGGTGGTTGTGGGGGTGATGGGTTTGTGGGGTGTTGTCTGTGGGTTTGTTGTGGTGTTGTTGGTGTTGCGGTGTTGGTTGTTGGTTGTTGGTTGTGTTCGGTGTGGATGGGGTGGGGGGTTGGTGGGGGGCTGGGGGGGGGGGGGGGGGTGGTTGGGGGGGGGCGGGGGGGGGTGAGTGGTCGGTGGTGTTGTGGGGGGTGGGCGAGTGGGGGGGGTGGGGGGTGTTGTGTGGTGGGGTGTGGTTGGTGTTTCCGGTGGGTGGTGGTGGGTTGGTGGGGGTTGTTGGTGTTGTGGGTTTGGTGGTGGAGGGGGGGGGGGGTGGTTGCTGGGGGTGTTGTAGTGGGCGGGTGGGGGGGTGGTTGGTGGAGTGGGTGTTGTTGTGTGTTGTTGTGTGTTGTTGTGTGTTGTTGTGTGTTGTTGTGTGTTGTTGTGTGTTGTTGTGTGTTGTTGTGTGTTGTTGTTGTGTGGTGTTGTTGTTGTGTGTTGTTGTTGTGTGTTGTTGTGTGTTGTTGTGTGTTGTTGTGTGTTGTTGTGTGTTGTTGTGTGTTGTTGTGTGTTGTTGTGTGTTGTTGTTTGTTGTTGTTGTTGTTGTTGTTGTTGTTGTTGTTTGTTGTTGTTGTTGTTGTTGTTGGTGTTGGTGTTGTTGTGTGTTGCGTGTGTTGTTGTGTGTTGTTGTGTGTTGTTGTGTGTTGTTGTGTGTTGTTGTGTGTTGTTGTGTGTTGTTGTGTGTTTGTTGTTGGTTGTTGGTTGTTGGTCGCTGATCGTTGGTTGTTGGTTGTTGATGGTTGGTTGTTGGTGGTTGATTGTTGGTTGTTGGTTGTTGGTTGTTGGTGTTGTTGTGGTTGGTTGTTGGTTGTTGGTTGTTGGTTGTTGGTTGTTGGTTGTTGTTGTTGTTGTTGTTGTTGTTGTTGTTGTTGTTGTTGTTGTTGCTGTTGTTGTTGTTGTTGTGGGGTTGTTGGAGGTTATGTTGTGTTCGTTGGTGGTCGCCGTGGTTGTGTTGTTGTTGTTGTTGGTGGTTGTTGTTGTTGTTGTTGGTTGTTGGTTGTTGGTTGTTGTTGTTGTTGTCGTTGTGGTTGTTGTTGGTTCTTGTTGTTGGTTCTTGTTGTTGGTTCTTGTTGTTGGTTCTTGTTGTTGGTTCTTGTTGTTGGTTCTTGTTGTTGTTGTTGTTGTGGTTGTTGTTGGTTGTTGTTGTTGTGGTTTTTGTGGTTGGTTGGTGTTGTTGGTTGTTGTTGTTGTTGGTTGTTGTTGTTGTTGTTGTTGTTGGTTGTTGTTGGTTGTTGTTGTTGTTGTTGTTGGTTGTTGGTTGTTGGTTGTTGGTTGTTGGTTGTTGGTTGTTGGTTGTTGGTTGTTGGTTGTTGGTTGTTGGTTGTTGGTTGTTGGTGTTGGTGTTGTTGCTGTTGTTGTTGTTGCTGTTGTTGTTGCTGTTGTTGTTGCTGTTGTTCCTTCCTTCCTTCCTTCCTTCCTTCCTTCCTCGCACCTTCCTTCCACCAGAAAACGGGAAAAAAATCCCCCCAAAAAAAAACGGGAAAAATATCCCAAAAAAAATAGCCCTCCATTGTTAAGTCCAGAAACATTGTCAGCAACTTGCCTGACACGCATTCCTTAGATCGGAAAGCGCAGTGGAGAATTTTGCAGAACTCATAGAGCAACCTGCTATTTGTGTCTATTTGTCCAGTTTTGCACACTTTGAAATGGTAGCATGAAAAGCTCTCTTGGATCAGTGCCCACCGAGAATACCGAGAGTCTGTCAATTAATTCAAAAGAGTCTTTCCAGCAGCTGCTGTCGGCTAAGACTTGTATAGCATTTGAAATGGTTCTTCCATTTGGTTTGAGGCCCCGCTCTTCACAACCAAGAAGTTGTAACGCTGGCCGCCATTTGGAACCACTCACGGCGATGTTGAAGTTGGAGATATCCGTAGAGAGCGAACAAAACTTCATAGAGCCCAACAAGGCATTGGACTGAAGCCATTCACGAACTTTGACACATGCCCCCATGGCCGCACCACAACTCACATAGTCTGGCCTTTCCAGAAATCTTGATTGCTGAGACTGGCACTCACATCGACTTCAGTCTATCTGTTTTGTTTGACCCATTCGCTACAGCAATGTTTGTTTTATTCCTGAATGGTCACACTGCTTGGTGTTTTTTCACAGGAACTTTTGCTTTGTAATCTCCTTCCTTCACTCAGTCTGTTGTGACCCTTAGAAGGAATTGTATCTGTCGCATTTCAAGAGATGTCTACAGTTTTCTAAAGTATAGTTTGACAAAGTTTGACAAAGTTTGACAATCTCCCTTTCTGACACCCATCACGGGCCTAAGGATGGTCCGCATCTCGTTGAGTTGCGCAAGCACCAGGCGCCAGTCTCCACCCTCCCCAAGTGCACTAATTGCTGCGTTGTTGCCTCGGCTGGTGACATCGGCAACATTCAAACCTATTCAACAATATTTCAACAAAGTCAACAGCCATCTTTTCCAAGTCTTATCCAAATGATCTTTCAAGCTTCAAAATCTTCAAATGCAAATTTCAAGCTGGCTGCAAACTACGTTCACTTCTATGTTGTTGCTGGTCATCTCGTGCCAAAGTGAAATTGCCTGCTGCCACTGGCTCGCATCTTGGCATGCATTAATTGCCTCAATTGCAAAGCGAGGAAGAAACCACTCTGTCTATGGGATAGATATTCTGTTCATTTCTTTTCAGATTCTTCTGGTGTGTCCTTTCTTAGCCGTGTTTTTACTTGTTTCATCTTGTTTCTTATACTTATTTCTCACTTATCTTGTATCTTTATCTTGCATCTTCAGGATTCTTTAGGATTCCTCAGGTCTCGGTCCACCAATTCTTCAGGTCCTTTCTGGGATCTTTTCCCCCTCGATCTGCAGCTCCGTTGCAATGCTGTAAGTGAAACTATCCTAGGCTGATGCTGGAGATGCTGAAGAAGATGCTGAAGATGCTGAAGATGCTGAAGTCAGTGCGGACCATGTTTTATCATGTGTTATCTGTTTTTTTCTGCAAAACATGACCTGGTGGATCTTCATGGTAGACGCTACTGGGCCCTGCTGGGCCATGCTGGGCCATGCTGGCTGTGCAGACCAGAATCCGGACACACATTATAACTGCTCATCCCCCTGGTGATATCCATCACCTCCATCGCCCTCGCCCATTCAGAAGATCTCTGGCAGGACGCCATGACCTGACCAGATCGTCAGGCAAGTGAGGCCGGTGCCGAATCGAAGCTGTTCAAATCAACGCCTTTGTTCAAGTAGCTGAATAAGTAGCTAAATATTCCAAATGTTCAATTATTATGATCAAATATGTTCAAATTGTGAATTTACATCAAGTAATATGAAGGAAGTGATGAATTACATGGATCTAAAAGTAGATGGCTCAACTCAAAAACCAAAATACCCATAAGATGGCACCGCGCGGTGAGAAAGAAAACGGCGCTATTTTAGCTGGAACATAAAACGAGTTCCGCCAATTGAAGAAACTTATTGGGACATAGATGGCGCAACTCCCACTCATTCGCCAAAATCAGGCTGCAAATTGCCCACATAGATGGCGCAACTCCCTCATATCTCCCTATATATATCTACAAATCATTACCATTGGAATTTTGTTGGGCCTATTTTGGGCCATGTTCGACAATCTGGGCAGCTTATGGTGGGCCAAACTGGGGGGGGGGTCCTTGGTCCGGTCAATTTTAAGTAGCAAGGACCCCTTTATTTTTGGCCCACCATAAGCTGCCCAGATTGTCGAACATGGCCGAAAATAGCCCCAACAAGCTCCAATTGCTCCCAACATGGGCCCCTGTTGGGCCATTTTAGGGCTATGTTGGGCCTTTGTTGGGTCATTTGGGGCTCTGCTTGCGGCTTTCGGGCCTAAAATTTCAACCCCAACCGAAGCATGGTTCGGTTGGGGTTGAATTTTGGGTCGGTTTCGGGCTTATGCTGGGCCATTTGGAGGCTATGCTGGGCCTCTGTTGGGCCATTTTAGGGCTATGTTGGGCCTTTGTTGGGTCATTTGGGGCTCTGCTGGCGGCGTTCGGGCCTAAAATTTCAACCCCAACCGAAGCATGGTTCGGTTGAGGTTGAATTTTGGGTCGATTTCGGGCTTATGCTGGGCCATTTGGAGGCTATATTGGGACTTTGTTGTGCCATCTTAAGGCCATCTATGTGGGCATTCCCAGCCTGATTTTGGCGAATGACTGGGAGTTGCGCCATCTATGTCCCAAAAAGGCAGCTTGATGTTGAGAAAAAAATATGGGGCGAAACCGGCGCAGAAGATTGCAAAAATATGTCATTTTTAGGGACATAGATGGCTCAACTGACCTGTTTTTAAGGGAGTTGAGCCATCTATCCCCCATTTTTTGACATAAATGGCGCAACTCAAGATTCTGAGCCATCTACTTTTAGGGGCGAGTATATAAATATGAAACAGCAAAAACGGAGCACTGAGTGTAAGATTCGGACTGTGTTGAAAATGAAATCGTTCGGAGGTATCAACGCTGTTGTCATCTCGTCAAGTAAACGAAAAGTGACGCGCCATTCGCAGGAGCTCATACAGCTGCTATAGCTTATGCAGTTGGCCCGAACCTGCACAACTGAGTGCAATGAGACTAGGCGCGATACAAACACCGCAAAATACTGCAAAATACTGTAAATAGTGACAAGTAGAGTTTGCTAGTGTTTGTTGTCTTAACAATTTCAATCCAAGCCTTCTTAATTTCTTGCGTTGGGTTGTTCAAAATGATTTGAAATAGAGGTTGAATTTGAATGAATTCAAGAAGACCGGAAGACCGAGCCTTCTGTGTTGCCATGTGTTTTAAGAGTTGGAGAGCGTCTTCCCATCGAAACGCTTTGCTGCAAGCATTGATTGCCTGGAGCCCCAGCTGCAGTGTTTCTGTCTTCATCTGTCTTCATCTGTGTTCATCTGTGCCTCAGTGTCTCCCTCGTGTCTCGCATTTAGACCTGGAAACTAAGCACCCGACTGAGTTGAAGCAAATTGTGTCTGTTTGAATTCTTGCGAGATACATCGCTGCCATGAGCTGAAGTACCTCAGAAAAGGAAGGGTGAACTTGGAGAATCCATACGATCCTTTCGCGTCGTTTTTATTGTTTTTTGGGCGTAATTACTCTGAGTTTTAAAATGTTCAAAATTTTGGTTTTGATTTTATTTGATTTTTGCATCTTTGGTGATTTTTCAGATCCAGTTGACGCTCTGTGCGGCCGCAGTGCTCCTTGCCACTGAGATCCAGAGGTGCAAGCAGCCACAGCTGCAGTGTAACACACGAGATCTGCGTTTTCGGCTTCAGAAAAGAGTAACAAAGCGGTTCTCCAATTCGCAGACCTGCAAGGCCCAAAATTCCAGGCTGACAAATTCATCTCCATCCTGTCATGTTTCCATGATAGCTAATTGAAAGAAGCGCAAAGCGTTTCAAGCACATGGACTCGCCCACACTTTTCAGCAGCGTTCCTTTCGAGATACTGCTCCTACTGCTACTGAATGAATACATAATTGCAATATAATATTATATAGTATTAATTATATACATATATACAGTATATGTATATATTGCATTATATTGCATTATATTGCATTATACTGTGATTCAAATGGTGAATACCTGTACAATCCAATGCCGGGCCCAAGCTGCCTTGTGCTTGAGGCCATCGCTGCCGACAGACGACGCTGCGTTTCTCGCACAGACATGGCCACGGCAACGGGGACCCGATGGGACCCATCCTGCGAGGTCCGCTGTGAGATCAGCCAGAAGAAAATGCGTAGGCAGAGTGACTCAGTGACTCTACACACACTGTGACTCTCAACTGGTCACGTTATGTCACGTTCACCAATGTCCGGATATTCAGGAACAAAATCAACAAAAAGAAACGAGGCAATCAGAGGTTCGTGAAGGACAGGTTGTGGCCATAATCGGTTTTCAACTTACTCTACTCAACTTGCGAAGTTGATTCTTTCGCAGCTTCATTTCGAAGCATTATGCCTCTGTAAGGCTGGGATGGTGCTTCCTGTCGCACTTGGCCCAGTCCTTCTGTATCTATATATCTTGCCAAACGGTCCTGACAAGCTATACAGAATCTATAAGTCATGACCGTCAGACGCCAGGTTTGTATCGAATCCGATTAGCTTCGATCGAACCTGCAGTCCTTGCAATTCGCCAAGAACTCTTTACAAGGCGCTCTACTGATCTCTACTGTGTTTACAGATTTTACAGACTGTACAGCATGCAGTCGCAGTTGATTATAGAGCAGGCCACTTCTCTAAGGATCAAGCTGGCCCAAAATCAGAAACCCAGTCCCAGATGTTCGGGTGAGTTCAATCCACCTTCAGTGCGACAAAATGCTGTCCAGGCACAAATGTAAACAGTGTGCAAAGAACAAAGACATTGAACTTCCGTGCCTTCACAGTGTGACATTCTTCGAACTCACCTCGGTCAACAGTGTGTCGCTAGCATCGTCATGGCAATGACATCGTGGCAAGGACATGGCACAGGATCGATCTGTCTCGTCTCAGGTGCAAACGCTCAGGTGCACCAAAGATTCGACGGACACATCCTGCGTAATGACTGCGCTTAGATTGGATTGTGATTGGTTTGTGAACATTCTTGCAAAGATTCCGACAAGTTCAGGTATGGGCCGGTATGAGTCTTGCTTTTTGTTTTGGGCAGTTTGAGAAGCGTTCAATTCACTCCAAAGTCTGCCCATGTTGACTCCACCTATGTCTTGAGTTTTCTTGCACCATCCGTCTCCTCTCTTTATTCCTCCTTCCTGACATGTGTCTGACATGAGGGTAAACGTTATCCCAAATTATCCCAAGGGTGTGCGGATTTCTTTACAGTATGATTTCGATTCATTTTGGATCATTTTGTATCGTATACGTCATATACATAATGTGTTCTTTGCATCCCATTGCATCCGCCCTCCTCTGGAGACCCTCTTGTTCAGGAGCAAGCCAGTGCGAAGTCGGAGAGGAGGCCGATCCAATAACCTAAGCACAGCACGTCCGACCACAACGTGGCAACGTGGCAACGTGTGCACTTTCCTCAACTCTGCTTGGTTCCTTCGTGGCTTTGCGATGCTTTGTGTCCAAAGTTTGCAATGTTGAGATAAATGTAGTCAGACACTCCAACATCAGGGCTTTGTGGTACCCACATGGATGAGATCGGATTAGATAGTATCATACAGTATCATCATACAGTATCATATAGTATGATATAGCATGACTGTATCACAGATCGTATCAAAGTCTGAGTGACCACAGCAGGCTTGCAAAGATCGCCTGGAGCACAAGCACAACCAATGCCTCGGCTCAGAAGTTATGCACAGTTCAGAGGGTTTGAAGAGGCGGAGTGATTCGGTTGAGGCAACATACAGAATGGGGGAGTGTGAGACAAAGGATGTCAAAGTGTCAAAGTACGTTTGCAAGATGTTGCAAGCTTCAAAGTGTGAAAATGATTCAAAATGATTCAAAATGTTTGCTTCGTATACAAAATTCTTCGTCAAGTCACTCCGAAGAAGTGCCATTCGTAGATACAGAGGAAATCAAAGGTGAAGCGCACCACTTGCTCATACCCAAGAGGGCTCCCTCTTGGCAAAACCAAACGAAAGAAAGACCAAATCAAGAATTTAGCGGTGATCAGGAATCGAATGAGTATCATTGTCGCCACCAGTAGTGAGCCAAAGTCTGGATTCTCCTTACATCGTCAGGACGACCATAGAATGCCACGGGGTGAAGAACCCCAATCTGCAGATATCTGCAGTATAAAATTGAAACATCTCGAAACTGACACGTCATCATGCATAAACATGCATACACTCAAACATCGCCCAGGTTCCACGATATAGGTCGAGACGAAAACCACAAACCTTGGATTCGTTGCGAGTTTGGAAAGCCTGCAATCGCAAACCGCTGGAAAACGCACACAAAATTCAGGAATCTGCTGTTACGCATGCACTGATTCTCTTTTGACTGGTATGACAACAGCCAAGAGACAACGAAAGGCAAGGAATGGCGATAACGATCATCCCGGCTGACTTAATGCCAGAGAAGCGCACAACAGATCGGAAGAGAAACAGAATAAACATCCCGCAGAGTGGTGCCCAGGTTTGGTCAAAAATGTTTGAAGTGGTCATGAAGAGGTATAGGGCACAAATCAAAATGCTCGACAACATTGGAAGAGACAAAGATCGGTTTGCCTGTTTCAATTCTTGTTCAAGTGCCGCTTCGTACAATGAACTGGCTTTGCCTGAGGCGATACGATCGTGAATGCTTGGTGATTTGGCAATGAAGCTCACGAGCTCACGCACTTGTTCATAGACAGCTTTGGTTGGAGGCTGGAATAGGATAGGTGCCAATATCCAGACAAATGCAGTGAAGGACACCAGGATCAATGGCAATGCCCCGTCTTGATTCAGAGCGCGGTACAGCCTTTGCAAGATCAATAATCAAGCAACAAAACAAGAACTGGGGAAGGACAAACAGCTTGTGAAAAGCGAGACAAATTGTGTAACAAAAAAGGTTCGGGAAGAGTTGATCAAAGGGTATCAAAAACACAAAATCTGAAAGATTGACAAGTCTGACAAGTAGATCAAGTAGCACAATGCAATACAAGATCTGCAAGGCGGGTCTGTAGTGTGAGTTCCAATAGGCCAAAAAGGCGTCCATCAAGGTGTAACTCTTGTTTGCGTGGGGTCTTCCTGTGTTCACATACTCCGCCGTGTTTGCTTCGAACGTAGTTCGTACTGAGGAGGACATGGCCTTATTAATGAAGATGAAATAAATCATCGACATGGGAGCGGTCAGAAGGTAGTTCTTGAACATCCAGAACGGTCCATACTCAATGCCAAGACCAATGATGGCCGGCAACATTGCACTGAAGGCTGGTGTCAGAAACCATTCAGCCGCTAGCATAGAGCCCAACTCACCCAAGTCTGAGATTGACTTCGAAGCCAAAGTCAGGTAGATGAAAATCAACAAGAAGACTTCGGTGCTGATGTCCACGATGACATTGTGGATGTACCAAGCCACTGTGGCAAAGTAGAGGGCAAATGTCTCCATGACCGATGCATTTTGACACAGGGCTCTCAAGTCTCGGGTACGTAGTAGACCGACAGATCCACTAGCAATCTTCCAAAAGAAGCCTGAGCCTGCAAGGAATTGAACTTCACGACCTTTTTCCCATTCCAAATAGTCTGTGTGTAGTGACTGCTCATGCCTGGTCTTCACATTCAAACCAGCAAAGATGTCCTCTGACAAGTTGATGTGGGGAGAAGCTTTTGACACAGAACCTCTATTGGCAGCCCAAAAAGCGTCCATGAAATCAGGATGACCGTAGTGCATTCGCACAGTCAAGAACTCCAAGAGACGCTGTACCAAGGTGCCAAAAGTCCACTCTGCATCCTCAGTCTGGTTCCCTGTAATGCCCTGATTGCCCTGTATCAGACAATATCAGAACCCCAAGCCCACCAGAATCAACATATGGACCCACCTGAATCATTTGACTCTTGGTAAAATTACAGGAACCCAAAGCCTTCTGTGGGATCTTGTGAGATCTTGTGAGTATATTGAATATTTATATAATTTTATATTATATATATATGTGTATATATATATATATTTGAATATAGAATAAAAATCTGTGATAACTGAGCCGGGCATCTGCCATGATTTGACCCACTAGGCCGTGCTCCCTCGTGAAGATATGCTCTCTGAAGCCGATGATACGGGCTTGAAGCCTCACACGCTGATCATAATCGCCCTCAGAAATAGACCAGCGATGGAACCCTTGCAGAACCACTGGAACTTTGAAGGTCTCACCAGAGTAGCAACCCATGTTTGCATCCATCATCTGCACAAAGTGACCTTCGGCAAAACGAAGTGCACCCAGTTGGTTCCCTGCTTTGCCTTGTGTCAGGTTGCCTGTGGAACCAATCAGAAGACCTCTGGCGCGTGGAAGGACATGGACCACCTCTATAGGCCAAGGAGATCCAGCTTCACTGTCGTTGTGCTTGATGAGAACACTGGCATGCTTGAAGCGAATATCTGTCCATGTTTCGGGTTCACCAGATGCAGAACCTCCTGACTTGCAAATGTGGGTGTCAATCATTTCTTCAAGTTGTGGATGGCTTTTCCCTCTTTGAAAGTCGATGCAAACGAAGAATGGGCACCCCCTGTGCTTGTTCAACATGTAGTGCACATCGTGCTCACGCTTCGTCAATTCGGCTTTCTCCAACCGAGCGGTACCACAATTCACCGATGTATCAGTCAAAATGGCGGTGTTTTCATCCACAACTTCTTGGACCGTGTAAAATCGCCCTGAGCGGAAACCTTGCAAACCCTTCACTTGAGCTTGTCCCCACAAACGTCCCAATAAAGCAGGGTGCCTTGCCATTGAGCTTGTCCCTTGACTGCCAGAGCCATCACTGCCACCGGCGCTTTGATCTGTGGAGACTTTCGCCACCATATCAGCATCGGGACTGTCCGCAGGTTCTGACATTGCTGCTTCAACTAGAGCTTGCACTTGCACACCGTCGTTGAGAATGGCATCCACTTCTTGTTGTGTCTTGGCACGTTTCTTGATTTTTGCCATGGCTCGGCTCTTCCAGATCTTGTCCATCGCTCGTTTGGTCACAGCATCTTCTGCATTCAAAGAATCCAAAGTCAGCCGCACTCGGTCGTTTGCACGGAGACCATGAGGCCCTGGAGATGTGATGACTCCGTGCTGAATCTTCACTTGCTGCGATTTTCCCAAACTCAGTTTTCCATAGGTTTGATGGGCCATGATCAGCTGAGCATGACGTCGGATGTCTTCAAAGCTTGGGGCCATAGGACTTCCCGTTGGGCTTCCCGTTGGGCTTCCTGCGCTTCCCGAGTCTCGTGTCAGCAAGACTTTCAAAGCTCTGTGATAATGTACTGCGCCATTCACAGTGCGAATCACACTCTGTGAACGGTGAGAAGCCCATTCCCGAACCTTGTCCTGTCGAACCTTAGAGGCACCTTGCACAATATCTTCATAGAGCTCAGTTGGATGCATACCTTCGTTCTGCGCAAAGATCTCCCATTCGTGGGGTAGCTGGGAAATCAAGAATTCCAACATTGTTGAAACTGCTCCTTGCTTGGGCTCTCCCACAAGCTCCTTTATGTCCATGATACCTTCCTCACTGTAGACTGGAACAATCTGAGTCAATGAAGGAATTCGGCCCTTGTGAGTCACACCAAGAGCATCGCAAGCAGCATCAGCAGTTGGCACATAGGGCTTGAAATTGATGCTGCTATCACCGAGAATGCACCGGAGACTTGTAAACAGATAGCCCATTCTGGCACGGGCACGATCCAACATGTGGGAATCTTTGCCAGAGAGTTTTACAGACCCACCTGTCTTGGCCGCTGTCAATAAGTTGCTGCGCATTTTGCTGTCAATGAGGCACTCGTCATAGAGCCCATCGACCATCATTTCCCACACTCGTTGCCAGTCTTTCCCGAAGACAGCCTTGGGACAGCACAAAAGAAAACTGTTGGAGAAATGTTGCTACTTCGTGCTACTTCATGTCATTTTGGTTAATCTCCAACAAGACGTTCTTGCGGAGAAGCAACTGTGGATGTGAGATGCACTTATATAAAACTTTATGGCACATTACGTGCATATGTAATATGAACTGCATTCATAATTACATGCGTTCATGTGCTCTGTGTGTATATGCAAATTGAAACATATCTCAAATATTCTCAAGTAATCTACAGTAAGATATTTATGTCATCTGTGCCACCGTACACACTCCAAACCCAATGTGCAAAAAGAACTACGTAGCTCTGTGCAGTGGAAGGAACGTTGAGAATTGACCCGTGAGTCATCCAATTTGCCTCTGCTTTCCTCATTTGGGTAAAGTCTGAAGTCACGGTTTCCACACGAAACTCCAGGGATGGAATGCTGGTCTCGACAAAACCACGTGCTGCACCCACTGAACTCCCAACGATCGCAACATAGACGTTGAAAATGAAGTACATCATCAGCAAGCTGCTCAGTATCACCAGGGTCCAGGCAACTACTACAGTGGCCACGCAAGCGATACACCGCACATCCTTGACCAAGAAATCGTACTCAAAGACAGTCACTGTGTAAGTACTGCAAAAGTCTTCGTCGTCATCGTTCACAGCACAGAGTTGATACGGAGTCAAAGATCTCACCAAAGCTACTAGCATCGAATAGTTGCACAAGAAAGAGAAAGCTGCAAAGGTCGTCCAGAACAAGGCAATCCTTCAGAGACATGTCATGAGCAAATGCACTCAGCCAAAGAACCCAATCATTTCGAACCTGTATTCAGCTACTTCAAGGAGACCTATAACGAGAAGATACGAGAAGTCTATTTGCATCACCAAAGTCCCATGGAAACACACAAAAGAGTTCCAAGACATTTACAGCTACAAATGCGGCCCTGAAAGTATGGCAAAGATTAAAAAAGTGAACTAATATGCTGCATGCTGTAACATGTTTTACTGCCGGATTGGGTCCTCTTCCAATATGCCATGTGCAGCAACTGGAATGCATTTGTCGCCTTGAAACGCGGAGTGACCCCATACGCAAAGCGAAGCGCGATCCATGCCACTGGAGCATACCAAATCGTACTCGCAAGGTTCTCTGGCAAAACATCAAACTGTGCCATATCAACATTGTATCGTTTAAGAAAATCAACGAACACTTCCGGCCAAGATATGTAGGCCCATGCGAGTGCAAGCAACAGAGTTGGGATGACTCTACAAACTCGCAGAAAGCGGATGCAACGATTGCAGTTTGTTCGACCAATAGTAGCTTTTGTCGGCGTGTCCGACACAAAAACTTCACAAATCATCAGAAAACAAAGCCAAATCGAATCGATGAAGGCAAGGCTGAACGCTGTGAAGCGTGTCAAGGTTGGCTCGCGACTACTCAGGCCGACCCAATCTTCAAAGGCTTTGCTGTCGTGCAAAAGTACGGCGCACCATAGAAGCCAGAGCGCAATGGTCAAGACCCATTTGTAGTTCACCACAAAGTGGAAGCAAACCCACAGACCGACAGGCTCCTTCCAAGTCTTTTGCACCTTGTCTATTTGGGGTCCTTCAATGGAAAGAAGTCCGCAATCATTGATGTCATCAAAATTGATGCCTTGCTTGGGTGCGAAGATATTGGAGTTGCGACAGAACACTTCGAGTGGTAGGCAAATGTCTGCATAATCCATCTGACAGAAGAAGACCTGGTTGCCAGCAGAATCCTCTGATTTGTCAAGGCTCTTCATCACTTTGCGGTGCACGCAGGACAGCCATTCCTGGCAGAAGAAAACGGCGAAGTTTGACTGGGCCCAAAGTTTCTATATCAAGTGAACTGATCAGAAAATGAGAGTCAGGCTTCTAAGAGCTTCTAAAGTGTCATGAATATGGTCACCGCGTGATTTGCATGAATATTATATAAAGAATACTAAAGATCCATGCAAAGTAGTTGTCAAAGCCCGCATTGGTCATTTGGAGATATTTGGAGCGAGTTCCAGCAAGGTTTGAGGGCCCACTTGAAAGGGGTTGAAAGTAAGGTTGAAACATGTTGAAAGATCATATCAGAATCATAAGTAATCACATCACAACATTCAAGTTTGATTTCATATGATTTCATGACATCTGAAGTATCTGAAGAATAGTTATTCTTCAAATTTCTCCAGTTTTCTCCATCACACCAAGATTCAGGAGAGTGGATCAGGTGCTCAGCCATGGACCCAGACAACCGGGAGATCAGTGCTTCCACAAAGTATTGATGCACGCTGCTGTCATCAAACTTCCTTTGGGACGGCTGACCAATAGTATCTTCCCAGGAATGATATCCTTCCAGGACGCGCCGCCAAATGTTGTAGCAAGCACGCCTGCAGCGTTCGAAACGTGATCATGGGATAACTATGGATAACTGAACCCATGATCTGAAGATAGCGGAATCGGGTTCAATTATGTTGACTCGGACCTCTCAAGAAACACCAGTTGATAAGTTTGGGTCATCAAAAACATACCACACGTGCGTCAATTGCACGGATTTGAAAGCTTCGCAGCTCCTGTCTTGTCGAAGTCAAATCAAAGATGTTCCAAGACTTCGCCATGGTGAAATCGTGTGAAAATGTGTGAAAATGTGTGAAAATGTGTGAAATGTGAAATGTCCATCAATGTTCCAAGACTGGCCTGCGAATGGAAGTTTGCTCTACCAATTCAGGATGCTGCCGGCGTTGCTCTTCAGCTGCAACTGCATCAACTTCATGCTCGATCTGACGCCTGAGAGCGCGCAGCTACATGCAACACTTGTGCCATTCATTGTGCAATATTGTGCAGTTGAAAATGTCAAAAGAACACTAAGAACAAGCACAAGGAGACTGCACTTAGACTACCAATTGCAGGGCCCTCCCAAGGCCTCAAACGATCTGCCTGAACTGAGAGGTGCGTGTTCACAAGCAACGCCAGGAAGTGCCTGTGGTCACGTCGTGAAAACGATGCCGGCAATGCCCATGGAAAATGATTCTCTCTCTCTCTCTCTCTCTCTGGTCCTTGGATGCCCCATGCAGGTGTGTGAAAAATATGTTTGCAATGTAACTGTAACTGTTACAGTACTCCCACGATGCTGCAGGGTGAACAGCCATTCCCTGTGAAAATCCTCAAACTTTCAACCCGCCAACCCGCCTCATGCTTGTTCCTGTGCTGGTTAGCCAACCTTTCATGTCTGTATCATCGCCCGCTGTGAACATACTCTCCTCGATGACACTGCTGAGAAACAGCGGATTGGCCTTCCGAGCAAAACGGGGCGCCGCTGTCAACTAGAAAGGGCAAAAAGTGGGCAAAGAAATGGCAGGAAATTCAAACGGGGACATCAGATCAATTCAAAGTAATCGATACCGCTTCTAGCATCTTCCAGCCTTAAAGGCCAGATTCACCGCCAGAGTCACTTGCATTCCAAGGAATTCGACTGTGGTTTCAGCTTTTCCCGTCACTTCTTCTGCTTCTTGAAAGATCCCTGCTGTATCCAGGAGTTCCAAGAGATGTTTGCGTGTCACGGTCTTGTTGCCGATGAGTTCCGTTCTTCGCAGTTCAGCATCTGTGAAGCCATAGACAGCCATGGAGCGATCGGACTGCTCCTGCAACCACCGGATGAACGCCTCTGACGTCTCCCAGGTCTCAGCAGAGGCACCACGTCCACGGCCGTTGTACTGAAGACGGTGGTAAGAGAAAGCTCCGTTGACTTTAGCGATACCCCAACCACAGTAACCTTTCAAGTGCGAGTACTGAACTGGAACCTCGGATCCATCTTCCAAAGCTTCTGAAACTTTGGTTGCTAGTAGTTTGCCATAAGGCATGGATGAAATATCTTCAAGGATCTTCCGCGAGGCACTGTTTTGCATGAGCTGCTCCAAATTGTAACAGTTCTGAGGAGTCTTCCCATCTTGTCCTGCAGGTCGTGTTCTTCGACAAACCAGCAAACACAGAGAACTCAGTCCCACAAGAAGAAAGAGGGTGCACGCCACGTAGAAAACAATGAGGGTCACCCCACGCTTCATGAGAACAGCAGAGCAAGCGGATGGCGATACGTAGCCAGAAAGTGGTGCTGAGTCGAAACGAAATCGCATTGAAGAATCGACAGACTCAAAGCGCTTTTGGATGCAATGCTGTCCAAATGTGTGGAACTGACCAACAAGCCCTTTGTATGCCACAGACAGCTGTCCAGCATCTGTCATGGGGCCACAGCTAGAATGGCCGAATTTGGATTTCAGTTGTGCCTTGCAGTTCTCAAACTCTTGATCTGCACTCCAAACATCCAACCACTCATCAATGATGGCACCTGTGATACAGAAACCAAGACTAGAGGCATCTTTGAGACCAGAGGTTGGAGTGCTATTGCCGCCATTCCACACCTCGTACAACGCTCTGTGTTGCTTCTCTGGTTGGATCGAGCCTTGAACATACGCTGGAAAGCCGAACTCAAAAATCACTGGCTTCACGCTACCGGAGGCATCGGACAAAGTCACTGTGGTCCCCACCAACTTCTGTTTTGGTTGGCTGAACAGCTCTTTGATGCGGCGAACTGCCCTGGCTTCCACATCATCTGCCACTGCATGCAGCTTCAATATCCAAGCATCAAAGAGGCCTGGCGCAATCCGGCGCAATCCGGCGCAATTGCGAACGAAAAAAACAAAGCCGCTTGAATGAAAAAGGTCACAGTCACACACTTGGAAACACAAGCACAAAACCATCATAATAACAAATGGAAGAGTTCTTCCCACGGCGTTTTGCTGCGTGGTTTCTTCAGTTTGCGTTTCAGCTAAACGCGAGCTGCGCACCGTTCCCGTTGAAGCTACAATATTGTGCCATCTCCTCCTTGGTAAACTCGACTCCAACACTTTGGAATTGGCGAAGCATGGCGAAGTATATTGTCAAATGTTGTCAAAAACAAGGGTAAACTCTGAGAAGATCCCACACTAACAGTCTAAGCATTTTTATCATGCACTTTTGATCACTTTTGCATCTTTTGCCTTCATGATCCTTCATGTAGTTTTCATGTAATGTCAAGAAAAACGCACATATCGCACATGCCATCTGAGGCTCCAAGGATGTAGGAACTTGCACTTGTCCCGCTGCCATTGGATGGCAACCAACCACTCGCTCCAGCCAAAAGACCAAAGCACGAAGATATTCGTCGTTCGCCGGCACCGAGAGGAAGAACTCTGGACCAAGCTCCACCGTCAGCGCCAACGGCCGATCGAACTTGAATGCTCCAGGCATGTCGTCACGAGCATCACAGCCCGGTCGAGGATCTTCACAGTGGAATTCATGTTGTGTCTCTCGGATCGTTTGAAGAATCCCTTGCAGGTTTTGCACAGCGTTCAAAGCATCCGCAAGGTCCCCGGTTGATGAAATGCAATTCTGGAAATTGTTGACATTCGTCGTTGCCCCCGCGACGCATGATGTGGGCAAGAGGGATGTGGGGGACGGCAAGCCAACCAAGTTCCACATGAGAATGGTGTCAGGTGTGGAAAGTTTCTCATTCTTCACTGCTGCTGAATATTGTAGAAAGTCATGAAAATCCTTCTTCAAGGTCTTGTGGGTTTCTGGCAGAGTCCATGCCCCGTCTTTCCAGTACCAACCGATGTCAAATGATGGGATGACACGAAGATCGTTCTCTGCCACCGTTTCCAAGAATTGTGAGTGGCTACGGTGCTTGAAACTCCAAGGAGCCAAAAGGAGCGTATTTGCACCAAGTTCGTTGCGGATCACCGGGAGGTCCCTCGAGTGTATATCCTCTGTGAAGTTCAAGAAAGACGAGAAAACAAAGCAACAAAGCAACAAATGTAACAAATGTAACAGAAGAGGAACAAGCAGCTTTGCTGCGAGAAGTGCAAGAGATATGTAGAGAATTGTAAAGATACCTTAGCCGCCTTAGCCTTAAACCAACATATAGTCTCTCAGTCTCTCTGTAGTTGTCTAGACATGTTCTCTGACCCTGTCACTGATCATGCCACTCCGATTATGTATATTATGTGATTGTGTCTCTCTCCGATCTCTCCGGTCCTGGTAGTTTTGGTTGTACGGGTCTCGGCTTCGATCTGCAAAGACTTCGTGATAGCCCACAGGCTCTGGCCAATACTTCACCGCCTGAATTGCAGCAGCGGCACTCGTTGCACCGCTGTCCATGTTGAGCTCTTCAAACGTGGTGCAAGAACAGGTCTCCGTGGCGCAGGTCCATGGTGTCTTGATCCGGACCTGCGTCGGGACCCCCACAGCTCCTGGCGGGCTAGGGACTGGATCTCACAACCCAGATGGCGAGGGCCCAGATGGCCCAGAGGGCCCAGATGGCCCAGGTGGCTCTTGGTTTCGAAAAAGTTTCTCTAATGCATCATAAAACGTCATCGAATTCGTAAACATTCGTAAACCACCTACATATCCTACATTACCAAATGAATACAAGACATTACAAGAGAATCCACTTTGCGCATTCGCAAGCTTGCCCTCCTTCAAACAGCACGAGCCCGGTGAGCCCGGTGAGCCAAAGACCGAGCATGGCGTAGTGCCCTTGACCCAGTCTCTGATCACCGTATCAGATCGTATCAGCCAAAGGCAGTTTAAGCACAAAGGCTGCGGAAAGTGAACAGGATCAAAAAGGATCAAGAAGGAAAAAAACATAGAAGAAAACAACGAAAACAAACTGTTCCATGTTCCATGTTCCATTATCAGGGGCATTATCATTTGCCACTAAAACTGCTGTATTCGTCTCATTTTGTCTCAGGTAAAATGACACATGTCTGAGTTCTCATGCATTCAAGTGCTACCAGTACCAGTACTAGAGTTGCCCAGCTTTGCTTTCATGTTTTCTCTGAAACTTCAGTGATGCAAAGCGACCCTTATGATCAGACTGGCTACTCTTTTCTGAACACAATCGTGAAAATTCGTTAATTAGCTTCTGGACGCTGCAATCTCCAAAAGCAACGCTGCATCATGCTGCATTTCTGCGTCGCTAACTGTCACCACATGCCCTGAAAAGCCACACCCTTTGTTATATAATTTCTGGCTGTAGCCGGCTTTCGAAAAGCTTTCAGGAGGAGCAAACCTCAGCTGTCTCAGCTCCCTCTGCCAGAGTCTGCCAGCTTTCAAAACTGCCTCCGCAATTTTTGGACATCTTGGAGTCATTCAAGTCATTCAAGTCTTTCAGCTGACAGATTGCGTTGCACGCAACGCGTTGACAGCTTTGATGGCTTTGACAGCTTTGAATGATGTGTCTCCAAGGAGTTGAGGGACAGCTTTCCATTGAAAGGCCAAGACGGCAGCTTCACAAGCCTCACTCGCAAGGACAGCGTCGGGCGCATCCGTCAAGTCCAGCATGGCTGTCCTGTGCAAAGAAAAAAATAAAAAACAAAATGAATGAAACTATTCCAGAGGCCATGTTGTTCATGTTTGAAACATGTGCAACAGACATGACACAACGTGGTCTCAAGCAGATTGCTGACAGACCGTGTCCTTTCCAGTTGCAGGATTGCAACCTTCCACTCTTTATGGAGGGCATGTGCAAGTGTGTCGAGAGTGACAGAAGATGGAGATAGAGTACAAAAAGTCATCTTTGTTGTACAATGAAGCGCCAAAGGCCACTGCTGACCTGTGTCAAGACAACTGATGACAGCGTTGTACGCAACTTCATCTTGCTGCAATCCATGGGAAGTCGCCCGTCTAGCCATGCCAACAGCGATCTCCCACCGATGCGAAGCTTCACAGGCACTGATGGCCACATTGCAGGTGATGTCATCAATTTGCAAAGCACATGCTCGTATCTGCCCCAAATTCTCCAACGCACTTTGCCACTGAGAGCCTTTTTGCAAGGCACTGAGCAAGCAGTTGTACATGACAGTGTCTACCAAGTCTACCGTGTCACCTGTCTCTCTCAAGGCCGGGTCGCTCTGCTGTTGCAGGCTTTGCACAAGAGCAAAATGCTCCACCGCAAGTTGCCAGCGGCTTCCTCGTTCAAAAGCACTGATCAAAGCGCTGTGAGAAACCGCATCAAACTCCGCTGCTCGAGACTCGAGGATTACAAAAAGGTGCAGTGCTATCTCCCATCGACCATTCCATGAGCACGCACTCATGGCTGCAGCAGAAGATGCAGCTGTTGATTGGATGCGGAGCACGCTCATCTCGTCCAACAGATGCACACTGAATCTCCAGTGACCAGAATTGCCACAAGCATTCATAACATTTGCAAACGTGCTGGCAGATGGTTCAATGACTGACTTTAGCATCTCTTTCAGAAGACTCATTGCCTGCTCCCATTTGCCATGTTTGCCACAAGCTTCTGTGACTTTGTTGTAGCTGATATCGCTGTGGTTTGATTCCGCAAATAGCTGAATTGAAAGTTCCCACGCAGAAGCTCCAGCAGCTGCAGTGCAATAAGCATCTGCCTTCAATCCAGAGTGGCGCAGCTGCGACAGAAGAAAAAACGGCCACTGCCAGAGCTGAAAGTCTCCATTGAATGCTGTCATTAAGGCTGTGTAGCTCACAACAGTTGGGTACCCAGTTGGAGAAAAACAAGTGCGAAAACTTGCAAAAAGATCTACAGAACTTCGCCATTGTGAAGATGCACATGTCGTGATGGCAGCATTTTGGCAAATGTCATTCACCAAAATTCGGGACATCTGCATGGTGCACAAAGCATAGGTCGCTTGTTCCCAAGCAGCGTGCAAGGCATTGGCGCCCACCAAGGCACTCCGCACAACTCCATTGGCTTCAACCTCAAGCTGTTGCATCCTCAGGGACAACCGTCACAACCCAATGCTCCAAAGGTCCACAAAGATCGAAAACACACTTTAACTTAAAAAATAAAATAAATAGAAAAACAGCTTTATGGAACTTGCAAAAAAAACAACACACTAGTTGAGAATTGCGGCAAAGGCAACATACAACAAACATGGAGCAAACATGACTAAAGATAGTAAAGATATGAGAGACTGTGGCCCAGGAGGAACCCTTGCCCGCCTGTTGATCAATTCGGCTGCCATGCCCCAGGATCTCCACTTAATGGAATGGATCGCAGAGCTGCAGGTGAATGAATTCGGAAAAACTCCGCAGCCTCGGCATCAAAATGTCATCCCACATCGACTGAAATTGCAACAAATATCAACAAATCAAGCAAAGAAAGATCAAAGAAATGTTGGAAATACGAACTACACATTCCGGTTCCCCCGAACATGACTGTCTGAGACTGGCCGCCTCCCATTTTGTCCAGCAAAGCCATGGAACTTCGCCAGTGAATCCTAGTCAGCACCGAGCCTAAGTTGAGGGGGACATGGATAGTTCCATGGTGAAAGGAATTAGATCCCATACAATTGAGATTTCTTTCAACATGACACACACTGCAAAACAAATGTCCATGGTCAGCCGGTCAACTGTTTCCATATCATTTCCATATCATTTCCATGTCATTTCCATGTCATGTCCTTCTTGTTCCGAAGCTCATCACTGTGCCGGGCAACTGAAGGTGACCACGTCAGGGCGAAGCCCCGTTGTGCCCGTTGTGCAAGTGAACGAAGTGAACGTGTCAGCCGCGTCTGAGCCGTGCAGTGCATGCAGTGCATGCAGAAGCTTCAGACATTGCACCGACTGCTGCCAGTGTCCTGAGGGGAACTTGAATGCAATTCTTTTGAACATGTTGAAAAAACATGGAAAAACAGGGAACATGCATGTAAAATTATTGTAAAAAAGTATGAATCATGGGATCATGTGAACACATACAAGTATCTGACACGTGGAGTTTCATCGGCAACGTGTCCTCCTTTGGAGCAACTACTGATTGCAGCATTCCAACCAATTATATCCATCTGCTGCCCCTTAGCGACAGAGAACCAACATAACCAACCGCTGGAATTTTACGTGTAAGATCGTGTAAGCAGATCGAGCAACAAAGTACAGGGAATGAAAGGGTCGGAAAGTTTATAGAAATTCGGCCAAGGTCAAATGCTCAGAGTAAAAAAAATCAAGCATGACTGTGACGGCTGAGTTCTATGCTTGGCTGAGGTCCATAGCCAAACTCCACTGTTGCGCCTAGCGGGTGCAAAAGGTTTTCAGGCAGCTACACAAAAGGACTTAGTCGGAAATCCATTCCATAGCCATTGCGCTGATGGTCACTGATGGTCTCAAAATTGCACTAAACAAGTGTGTATAATGTTTGAAAAGCCACTGCGTCCATCTAGATTCTAGATACTGTGTTGAAGCCATCACGCTATTGTTCTTCGTTTTTGTGGGAAGGCCTTCTCGCAAGCCAAGAGTGCAGCTCCAACATGGAAGCTGTTCACCTGTGGCGGAAGGCACTGACAACACCGATGCTACAAAGCGTGATTTTTGCCACATAATGCCACACAATGCCACAAAAAACATGTCCTGGGAAGAAGATTCTCCAGGGGAGAACCCGCAACAACGAACAGCAAAACCATACAAAACCCTTCAGGCTGCCTGGCCTCCACACCATTACTAGCCATGCATTGCAGGACCTGAACAGCCACCTGACGGCTCTGGCAACGTCAAAGATCATTGCGCAAAAGCCTCGAAGCACACGACGAATTCTTAGCTCACGAGGCCACAGATGGTGCAGTGGTGGTGAAACGATTTCAGAGTCACATTTGGATTGGCTGTGACGGATCATTTATGGCCGTCTGGTGAACCTTCTCAGGGCGCACCTTGCTGTGCAGCATTTGTATCAGTTTGTATAGATTCGAAGTCACTGTAAGATACTATAAGTCTATGTTGTAGTGGATGGACTCCTAACTCCTAAAGAAGTCATGTTGATGCCATTGCACCAACAAACACTAAGGCAAAAGCATCCAAATGTCTACGAGTCTAAGAAAGTCTAAGAAAATCTAAGAAAGTTCTTCACCAAATGAATCAGCCAATCAATGCGCCCGCGGCTCAAAGAAATTCCTAGCATCCCTGTCACTCCAGTGCTTCGCCTTAATTCGCCTTGCTTCGCCTTGCTTCGCTTTGTCGGTGGCACTGTGGTCCATCGGTTTCGATCGGTTGCCCTCTGTCCATCCACGTTGACAAAGCCCACGGCGCTCCAAGGTGTCACGATGTGGCACGGCTGCGAACACAAGGAATGCTCTGGAAGGCAGGGCACACGTGGCACACGTCTCTGCACACGTTGTCACTGCTTCTGTCCACCATTTCCAGGTCGTTAATAGATGTTAATAGGTGTCAAGCAACCTCGACAAGGGTCAACATCACGATCACTAGAATTGCCAATGGGATCATGAGTTGGAGGTTTCTTGAAACTTTGGAAACGTTGGCGCAGGGACAGCAACACCTGTTCAATATTGTTCAATGGAATTTGCAGAACTATGCGATGAATTCCATGGTGCTTCCTCATGTATTTTGGTCTGCACCATCTTGCAAGCACGGCTCTCTGCCACGGCTCTCTGCTGCCCGGATGTACAAGTGGCGCCACCTGGCCGCAGCTGCCCGGAACGCTTCCCTCATCGTTGGGGTCGATGTCGCCAGGTGATGTTTGTACCGCGTCTTGGGCGCCCTGACATCAACATCATCGCATATCATCGCATAATCTGTGCCAGGCATACACAACGGAGTCCACCAAAACGCTGTCTTGAAGTCTCGGCATCACATTATGTTCTGGTATGGAGCCACAGGCCATGAGCCAAGCCATCGATAGGCACGAAGAGGACATGCTATGACATGCTTGGTCTGTCACACAGCTGCTGAGTCGAAGAGCCCTCTGGCAGTTCCAGACCTCGCAGTTTCTCTTCTCCCCGAACCCGTGGTTAAACTGGAAGCGCCGCAGCGGCATTTCACACCCTTCACGCCAAAAAGGTCCAAACCCTTGCTGCAAAAGCTCAAATCAAGTCTCCGCCGACATGTTGCTGATTGTTCTGGAAAAACGGCATGCCACTGCGGCATGGAATGTCTTTATTTCAATTCATACACCTAGTGTCCAAAACAGATGTAGCATCAGCAATTTCATCATCCTCTCCAAGCTGGTAACAACCTGAGCACTCGAAGTCCCGGTGTCAAGTGATCTTCTGCGCAGCTTTCGCCACCGCTTTCGTCCTCGAGTGCTTTGGTCAGATTTAGTACAGGACGCGGAGCACCACACGTCGCAGAAGCAAGGCGCAAAGGCTTCATCGAATGCTACAGGTGGAAGTAGTAGGAAGTAGTAACATGTAGCAACCAATCAGTTGGGCAAACTTTGTTCATTCTGCATGGGGGGCGAATCTGCTAGATGCGCTCGCAGCCACTGAAAAGCGAAGACACACCATGTAGGTCCATCCACTGGTTCCTCGACCAAGATTTTGTTTAGTTTGACTCGTCGCTGGATCAACGCGTCTCCAACTGCGCATTTTGTGTTGGGTTTTTTTTGAAAGTCTCCATGGCAATCAAATTGTTGATGCAACGAACATTGGCGTTAAACAAACCATTGTGACATGGAATCCAACACAATTGGCAATCACATGCAACCTCGCCACTTGATCCAAAAAATACATTTAAAAAAATACAACATTGCTGCAGCGCAAAAGAACCGAAGCAAAATAGCAACGCGGTAGCGACTTGAGTTCTCACGGATGCACCAGTCGGACTGTGTTATTCTCAGCATGCATTACTTCCCTTGGTCGCAGAACTCATTTATCGCTCCGTTCCAGCTGTATCTATGATATAGTATGATACGATCAATGATAATATATAATATTATATAATTATGTAATCATATAATAAACGTACATGTATATAACATCTATATGATATGATTGATATGTGTATATGATAGGCCTGATAGGCATCATGGAGTATAATGATGATATATACGGTATATCATGGTTTTCTTTATCATCTCTTTGCATCGATAATTCCCTGAATCTCACAGGATCTTACGACGTTTACGACGTCCTTCTGCGGATGTTTCTCTGCCTCCGGCTTTGAAGCGAAGGCCAGTTCACGCAAAGTGGCCTGGGTGGGTCCAAGGTGCCCAAGGTGCCCAAGGTGCCCAAGGTGCCACAGCACGAAAATGGTAAAGATAGGGTAAAGGAATAAGAAAATGAGAGAAAATGAGAGAAAATGAGAAAGGTCCATGAAACTCCAAGGAATTTTGCTCTGAAACTTCCGAAAATCACAGTCTTCACTCTTGAGATCCGAGGCATTCCGAGGCACTGTTGCATATCTAGGATTCTTCACCCTGCTGAGAACTGGCTTCAAGAGCAGCACCTGACATGGAACCATTTCTGGTGAAAACAGCGGCTCTAAACTTGAGAGACCCATTCGGCGATCTGAAACTCTTGTTATTTGATTTAGATCTAATTAATCATATAATATCTTGTTTTTGGTTCCTTGGCATTAAGATAAGCGTGGTGACTGGGGCTCACCATCTCAGCTTTCAGGGCCAATTGTAGTACAAAGTGTGGATTTCTCCCATTTCGAGATTTCTTGTGTTCTTGGACAAGTACCACAACCTAGCGGCCTGGCGTTTGTATGTGTTTGTGACCTTTCATGTCATCAGTGTCAACCTTCATTGACAAACTGGACCTAGTATCTCTCAGAAATGTCTTGGTGTCACTTCTTTATGCGCTTCAAGTGCTTTGCAAAAACTGCAAAACCAAACTTGTCTATCCGCGCCTCTGCTGAATTCAAGTTGATCAGCTGCAAGCCCAGAGCATCCGGGGACATGCGCTGTGTGTTGAGACGTCTGTCGAGCACAGGGTCCTATAGAAACAATTTGAAGTTTGTCTTTTTTTGTTCGCTATCTCTTTTCAGATCTGGTATACTTCCAGCACAATTCACAACCTTACCCTTCAGCAAGTCGGCTGCAATCTTCATGTCATAATGCTCTATGGAGACTTGACTTGGACGGCCGCAGCATTGGAAGCAAAAGTAGTTGAAGTACAATAAGCTTAGGATTGACTTAGGATACATTGAAAAAATGTCTTGCAAGTGCACAGCTTGATACTCCGTTCACACTGCCCTCTGTGGAATGGAGAAGCGTCTCATTTTTCATGGCGTGCAATAATCAGTGCTTTGTGCTCCAAGGCCGCTTGATCTGCTTCCAAAATGCATCATGTGAATTCCAACTTCCAAGCAACCTTCTCTGAGCAAACACACTCTCTTCTTACAAAAGACTGCTACAATACTACAATGCTCAATTACGTTCAAATCATGGACAATTTGACTAGAGATTACGACAAAACACGCCACGAATGTCATCAACTCATTCACTATGGAGCTGGAGTGAGCTGGAGTGTCATGAAGCAGTGAGACAGGAATTGAGATCATAAGAGGCCCCCGTGGCTGAAAATCATCAGACACCGTTGCAGAATCTGAGGAATCGCACTTGCACGTGCATGCACGTGCGTGTGTGTGTGGGTGTCAGTGTGTGTGTGGAACTCGCTCTGTGGGCCTCTATGTATTTGATCTAACTACTCTCACTTTTCTCCACTGCTGCTGCCTCACTTGCAGAAAGTGTGCATGTGGCTACAAATCATCATGAGCATAGGAACTGCAGATGCTCAGTTTCAACCTCTGCATGGTATGGAGGACATTCAACGAAATGTGATCCAAACGTTTTTTTTCGCTTAAAGCGATGCGACTGTGTGACTCCATATTCATTCTCATGTCATTCTCAGTTCGTGTCATGTCCGGCCTCTGGCTCTCTTTCCTCGATGTAGGTCAATGTGGACTCTGGCAACCAAGCTGTAAGCGACACGGAAGGAAACCGAACCTGCAAAGTAGCGTCCTCCTGGCAAGAACACACGAACACATCATCTCGATCTGCATGGAAATGTTCGAGTGAAAAATGTCAAAAATGTCGAAAGCATGTTGCATTTTCTTCAAATGCGCACCATTTCTTTGAGCAAGAAATAAAATGCAAGAAATGTAAATGCAAGAAATGTACGTCTGTCATCATATGTCTGCCTAAGCCTATGACCTTAAAAGAAACTAAACCTGTCGGGCTGGAGCCATCTGAACGGGAACTCGCTCCAACAGAAGGCCTCCAATCAGACAGCCCGGCCTTGTCCTGTTGGACCACGATGCCTTCTTCACCACTCAATTTTGCGAGTCTTTCATCCCACTTCAAAGCCGCGTGCGCCTGCCAATAGAATTTGAATTTGAAAGCTCCAAACACCGCGGACAATGAACTGTTCTGAACAGTTAAGCCTTTGACATGTCTGACAGTTGGATCTGAGCCAATAGGGACCTGCCTGAACAGCCTGTTTCAGCTGGTCGATGTCGCATGCCTTTACTCTCTTCTGCGGCTGCGATAGCTCTTGCAACATACCTTGGAGAATCAAAGGGTCACAGAGCAAGAAATCCATGAGATCTCGAAAGCCTATCAAATGTTGAACTGTTGTTCATGATACTTTATAATATAAATCTAAATTTTACAACTTGAGAGCAGGCGGAGGCGGACGAAAGGTAGTGTAGTGGGAGAGGAGTGGTGTCAAAATGCTGCGCCCCTAAGATGATACACCAAAAACGTTTTTGCGCAGTCTAAGATGATTTTATCCAGAGCATGACTGCATGATACGGTGTCTTGTGCAGCGTGAAATGATGCACAAAACGCACAAAAAGGGGGTTTATTTAAAACCCCTTTTTAAGACCCCTTGCAGCAACTGTTATTGAGGCTGAAGCAAACCAATTATGCTGAACTACAGGGACATCTCCCTCATGGAGAGTGTGCCTCTACTGTGGCGGACCGTGACCGCGTCACCCGCGGGAATTGAACCCATGACCATTTTCGGGGGGGGGCCTTATAATTGATATCTAATACATAACGGCTAGAATTCCACGTTTAGCCCGGGCTGGCCCCCCAATACCCCCTATGCTTGTGCTGAAGCACGGAGAACTCAGGTAGCTGACGCTACCTTTCGTGATGTCTTCTAATATGTCTTCTATGTCAAAGAGATCCAAAGAGCCCATGATAATGGGACATAATGGGACTCAAGCACGTAGTGCACGTAATTAGTGCGTCAGAGTGGCTGGTGGGAAGCCATGCTTTGAAGCCCAACGGTGGTGGAAATCTCACCTGTCATGGTGGAGAGGTGAAGGGGACAAAAGGTTACAGAAGGTGAAAAAAGGTCCGTAGAAAGGCATGACTTGACAGGACATCAAGAGATTGCCTAAATATCCGATTGTCCTATAATATATTCTATTTATTTATATTTGTATATACCTGTGTCTGTGTTTAGTCAATATTCTTTGAAGCCGTCTTTTCCCGTCTTGTCCCCTCGCACCTGTGCTGTTCCGTCAGACTCGTCGTCTCTCAGTACAATGCCTTCGCAACCGCAGGCATCTGCCAGGCGGTCGTCCCACTTCAGCGCCTGAGAAAGGAATTCGTCGGAATTCGTGAACAGCGGGGCGACAGTTCTGGGGAAGTTCTATGTTTTGAAGCCAGGTTAAATGATTAAACACTATCACTAACATGAGTCCTGTCACTACTTAGACTTTGACTTAGACTTGACCATGCTCTCAATGAGCTCTCTCCAATGAGTTTCTGTGATTCCTTTCTGTCATTTCCATCCATCTAGCAGGTACAGTAATGGCCGCTTGGTATCCCCAACCGCATGGGCTTCCACAGCTGGCTTCAAGTCTTCCAGCTTCGCAACCCGCACAGTTCTCATAGGCCTCAGATATGGCAATGCTTGACGACAAAGGTCTACACTTATATTGCACTATATACATAATTTATCAATATTTTGTTTCTACTGGACGTACCAAAATCTGCCAAAGAGGACGGAAGTCGAGACAGTGCCTCCTAAGTAAGATGCAGAGAGAAGGAGAAAAGAGAAGATAAAGAAGATTCGATAAAGGAATTGAACGGACCATGTGCAGGATAGATGATGCACCTGGCATGAACTCGCAAGGGTTATCCAACATGATCAAGACTACGCACTGGTGATTTGGGGAACAAAAGTCTGACAATAAATGGAGAAGCATTGGTACAGCATTGGTCTGTATTACAGAGTCTGTATCATATCTGTGTTATGTCTGTGTCATGAACACAAGGTCAACACACATCAGGTCATCAGGTCATGTCTGTGCTTTGATTCTGCTCAAGGTGGCGACTCTTCGCGGTCATGTATCAGAAGCCTCTCAAGGCCTGCCATGTCAAAAGTATCACTTGACAATTGATGTCTAATGATTAATCATGATTAGTCCAATGGTGTCGAAATGTCACTACTGAAATAAAATGCAATAAATTATGCTCAACTATGCTCCACTATATGGTGTACGGTGCAGGAGTTTCAAAACCTTCTTTCCCTTTGTGCAAAGAGAAGAAAGGAACATCTGAGAGAAATGTATGATTCAGAATGATTCATATGATTATAAGATGTGTATTTCAAAAATATATAAAAATATAAAGTGAGAGGACGTGCGGCAAATAGAGCTCCTCATACACCTCTTATTGAACAAAGAAATCAAGTTCTCTCCAAGATTCTCAAGGTGCAGGATCAGATCAACCGCAGCTTTGTTAAATAGTTATTCAAGTCTCCCAGACCCCATCAAAAACATTAAGAAACCACCTGTTATCCATGTTGTATTGAAACCATGCCGGAATTCTCGGAGTATATTGCAAATCATGTTGAACGAAAGAACCCTGACTCTTTTTCTTGATATTCTGTCAAGTCGGAGCGCAGTCTTCCTTATACAAGAATAAGGCGACGCGGCGACGCAATGAATGAAATCAAGTCTTGCTTAGTCTTGCTTAGTCTTGCTTTTCATTTACTTTCTAATTCAAATTGTGGATTCAACTTGCTGCCGCGCCTATTCCCGATGATTCTGCCATGTCCCGTAGTCGCCTAACAGGCCAATTCAAATCGCAGGTCGTGCACATGACTCCAGACTCTGAAGTGAATCGCACCACGTGTCCCCGTTCTTTGTTTTGGACATCAATAAGTTTCAGATAGTTTCATTCTATCAGGTTGCCCTTTCTGTCCCGTGGTCATTCTGAAACGGAATCGTTTTCCAAATTTCATCTGAAAGTCTGCTGAAAGTCTGCTGACGAGGCACGGATTGTTTTGAATCATTTCCCACAGCTGATCTCTTGTCATCCCGGTGCTTGGACCTGGGCAATCAGTAGCAGATGCACGGAAGTTGGGCTTAGCTCAGCTGAGACTAATATGACTAATCATAGCTAATCATAGTAACCCTACACCCTACACAGCGGCCATCCATATTAACCACTAGCACAAACCTACAGAACGGGATTGCCTTCCACTGAACAGCAAGAGTTGACAAGTCCTGCATGAACCCATGGTAATTGAACACCTAATGACCAACACAAGTCTGACAACTAAGTGACTAAGCATCATGAGCAAGTTGCTCCGGAAGCCGGAACACTGCGATGTGCGACTGATGTGCAACAATGATGGAAGAAATGCAACGCACTTGCCAAGGACTGCAAAATGCTTCAAGTCGACTCAGCTAAGGCCATGTCCACCATCTGCATCAGCTCCATCACCCAAACCAGCTGCATTCTCTGAGCTGTTCCTGAAGCCAAAGGACTTCAAAAAAAATCAAAAGACACGTCTCCACCTGGTCTCAACCTCTGCTTGCCTAGTCACCTAGTCCTTTCAATACTTCACCCACTGTCTTGTCTCTTTGTTTTGTGGCCTTCACTGTTTGTAGTCGCTTTAGCTTCATTCCCTGGCCTGTGATGTCAATCATCCTCCCGGCCTGTGTTTCTATATGTTTCTATATGTTTCTATATGTTTCTATATTTAGCACAGGCATCCCGTCGTTGAATATTGCTCTCCATATCCTTAAGAGTAACACAAACGTCTGTACTGTAACCATATTCTACAACGACACAGGCAATCGTGCAAGGCAGGGAGTACTTTGAATAGCCTGCAAGGCATGGTATTCCAAGAGTTGTTCAAGTAGCAGGGCAAGAGACAATGAAGCAAACGTGTATCTTCCCCTTTGATCTTTGCCAGATATCAGTTAAATTTGAAATGTCTTCATAGACACTTTTCCGGGTGTCATTCGGGCCTTTTGCCCACGGCCCAGCGCTGAAATTTGTGTGTTTAAACAAGATATCATTTGGATTCATTTGGGCTGTAAAGTGTATCACCGGAATGAACCTTGGCGTTGCCGGTACCTCATGCGTTGGCTTTTTGATGTCACCATGGTGGAACCTGTTTTTCACTCACCGTATAGCCATGACATTCCACGACCCTAAATCGTTTCCATTCGGGGCTGATAAACCAAACGCTCCAGGGATTGCTCTGATTGCTCAGCATTAATGCAGCATGAAGAAGACTTGAATAAGATTGAATAGTTTTTTGAGTAAGTTCAACTTCAGCTTCCCAGCCGCATCCCTCATCCCTGTCCTGCTCTCTAGCCAATTATTGAACCATTCAACACGTTCGGTGCCTGAAGAATGGCTGGCTGGGGCGGTTGGTAGGATGTCCTTGAAATGTCTCATATTGGCTATACAGGCACGTGGGGATAGAGAGGTTGTTTAGCAAGTAGGCCAAGAGCAGTCAATCTATGTCTATTTTTTTCGCAACATGGCTTTCTGCTCTGCAGAACTCTTCGACATGAAGTTTTGGGAGGCTGCGTGTTTGGCGTTTTACCCGCCTTCTGTCAGGTCTTCTGAGGGGCCACTTCCGTATTGGGCCATTTCTGCCTGTAGCTCCTTTGCACCCTGGCGCATCAAAAGTATTCAAAAGTTTTCAACCCAACACATCCTGACATAGGACACATCACACCAGGACAAGTCAGACAAGTCAAAGAAGTGGCTGCCCCAAGATGCCCCAAGCCTCTGAATTGGGATCTGCCTGTGCCAATTCAGCACGGCAGTTGCTGAAACGCCTGGAGCGCCAACAAACCATGTGTCGGCCATGTACTGATCAAACGACTGGCTGGGATTTCTTCGAGTTCTCTGCATCTGTCGCTCCAAGACTATTTCAGTTTTTTCAGGAGAAAAGAGTAGATAAATGGACAAATTGTTTCAAGAATGACAAGAATGGAAGATTTTTGAAGAAACATGTTTCAAAAATATGCTCTGCACATCGTTGCTCGCTTCGACTGGGCGTCCCGGGCTTCTCCAGTGCTTGGGGCAACGTCAGCCCCGCATGTTCGGCCATGGCCTGGTAGGCCTCGAGTACGGTACAGTGGTACAGGCCCGAACATTAGTTGAAAAATGTTGAAAACATTGAGCTATGGTGAAAACATTCGTACAGTTTCAATATGTTTCAATCACATTCAATCACTGGTACAGGCCCGAACTATGTTGAACCGAACAGTATGGAAACACTATGACATGCGTGAAAAAAACAGGCCTGAAAAGTCCTGAAAGTTCATGGAAGCTCAATGGATGCTTTAGAAAAAATCGTCCAAGTAGTACGATGCCAATGCATGAGAAATCTATTGTGATTTCAATCTAAATTGAATGTGCTGTATTTTTCAAAGTGTGTTTCAAAGTGTGTGATGAATCGTGGCATCATGGCACTTCGCCTCCTTCACCCAAGCCACTGGCCTTTCGGAAAGCAGCATTCTCAGGTGCTTCAAAAGGACCTGGAATGAACTCCACGTTCTCCCCTGGCACCTGATGGGAAGCCAGATCCAGGGGGCACAGGTAAACAGCAGTAAACTCAGTAAACCTAAGAATGGTAATATGCCATTGATATCCATTGATGTCATTGATGTCATTGATGTCATTGATGTCATTGATGCTTGTTGTCCCATCATGTCCCACAACTTGCAACTGCCGAGTATGTGACTTCTCCCCCACCGAGAAGGACAATCATGCAGGAGAGGTTGTCTTTTGATCCGCACTTTATAGCCTGCGAGTCCAAACCAACTCTGACTCTAGCCACAGCAGTGGACCTGCTGTGGCGTCAAGGTGGAATGACAGTATGTTTGTCAAAAGCGGGTTGCATAATGAACAGCTGTTTCGGGCCTCATGGCAAACCGCGATAGCAGCCTGCAAGGGCACAAAGCGCCAGAAAGGGCGTGTTTGGCGGGTAGTATTGATATGTATTGAGTATACTAGAAACTAAATTTTGTCTATCTGACTCATGCTGAATCCAAATCCAGAAACCTTGAAGAATGTGGAAACTTGTCTTAGATCATCTTAGATCTGATCGTTTGGACAGTTTGCAAAAAAATGAATCTCCAGATGTGTTGCATTTCGGAGCACAAGGCACCTGAGCCGGGTCCACAGGCTTGCCCTCTTCGGCTTTCAGCTTTTCAGCGGCCAATTTTACAACTGCCTCGTTGGGGAAGCTACCTGCCACGGCCAGAAAATCAAAATGTTTTATATTGTTGTATCACTCAAATGTCATTCAAGCTGTCAAAGGATGAACGGATACTGAGACTTGCACATGAAATGATCTACATGGGTCAGAAGATATCAGAAGCCAATATTGCTGCAATAATTGTCAATACCCTAAAAGCATTGTGTTTCTGGAGCATCTGAAAAATCCACACTGCAAGACTTTGTACAAGGACTACAGCCTACACTGCTTGGATTCGCTCGGCATATGTCGTCTGCGCACCTTCTGAGATTCCATCACAGACCAGCATGAGAAAATCAGTCGGAGCACACTCGAACTCCTTCGCTGGCGCCAATAATGCAACAAATAAGACGGCAATAAATGCGCCGAAGCTCAAGATTGATACAGTTGGGTACACGTGTAAGGAGTGAAAAGAAAGCTTCACTTCAACCGTCAACCAGTGAGTTTGCAGATGCGAAAGATCTCCTTCAGTTCTGGTGCAGCGCACACTGGGTGATCCTGTGGTTCTGGACCTGCAAAGCTCTGCTGTCACAGTGCTGCGAAAGATGGAAAAGTGGATACAACACGATACAACACGATACAACACGATACAACACGATACAACACGATAATTACAATAGAAACATAAGCGGATCATTCAGATACATGGTGGCATAAGCGGACTGAATGTTCTGTTGTGAGCACCAAGCTATGCAAATTGCAGTTTTGCGTGCGAGAGGTCAAGTTATGAAACTTCCGTTCAAAATGGCAATGTTGTCTATAGGAAATCTGTTGGGAATGCGAAAGTACGAATTGGATACAGTATGATACAGTAGAATTGAGTTCTATATAGTTCTACAGCAAATCCAGGATCAATGCTCCACTGAGTTTTTTCGGTTGGCACCTCCCGTTGTCTTGTGTTGAGCATCGCCAAATGCTCGGCTTACTGCTAGGTCGCCATTTACCCTCGCAACACCCATGACCTTGGCAGATGCAACTCGATCGGTTCAGAGGATTTGATGCATGATGAATCATGATGAATCATGATGAATCATGATGATGATATGATTTGAATTGATTTGATGCATGCCCAAGGCAGTCGTTGCACTGTCAGTTGACTGACTCGCTGGTGACCACATTAGGCTGCTGACTTCCTGCACATTTCCGCCAGTTCGCTCAATCCTTTCGCGCTCGCTGGCCAGGTCTGGCTTATGGTCCTGCAGCTTTGGAATCAGCAAAACATCAGAAAAAATGAAGAAAATCAAAGGAAATCATGGAAAGTCAAGGAAAATCAGGGAGAGAACCAAGGTGTCGTACTTCGAGAGTTGTGTCACAATGCGTCGCAAGTTCTCTGTGCGTTTCTCCGGTTCCCAACGGTCCGTCGTCAGGCCACTGTCAGTGCCCGGCCCAGGGAAGATCGAGCCGTCAGCCCTGCCCAGAAGAACACGGCTGTCGCCAATATTGCCCACGCGGAGGTGATAATTGCCTGCCGGGAAAGTTTTGCAAAGTTGCTGCAATTCAGGACAGGTCAGACAGGACTTAAAAAGTCAAGGATTCTAAGATTCTAAAGGATACAAGTGTGACTCAGTGTGACTCAGTGTGACTCAATGTGACATGGAGAAAATGGAGAAAATGGGAGAACTTCCGGCCTCCAGGCGTGCTTGGTGCTTTGACAATAACAAAAGTGCCTGTGGAGCCGCTGGGTTGATTCGTGTCCAGAAACTCCTTGTCCAAGCTTAGTGCCAAAGCCGTGACTGCCGCATCATCAGCTGGCATCCCACTTTGAGCCAACTCTTCCGAAATTCGTCTGGCAATGAAGCCACTGCATTGATCACCTCCGTGGCCATCGAAAACTCCGAAGAAGCCCCAGGTGTCTTGGGCGTAGATGACGTGGGCATCTTCCATGCTAGGGCGCCATCCATTCATCTCTGCAAAACCAACGCGAAAGGCTGTGCCACCAACTCGCCTAAAGGAGGAGATTGACAGCACGGAATTGAAGCGGTCAAATAAATTCAAAGAACATCAAATGTTCAAAACAAGTAAATGATAGTAAATGAGGATCAAAGTGATCAAATGCTTTAATCATCTTCAATCTACGTCGAATCGTCTATGTCAAATCTCTATGTCAAATCTACATCTTTGATTTGGTCAATGTTTGTCATCTGCATCCTGTAGATCTGAGCCAAGCAGCTTGACCGCCACGGAGGTGACGGCCTTTGGCAAGCCTTGCCCCATGGTGGCAAGTGCCTCCCGTGTGGCCCTCCTGGCAAGGCTCGGTAAGACGGTAAGTTAAAACATGTTAAAACGACTGAAAACAAGACAATATAAAACAATGCAACAGTATGCAACAGTTGTATTTCAGCAGGGCAAGGCTCGAAAACCTTTGTGACAAAATGAAAACATGAAACTAAAAGGACCGTGGACAACGAGGTTCAGGCAGGGACAAGAATGACAGCGGGAAAGGATGGAAAAGGGTGTCAAGTGAATAAAATGGGACATGGATGGACATGGCAATTCGTGGAAATTCGTGGAAGCGAAATTTGCGGGCAGTTCTGAAGCAATGAGAAAAGTGATGCCGCCACGCCTCCAGGTTCTTAGATGTTGGGCCAGCTTCGGAGCCAAAATGGGCAGCAAAGATTCGGTGGGCCGGTGCCTAACGTTATACATGTTATACATGTTATAGACTGAGAATTCGGATTCAAACCGAGATGGAGCTGTCTCAAGTTTCCTAAACTACAGCAATCAGATGGTTAGACCTTGGAGACTGAATCAGTGCATCACAAGAGGCCAAGCGGCAAAGCTACTCGATGACTCGAGGGCCTTTGATGAACGTGGGTGCGTCATTTTGCTTCGCAAAGCGCTGATTAGCACCTCGTGGAGCAACTTGCATGCCTTTGTGCAGCAAGTGAAAACTGAAACGCTCCAAGAGCAGTTCTTAAAGCATAGCGACGACAGCGAAGCCATCGCTTCTTGTACCCTGTATCAGTAACAGTACCTACACGGGCTTGTGGCGGATTGATTTCAAGGTTTGGCTGTGCCATCAGATCCATCTGTCCACCAGAAATCTTTGTCTGATCGATAGCATCAAATCCGTCAACCCATAGACGTCGCTGTTCGACATCACAAAGTGACAAAGGCGTCTGACCTTCAAGGTCAGCCTGATCCACCTCAATGCAGCAAATCATCAGCAAATTTCACAAGAAAACATACAAAAAAAAACAAATACATAGCAGAACGTGAATCAACTAGACTATTTTGACAACCAAATCTTGAAGCTATCCTCTCATATCACATATCTCTATTACAGATTAGGACAAGAGTTGAAACCATTGAACCCACGCCAAGATTCATTTGCTCGTGCTTTGCACAGCAGTCTGGCAGCTTCAAAATGACCAGTGCGGCAAGCATTAAGCAAAGGAGAAGCACCCCAGATGTCGGGCCAGTCTTTGTTGGCTCCGGCTTCGCAGAGAATCTGGATCACGTTAGAATGACCACGCTTGGCGGCAACGCACAAGGCTGTCCTTTGAAGTTGTGTGCATGTTTTGTCCAACGAAGCACCTCGGCTTTAAGGAACACATTCGGACACATTCCAAGGCAATGCATGTGCTCGAGTACTCAGAATGGTCAAAAGAGCTGATATATGTCTGAAATCGTCACGTACAACACGTGACAAACTTTTGCTTTTAAATCAACAATTGAAATCAATTGAAAAACTTCTAAAGATGCAAAACATGGCAAGACGTCGTGGCAAGGCGCTCTTGTCGCAAAGCAAACGCACGATTTCCCAATGGCCTCGGCTTGCCGCCATGTACAGTGGAGTCCTTCCCAGCTGATCTGTGACATCAGGATCTTGTGGAAAACCTAGTGCTTCGTAGACTTCCTGAACTTTTGCTATATGGCCACGCCGAGAGTAGCTCAACAACTGCTGCTCGAAGCCTCTCACATACGGAACTGTAACCAAAGTGAGGACTAAGACATCATCGCCGCCGTGACTAGGGAAGACACCCTTGACTAGATCACTCAAATCCATGTCATCTTGAATGACGGTCTCACCATAGAGCAAGATAAGCAAGTTCTTCAACGTCAAGTTCTTGTGCTTGTGCGAATCATCGTAGCTGCTGGAGCTGCTGGAGCTGCTGGAGCTGGAGCTGTTGGCATCGAGGAAGCGCTTCACATGCCTGGCTCGGACCATCTCGGGACACGACGTGGACGCCGTGGACGCCGTGGACGCCGTGGACGCCGTGGACGAAACCGGCATCGTCATGGATTCTCTGCGACTGTCGACGTCGACAACGTCGATGCGCCAAGCTGCACCAGAGTCTCTGGCAACTTCTGCTGCAACTTCTCCAGAGACTCGGACAATTTGAATGGAGAAGTCTCCACACTTCGTGCACTTCGTGCACTTCGGACCTCAAATGACACATAGTGATTCAGTGATTCATACTGACTGTGAAAGCAGTGAAAGGCTTTGGAAAGTTTACCAAGTTTGTCCATTTCATGAGTTGCTTTGGAATATCAGTGAATATCTTGGATCGTGTTGGAAGTAGAAGGTGGAGAAGATTCCTGCGTACAAAAGCTGCAAATAAGGCTCTTTTGGCAGCGGCAGCTTGAGTCAACCTACGGCGTTGTCTATGCCGTAGCCGCTGCCTTTGAGAGTACATCTCCCATTGCTGGCAAGGCATGATTTGAAAACCCTAGACTCGCAAGCTGGGTTGATTTGAGCTTTGTCTGTTTGCAGTTGGTCTGATTCAGTTGTGAGAAACCCCACTGGAGCCAAATCGTGCAAATTGAGATAATGCCAGGTGATTGTCATGCACAGTGATTTGATATTCCCGTCCAGTCCCCTGAGAAATCTTGTCATGCTCGAGTCCTAAAAACGGAAATAAACAACACGCATCATTTTCGAAGGCTCTCCCATTTCATGTCTTCTCCAAGCAGTCTGGAAGTGCACACGTTTCCTGAAGCTTCAGCAAGCTCGAGGCCATACATCGTCTGCTGTCATTCTCGTCAGCATCCTGAGAGCTTCAGACTTGCAGATGGCGCGACATGCCACCGCACAAAGCATCTCAAGATATCGCAAGTCCAACCGCATCAACTTTTCCTCCACAGGATGCTCCCGGATATTCTGTGACTAGGTGAGATGTTGCTGCTCATGTCGATGATTTTTTGGCCACAATGAGATCAATGAGAATGCTATGAGAATGCTGCACTGTATGCTGCCATACGCTGCCATGGGCCACTCGTTCGGAGCTGCAAATCTTTGCACAAGTTGAGCCTGCCGAGACCTTGTCAGCTTCCTCGCGAGAGCTAACGGGTGAAATCAACGGTGCTGTTCAAAATTCAAAGGCCAACAAACGTAGGAGAGATGCCATCGTGACAAGGCAAATGTCAATACTGAAATGTCCCTTCAGTAACCACAGAGATGCAACAATTCCACAAGCCAACAACCGTGGAACTTCATCTGCAATCCGAAGATTGCTTTGGCTCAGGTGCTTCGTGGCGCAGTGGTACAGCAGCTGTATGATGCTAATGCCCACAGCAGCATTGGAAGCGGAAAGTTCCCACGTGGAGAGCTTCTTTCCCAGATTCCAAAGCAGAAAGAGTCCCAAGTGAAGCACTACCATGCACAGGAAAGGTATTGATAGAAGCAAGGGATGTAGGCATCTGTTTTGGGTGTAGACCATAGGCCGCCGGAGCCTGTTGAGCAACTCTAAAGGTTCAGCTTCCAAGATGGTCAACACCAAAACAGCGGGTGTAGCAAATAGGGCCCAACCAAGAATGCCGAAGAATGGTACACCCAAGCAGTTGCTTTCCTTCCAAGACCACAAACCAGCTGACACACAGTATATCTCCACCAGATTTGCCAACAAAGCTGTATCAATGAAGCAAAATCCGGCTCTGAGCAACAAATTCTTGGAGCAAAGCGACCGGAGGTATCGATGTTCACCGAGAATAAAGAGAGGCCAAATCAACACCACGTGAAGCGGAACGTAGCCCAAGAAAAGCCCCCATTCTGCCGAGTACTCATAGTACTTGTACCAAGAGATGCACGAGTTTTCTGCGATGCAAGCAGCAATAGCCAGGATTCCAGCAACTGGGAGGAAACCACCAAGCTGACTCAAGTATTTGTATTGGCGTTGCATCAGCTTTGCTACTGCCACCAGTCCTATCACCAGAGCTGCAGACCACAGTGGCACCATGAGAAATGCTGCTTTGGCATGTATTCTGGTGTTTCTAAGCCTACTTGTAACAATTGTAACTATCTGAGGAAAGGTAGACATTCAACTCTATGAAAAAGACTTTGTTTTATTTCGCACATCGTTGACACATTCAGCTTCTAATCTGGAACTCCGTGCATGGACCAAGAGACCGACAATTGTTCTGCGCACCACGGTCATTTAGTTTGATAGGGTCACCTGTAGGCTTGTGTCATCTTGAGGTAGTAAAGGGAACACAGCCTGGACCAAAATGGATGAGCTAGGCCCAGCTAGGCATGTCGAGAGAGAGACAGCTGCAGGCGCAGAAGTAGCACGTCATAGCAGCTATGGATAGCAGCTATAGTAAATTTAGGAAATCCACAGCAGTGTTTTGTGTCACTTGTGTTTTGCTGTCATCCATAACTGTTATAACTCTTCTTTCCCCCTGCAAATCAAATGAGAAAGCCTGCCAGAGAATCAAAAGACAACGTGGCCTGGTCTATTTCCAACTGCGGGCTCTGTGCGCTGCACGTGAGTTTCACAGCAAATTCAGCTGCGTGCAAAACCAACTGCCATCAACTGCCCAACTCCTAAAATGCTCTGCAGATGGACCCCTCTCAAATCGGCAGTGTCACAAAATGTGCAGACTTGTTAAAGATTCTATAGATTGAAGCTTCAACAAGTTGAGCTCCGTATTGTGTTTCATACTAATTAACAGAGGCAGAGTTGTAGCTGTGTCATGTTTGGTGGGAGATAAGATCAGTAGCTCTTGAGAAATGAATGCTGGGGATGAATATGAAATGCACGTGAAATGCATGTGCAATGCCACGCATGTCACATCATATTACAGTATATTACAGTGTGTTTTGTCCGTACTTGTTGCAATGCGACGAAAATGTGACGTGCGAAAATGCGAAAAAATGCGAAAATGGGTGTGATATGTAATGAATGTGAACGGGGTCCATGGCATCGAGACTGCATCCTTGCAGACCGCATCGTACGTCGGCGTGCTCAAACGGTCCGCAAGACATTAGAAATCATACAATTGCGAAATCATCGCTGGCTCGCAAAAGACCCAAACAATATCAGTTGTGAAACAGTTGAGTGGCCCTTTGATTTCTGCAAACCGGTTTGGTTAGATGAGTTACATTCACTTAAAACAGCCAGCATTTTGTATATATTCCGCAAATCACCTACCTGAAGTCACTGTTTCGTCGCTCTTTCTGAGCTCTTCACTTTGAGCTCCGAAAGCTGTGGACATCTTTCGATATCTTGACATTCTGCTACGCTCTGGCTGGTACGCTCTGCTACGCGCAAAGCCACAAAGACTATTAACAAATCGCCAAGATCCGAGATCCGACTGACGCAATTGCGCAGTATGGCGCAGTGAGCACTGGAGACTGGATTTGGTGGCTCCAAGTGGTGAGACAATCCATATCTGCAAACTATCCGAACTACATATCTTTGGAAAGTTTTGTGTCACCCACAACCATGGACCATGGGCCTCAACAATGAGCCAAACATAGCCAAACATAGCCAAACATAGCCAAAGTTTTTATTTCATAAAAAAATCACAATGCAAGAAACTTGAAAAACCTCGGCATTCAATCTCGTAGATGGCCTGCAACACATCGAGCAAACTTGCATGTCCAGGCAAATTGACGCTAGAGGCCTCCCACTGTTTCATTGAGAAGAGCTTAATACATTTTTAACACCCTACACTCGTTGGCAAAGTTCTTATCGCTAGCCATATCTGACAGCGTCCAAATTGATGTCCATTGACCATGTCCATTGTCACGGATTGTGACAAAGGGCGACAAATTGTAACAGATTGTGACAGATTGTGACTGTGTGTTTGTAAATGTTGTTTTTTTCCTTCCGCTTCCAGTTCTTCGGTGGCGCCTCTTGACTGCCTCTTAGATCATTGTTTCAGCTTGCAGCCGCATTTCTCATGCGGCCGAGAGCGGCCCACTCCTCGGTGCCAGACCAAGGCCACTCGGCAAAATCCCGTCACTCCGAATACACATTTATTGCAAACAAATTGCAACAAAGTTCATATATAATTCATGTACGTATATATATATATGTATATTATCATATAACTATATATATTATAACATAATGATTACATTATATTATATGTTATATATTGTAAATTATATATGACATATTATATTACATATTACAGATTATATATTATGTATATAATATATTATGTATATTATATATTATATATTATATTAAATATTATATATTATATATTATATACAAATTATATTACATACTATATATTATAGATCATATATTACATACTACATATTATATATCATATATTATATGTTATATACTAAATAATGTTTTTATATATAATATATAATATATAATATATAATATAAGATATAATATAATATAATATATAATATAATATAATACAATACAATATAATATTTTTGTCTGTTATATTATGTATTATATTGTCTTATATATTTATGTTATTTCATTATACTATATTTTATCATATTTATATGATATATGTATAATGTATTTCAGTATTTCTCGGTTTCCATTTCATGTCCATTTCATGTCACATCATTCATATATCTATGTCATTCAGTTTCATTCTATTACAAGTTGACAACCCACAGCAGAAATCTAGTGGCAGCCAGACTGACCTGCAAGATCAGCAGAGGCAATTCAAAGCGTCTTGTGCTGTACAAGTCTATTTGTGTTTGTCTGAATCTGTGTGATGCAAATGCTATGCGGATGCTGCTGTGCGGATGCTGCAAATGCTTGGGAGGCGGCGTCATCACCGGAGGGTCGATCTCGTCCAAAGCGACCACTTTTGCCCCGGTCTTTTCCTCAGATCCAACTCTGACAGTCAGAGTCTGCCGCAGCGCCGCAGTATTTCCTAGACTGCCCCGCGTTTCACTGAGGGCGAGACCACCGCCTTTTCCTGACAAGTGAAAACACATGGAACATCATGGAACGTATCTTGGTCGACTGCAATAGTCTTTAATATCTGTCTATGATCTGTCCAAGCTACAAGCACGTCACAACACATTGCCAAACGTCACAACATGTCACAACATGTCACAACATGTCACAACATGTCACAACATGTCACAACATGTCACAACATGTCACAACATGTCACACTGGGAACGACCAACACGTAACACGATGTCACGTGATGTCGGACCCGCCTGCATTGTTTTGACCTTGGCCTTTTTCTTGGCCGCCTTTGCGACCTCAAATTGCTTAAAGACGCCGGGGGCGCTGCAAAGTCAGACCGCACTGAGATATATCGAGACATCCGAGTAGTATCAAGGAGTCATCGGAGTCACCTCAATTACCTAACGTTTCGAAACATGTGCATGTGGCATTGCGTGTCGGGCTGTGTCCCGGGACATGAGGGTCAAGATTGTGTTTCTCGCATACATGTTTGTCATGGCTGATCTGTGTTTCAATTCTTCAAGGATCTTCAAGGTATTTCAAGATGCTTGAAATGTTTTTTCTCTGCAGAAAGCAAAGAGTTCCAAAGGCTCGAGCCCTTCGCTTTGCCACCGGCCTCAATCTGGGTAAGAGACTTGAAGGCTTAGTTGGCTTTGGTTCCTGGTTTCACCTCCCTGGCTTCTGATCACTTCAGTGTGTTTCGTGCCTTGTGCGCGTTTCCCTCAAAGATGTTCAGCAATTAGTTAGTTCGTTCTATCCAGACCTGGGAAATCTGCTGCAGGGGGGTTCGCTGAGCATTCGGCATCGTCATTCCCTTTCCAGGTTGAACCTTGCGTTCAGTTGGTGCGTCTTGGATGATGTACAAAGGCTCTGTGTTCCATCCAGTGAGGTTGCTGACCAATAGAATTTCAATAGAGGCGCTTCCGTTGGAATTTCAACATCTTGGTGTCTCAACGTTTTAGGTAATCCCATGCAGCAAATGGAAGGTGCTTGATTCGAACAAGGATGTCTTGTGTGTATGAAGGTTATGAAGTTCCATGAAGACCGTGAATCTGATGGGTTCTGTGGTCCAGGCCATCACCGTGACGATCGTCTTCCTTCTGTCGAGATGAGACACGCAAAGGCTCAAACAAATGAAACAGCTTACTGCGAAAATAATGAAATTGTGAAAAGCTGTGAAAGCTTTGCATTTGAGGCCTTCCATCGCTCTGCGTCATTCCAATTGGAACCTGTGGGCATTTGAATCAACTCAGCCCTGGGCTGGGTGTCTCATATCTCCCGTTGATCCTTACGCTTGTGACACTTTGGGCCGGCGTTGCTGAGGACCGGACCTTTCTCCATGGCACCTTGGCCACAACCTTGTGAACAGCCCTGGGCACCACAGCCCTGGGCACAACCACAGCCACCGCAGCAGCCGCCACCACAGGCCGGGCGGCAGCCGCAACCGCCACAACCGCCGCAGCACCCACCACAGCAGCCACCACAACAGGCGCCACAACCGCCGCAGCCGCAGCCGCCGTAGCCATAACCACAGCCGCCCCAACCTTGGCATCCTTGGCAACCGCCCTGGCAGCCCTGGCAGCCCTGGCAACCGCCCTGGCAACCGCCCTGGCAACCACCTTGGCAACCGCCCTGGCAACCGCCTTGGCAACCTTGACAGCTGCCCTGGCAGCCTTGGCAGCCCTGGCAGCTACCTTGGCAACCGCCACAGCAACCTCCGCACATTCCACATCCTGCAACAGGCGCACACAGCAAAGTTTTCATGACGAGTCGGAAGGTGGAATTGTGCTGCGAAAAGGTGTGAAAACATGAGGGGCAAAAAAGTGTTCAACGTTCGATTCTTCAGTGTCTTGAACATGTCGCTGTCCTCCATGGGCTGGTCCGGATTGATGGGCCATTTGTTGCATCATTTGTTGCTGCATCATCATCCTGGCCCACACATCAGTGCCTTGTCGTCTGTGTCGCCATGTCATGATCAGGATTGAATCGGAGTACATCTAACAGGCCCAAGAGACTGTGGGTTCATCTGCCCCATCCAATTGCCAGAGTTCATTGCCATGGCCTTTTCAAGCGCAGGCGCAAACACCGCCCGTGGATCTCTACTACAGAGTGTCAAGCGCACTTTGTTCAGAATCCTAATTTGATCGAAGGCAGTTTAGAAGTCAAACTTACGACAATATGGACACATGGAAAAGCAGAGAAGAGAAGAGAAGAGAAGAGAAGAGAAGAGAAGAGGAGAGGAGAGGAGAGGAGAGGAGAGGAGAGGAGAGGAGAGAAGAGGAGAGAAGAGGAGAGAAGAGAAAAGAGAAGAGAAAAGAGAAGAGAAAAGAGAAGAGAAAAGAGAAGAGAAAAGAGAAGAGAAAAGAGAAGAGGAGAGGAGAGAAGAGAAGAGAAGAGAAGAAAAGAAAAGAGAAGAGGAGAGGAGAGGAGATCAGAGAAGATCAGAGAAGATCAGAGAAGATCAGAGAAGATCAGAGAAGATCAGAGAAGATCAGAGAAGATCAGAGAAGATCAGAGAAGATCAGAGGAGAGAAGAGAAGATCAGAGAAGAGAAAGAGAAAGAGAAAGAGAAAGAGAAAGAGAAAGAGTCAGAAGAAAGGAAAGAGTCAGAAGAAAGGAAAGAGTCAGAAGAAAGGAAAGAGAAAGAGTCAGAAGAAAGGAAAGAGAAAGAGTCAGAAGAAAGGAAAGAGAAAGAGCCAGAAGAAAGGAAAGAGAAAGAGCCAGAAGAAAGGAAAGAGAAAGAGCCAGAAGAAAGGAAAGAGAAAGAGTCAGAAGAAAGGAAAGAGAAAGAGTCAGAAGAAAGGAAAGAGTCAGAAGAAAGAGTCAGAAGAAAGAGTCAGAAGAAAGAGTCAGAAGACAGAGTCAGAAGAAAGAAGATGCAGGCGCGCGAAAAGGTGGAAAAGTCGCGAAACACTGTGTTTTTACAATGATTTGTGGCTCCAGAGGGTCGAAAAGTAGGTTTGCTAAAGCGGCGGGTGCGGAGCCATCTGGGCAGATGAGAGATGAAAAATTGCACGACGTTGTGGCGTGAAGCGCATTTCCACAGGTTCGGAGCACTTTTAGAAGCTGTGATGTGAAAAAAGTGCACGCCGAACATTTTCAAGTCAAAATGTACAAAACACACCAACTTCGAACGCTTTTGGAAATTGAGATGTTGTGTGGTGCGAAACAGATTTCGAAGTCAAAATGCTAGAAACACCACAGGTTCGGAGCACTTTTAAAGTTGTGATGTGGAAAAAGTACATGCTGTTGTGGCGCGGAGGACATTTCCAAGTCAAAATGTACAAAACACACCAACGTCAGAGCACTTTTGGAAGTTGAGATGTTGAAAAAGTGCACGGCGTTGCGGCGCGAAGCACATTTCGAAGGGGTGCAGATTTTTTTTGATTTGTTCTTGTTCTTTTTGTTTTTTTTGTGTTTTTCAGTCTGGGGCACTTTTTCTTGCTATTTGCTGCATTTTGGAGCAAAACGCTCTACTTTGCTGAATTTGGGACCTAAAATTTGCCATTTGCACTGTTCATCAAGTTTTCCATGGCGCTGACTGATTTACCCACACAGCGCTCATCGATTTTTCCATGGTTTTCATTGAGTTTGCCATGGGTTCAATTCATTTTTCCATAATTCCAATCGATTCTTCCATGCATAACATGCACTTGGTGAACATGTACAATATAGGTTGAAGAACAACCGTGCCGGATCTAAATAGTGGCACTGGATGCTATCATAGTGTTGGTTGGTTTGGGGTTTATTTAGGGTTGGTTTAGGGTTGGTTTAGGGTCATTTAGGATTGGTTTAGGGTTTATCCAGAATAATTATTTAGGGTTGGTTTAGGGTTTATGTAGGGTTGGTTTAGGGTTGGTTGAGGGTTTATTTGAAGGTTGGTTTAGGGTTTATTTAGGGCTGGTCTAGTGTTTACTTAAGGTTGGTTTAGGGCTTATTTAAATTTATTTAGTGTTGGTTTAAGGTTTATTCAATGTTATTTAGTGTTGGTTTAAGGTTTATTCAATGTTATTTAGGGTTGGTTTAAAGTTTATTTAGGGTTGGTTTAGGGTTTATTTAAAGTTGGTTTAGGGTTTATTTAGGGTTGGTTTAGGGTTTAGGGTTGGCTTTTATTTAGGGTTGGTTGGTGTTTATTTAAGGTTAATTATGTCGGGTTGGTTTAGGGTTTCTTGAGGGTTGGTTCAGAGTTTTTTTAGGGTTGGTTTAGGGTTTACTTAGGGTTATTTAAAGCAATTTAGGGTTATTTAGGGTTGGTTTAGGGTCTATTTAAAGTCTGTTGAGGGTTTGATGAAAGGTACATGTAGGGATACAAGGCGTGTATATAAAAACAAACAGATAGATAGATAGGTAGATAGATAGATAGATTAGACTAGACTAGACTAGATTAGATTAGATTAGATTAGATATTATATTAGATTAGATTAGATTATATTAGATTAGATAGATAGATAGATAGAGAGATAGATAGATAGATAGGTAGGTAGATAGATAGATAGATAGGTAGGCAGGTAGGTGGGTAGATTGATTTGATTTGATTAGATTAGATTAGGTTAGGTTATTTTAGATTAGATTTGATTGATTAGATTAGGTCAGATTAGATTAGATCAGATTTGATTATGTTAGATTAGATAGATTAGACAGATTAGAGAGGTAGTTTAGATAGATTGGATGGCTAGAAAAGATAAGATTAGATTGAATTAGATTAAGTGAGGTTGGGTTAGGTTAGATTAGATAGATACACAGATAGATAGATAGATAGATAGATAGCTAGCTAGCTAGCTAGATAGATAGATCGATCGATAGATCGATAGATCAGAAAGAAAGAAAGAAAGAAAGATAGATAGATAGGTAACGCATAGTAAAGCCACAAAAAGCCACACACCCACAAAAGCCACAAAAGCCACAAAAGCCACAAAAGCCACAGAAGCCACAAAAGCCACAAAAGCCACAAAGCCAGGTTGGAAAACAAAAAAAATAAGCTTCGGCGGTATCCCCAACAGCCGCAACGTTTTATTTTTACAAATCTTTCTGAAGCGTGCTGCGAAGCTAAGCGCTGGAAACACCTCAGCTGGGTTTCCATGAGCCACATGGCCGCAAACCCTGTTGAAACTGACCTGGCTCTGCACTAAAGCAGCCCAGACTTTCTCCGGAACCTTCTCCGGAACCTTCTCCGAAACCCTGTTGAACTTGACCTGGCTCCTCGCAGACCTTCACCGGAACCTTCTCCGGAACTACTGACTACTACTCTTACTACTCTTCTTACTACTACTACTACTACCACTACCACTACCACTACCACTACCACGACTACTACTACCACTACCACTACCACTACCACGACTACTACTACCACGACTACTACTACTACTACTACTGCTACTACTACTACGACTACGACTACGACTACGACTACCACTACCACTACCACTACCACTACCACTACCACTACCACTACCACTACCACTACCACTACCACTACCACTACCACTACCACCACCACCACTACCACTACCACTACCACTACCACTACCACGACGACGACGACGACTACTACTACTACTACAACTACTACAACTACAGCCACAACTACAAATACAACTGCATTACACTACACTAATTACATAACACTACAACTACAACTACAACCACAACTACAACCACAACTACAACTACAACTACGTTACACAACACTACACTGCACTAAATTACACGACAATTACACCTACAACTACAACTACATTACATTACACTACAGTACAGTAATTACATTACACTACAGCTACAACTACAACTACACTACTTCACACTACAGTAGACTACTCTACACTATACTACACTACAGTACACAACATTACAGTACACTACACTAGACTACATCACACTACACTAATTACACCACACCACAACTACAACTTCAGCTGCAACTACAACTACACTACACTAATTACACTACACTACAACTACAACTACACTAGATACACCAATTACACTACACTACAACTACAACTCCACTACAACTGCGCTACACCACGTTACATCCAGCAAGTGTGGGTGAGGTGATCACTGAAACCATTGCAATCACTCCAAAAAACACAACTCCCCATTCGGTCCATCAGCGGATTCGCTCTGCCATCAATGCATCACAACAACTCACCTCTCCTATGGTGTCCTATCCTTGAAACTTCCGCCACCGCCTGGTGCGGTACTACTGGTACACTGAAAAACCTGCTGGATATCTGATCATTGCAACGTATCCAAGGCCTGTGGATTTCCTTGGAAAGCCTGCATGCCGCCTGCAGTGTTTCAAAATCTGCCAGGAACTTTGTCGTTGCCCTTCTGAGCAAATCTTCAAATTGAATCCATTTCATCCGGGCATTTGATTTTAATGCCAACATGTCGGAAGAGCCAAGAAAGCATAAGTAAAAAAATGTTGGAACTTTTCATATGTCATATGACAGAGCGACAGTCAGCCAAAGGACACAGCACTAGAGCATGTGGCTGTGCACAGAAAAGGTTCAATATGACCTCTGTTCACGCAGGCAAAGTCACTATAGAATATACCCCTGCTGTCCTCTGTAGCATGCACCGAACTGCTGGTTTGGCACGCCTCAGTCCAAAAACTCAAGCCAAATTGCATCGCATACCAGCTCACACTGACTTCGATTCATCAAACTGAATGTCAGTGCTTGGCTTTTTTTTTAGGCCTCCATGGCTGTTGTGCTGCTTTGCTTTGGCACATCTCGCTCCTGACTTGCCAAGCTAAGAAGCAAGCCTGCCATTCCTCCAGACCTTCAGGTTCACAAGCAGACAGTCTGACAATGCTCCGACAAGAAGACCAAAAAGTCGAACAAATCGAATGGAAAAAAATTGCAGGGGGCAAGACATCTGCTGTTGCGGCATGTTTGGGGCTGCAGGCCTGGGATTGTTAAACAACTACATGGCTCTTACATGTCTTTTACACGGAAAGAACAAACGCAAAGTGCATCTGTTCAAAGCAAAAGTGAAGGAATGTCAACAGTGGCCATTCTGAGCTGCCAAACATTTGTGCCTCTGCCTGAGCACTCCATAGTTGAAATGAATTGAATGATATTTATAGGGAAATTAATGGATTTTAGGTGACATTGGAGAAAGAAAATGAAAGAAAGCTCCAATTGAAAGCTGCTCATCGTCATCACTGCCGTCTCACAGCTCTGGCCTTCGGAGTTTCCTTGGGTGCAGCTTCCTGCAAGAAACTGCATGACATCTCGTCACAGTCTTGGAATCTTCCCATTGCAGTTGTCACAATGTCACAATTACATGTGTTTTTGCAGGGTTGAATTGAATCATACTTCTATCATAATGCTATCATACTTCTATGTCGCTCGGTATACAGTAGCAGTCTTTTCTTGTCTCCCTTTGTGCAGAGCTTCGTCTCCTGTTTCGGTTCCTCTCGGCTTCGCCAATTGGAGTCGCGGTCGCGCCAGCCTCACCGAGACACTCGCCGCTCGAGAAGGCAAGACGCATCCCAGCACAAGAGACGCAAGGAAATACATGAAATACATGAAACAGGACAGGAAATACATGGAAATACTTGGTATGATGAGAATCTGATTTTAACGAAAATGACTGGTGACTGGAGATTCTTCCAATTTAGTCAAGCCAAACAGAACGAACGTGTCCAAAGTATTGTTCTGATTTTCACTACCATGCTCTTGCATGGTGTCACATGTCATTGGAAAGCGACTCTTCGACCAGAACATTTACTTAGTCAATTTATGTTACGTTCAACTCCCACCACTCCCTACCCTGCAGGAGCCCGTGCTTTGCTCTGCTTTCTTCTGCTCTTTTTCAGCTTCGGCTTTTCCTTTCTCCTTCTCCTTTTGTTCTTTCTGCTGTTGCAGCTTAGAATTGAAGAAGCGGGGAGGTCCTCCAGTCAAATACGCTCACGGAACACAAACAATCACAAGAACATGCTATCTGCTGTCCTGAGGCAGGTTTCGGTGCCGGCCTCAGGGGCAAAAAGGGGTGAACAAGTGCAGAGGTAAAGCTGGGAAATCCACAAAGAGAAATCCACAAATGAAACCTGCTTTCGGAGGCAGAGAACTACACAAGCCAAAACCTGGGAGTTCCAAGACGTTTCCAAGTGTGTTTCCAAGTTTTGAGACTGAGCTTCTCACGCCGCCTCAGGTTTCCCTCCAAATCGCCAGCTCTCCGAACCTGGCGAGGCTGGACCCGACATCATGATGGTCCCGAGGCATGCCGAGTCATGGACTGCGAACACGACACTTTGGAACTCGCCAGAACTCGCCACTCGCCGACTCCTCGCCTGCTCCAGCTGCTGGCTTTGGAGTTGCCTCCAGTTCTGTGGCTTCTGTGGCCGTATTCGGTGGGACCAAAACACCGAAGGGAAACAGGAAAGCAGACCTCTTTATATTATCTTCTAATTGTGTACATTTTAAATCATTCTAATACATGTTTAATAGAGTTTAATAGAGTTTCTATGTTTGTATTTGTTTATGATAGTTTTATTATTGACCTGTTAGAGGTTTTTGATGATGCAAAGAGTACTCTCCAAGAGTTTGGTGCACTTCGGTGCAAATGCCCCAGAGCCTTCTCCGCAGACCTTGGCAAGACTTCGTTGAAAATCGTTTGCAGTTCGGACAGTTGCACAACATTACACAGCTTAGCCCAAAACGGAGTGGCAGGTTGGCCATTCATGGAATTCAGCCGTCCTGGGAACATCTTAAATCTACCAGTAGCATCCAGTGGCAGCTTACGACATGCCTCAAGCTCATCTCAATCATAATCATTCTAAATCTCACATCTGACTCAGGGTTTGTGTGTGTGTCTCTCCTCGACCCAAGGCCGCCCATGGATCATCCTGATTCCAACGATTGCAGCAACGCAGAGGTGCCGCTCTTTACCAAGTATTTTACTTCGTGATTACTGTGAATCTCTGTGCACCGATGCAATCTCGATGTAATCTGAGATCTGCGGATTCGCCTTGTCCGGCTCGCTCTTCACAGGCTTCTCCGAAAAAGACGCCGCATTTTCTCGGCGCTTCCCAAGAGCTGCCCACCTTGGAATCGACTCAACGAAATCGACTGAAATCGACTGCCAACCTTTCAGTGTCAGACAAATGGTCAAAATCATTCAAATCTCAAATTGTTTGAAATCAGTATCTTGTTACAATTGTTCTGCATCATTGGCAGGGCTGCAGCCAAGGGGGGGACTCAGCCTTTTCTTTGTCTGTGGCTTTGAAAGTGGTTGACCTCACCAAGGCCGCCACCCTCTTTTCAGCACATGTTCATACATTTTCACCAGAAAACTTGAAGATACTGTAAGATACTTGAAAAATCCTGAAAATTTGCCAGAAATATTGAAGGATCTTGAAGTATCTTGAAGTCATGTCCGACAATTTCCAACAATTTCGATCCTTTCTGGAGCCTTTCTCAAGTCTCTGAGATGTCGACTCGATACTCTGCTTACCTTTTTCCCAAGGCGGTGTGGCCTTTGGCGCAGCACTGAGAACAATGGTTTCACTTACGGCAAGACATATTTATTCTAACGGTTTGGCCAACGGTTAGGCCTATTTATAAGGCGCGTGGCATGGAATTGCTTTTACTCTGATGATCTCTTGCCTACATGATGTTACGATGTTACGCTGTTTCCATTGTTGTCAAAAACACGATCGGACCAATTTTACGCCAAAGAATGCAGGAATGGTGTATGGCTTTCTGGACAGACCGGTCCGATTATCTGCTCAGAAAATTAAAGGACCAGATAACCCCACATGTTAAGCCTTCCGATTGTTATGAGACGAAGGTGATGACTTGGGATGGTGGGAGCAGATGATGATTGGATGGGAAAGAAGTAGGTGGATAGATGGATGGATAGATAGACAGATAAAAAAAAAAATAGATAGATAGATAGATAGATAGATAGATAGATAGATAGTAAGGTAAGATAAGATAAAAATAAGGTAAGATAAGATAAAATAAGATAAGATAAGATTAGATAAGATTAGATTAGATAGATAGATAGATAAATAGGCAGACAGCAGACACGGTTCAGACACGGTTCAAGACACGGTTCCGACTGGTTCAGACACGATTCAGACTGCATGGTTCAGACTGGTTCAAACACGGTTCAGACACAGTTCAAACACGGTTCAGACTGGTTTGATAGAGACAAGTTGATAGAGACAGGCGGCGGGAGGAGGAGGATAGCGGAGGCGGATGTCGAACAAAAGTTAGAACCCCACACAAAGATGTGGGGAAAAACACAGTGTCTTGTTCAAGGCCACACGTTGAGGCAAGGTGCAGCTCTGTCCTTACGCTGCACCACCGTGGCAGCCTTCGGCCCAGTTTGCTCTCAAGATCAAACATTCCAACAAAGAACAGCGACAATAACGGGGCAAAGAGTGAAAAGAGAAGTCGGTGCCTCTGCCTCTTCTTTTGCGCGAAGCTCCTTCTCCTGTCAGAATGCAAGAATGACAGCCAACTTCAGTCAACGATCTATATAATGTATATATATATATGTGTGTGTGTATACTTATAAATGGAAATAAACTGTCGTTGCATCATGTCAAAAGCTCTGCACTGCTTCAGAAACTTTGCCCGTTTGATCTTAGCCTGCGTAGACTCTCGGCGATAGCCTTTGTGCTGCCGAAAGCGCTGCTCAAGAGACTGGAGTTCAATGTAGACCTTGCAGTGCCATACTAAATGCAATCATCCTGTTCGCAGAAAGATGTAGACAGTTGGCTTGCCAGCGGCATCTGGCGTGAGAACTGCTCTTGCAAAGTCGACAAGAAACACAGAAACACCAAACTAATCAAAAAGGGTTCCAAAGGATGAAAGTAGGGGTCGTCTGTGTCCTGGCTTTGAAAAGGAATCTTCAAGCAGCATGACTTGGGCATTGGCCGCACCATACTGATCAAGTTTGTGCTGGTCCTCCTGACGAACAAAACTCCTTCTGGAGTACTCCGCCCACTCTAGCCACTGGTTTGAACTGGTTTGCAAACCCCATCCACGGAACAGGTCATATTAGTCCAAACATTCATGTACAGTATTTCTTCGATTGCTTCAATTTGGCTACGCTTTGTGAAGAAACCCTGTAGACTTGGAGCTAGGCCAGCTAAGGCTAGCCAGCTAAGCAGCTAGGCCAAACTATGCGATGCGACCTTTGCAGTGCGATGAACTCTGCGCTCCCCTGAGCTCCACTACCCCCGCTGGACCGCTGGACCTCTGAGAGAGTTTGACCATTTTCTGCCGCTGCCTTTGCGAAAGCGAAACACGTCGGACACATTGCAAATGTCTTTTAAACATGTTTTAACATGTTTATGTAAATGATTTTAAACGATTTCAAACGCAACTGATGCAGAAGCTTCGACAGACCTTGAGCTCATTGATCTCAGCCATCCTCTTTCGGCACTTTGCAATGAGGGCCTGAGCATCAAAGACATTAAGAAACACCATGGTCTCAACGTCTCGAAGCTCAAATCTCACAATCAAAACAGTGCACCAGCCTCAAGGTTCTTAACGGTATAGCTGCCTGAGCGGTTAATCACGGCCGGCTGAGCTGAAACTGCAAAGCATTCCTTGTTGTCGTTTTATCATTTCGCACTGTTTTTCTCCCACAGTCTCTGCATCTGAAAACATCTCTGCTTTCTTGGCTTCTTTCTGACTATCCACATCTGTTGTAGCTGATCTTTTTGGTGCCCTCTCCTCAAAGTGGAATAAAGTGTTCATATCTGAATATTATATGTGCATTTATATATCATTAATATATCATTAATATCTAAATATGAAATCAGTTGAAATCATATGTAAAATTATGTATATAAATATATGATGTAAAAATACGACATGTTCATCTCGTACAGTGAGCCATCGATACCATCTTGTTCTGTACGTTCCCCTGCCTGCTTCGCCTGGGCCTGAAGGAGCGAGCTCCGCGGCCTGGCTCTGGTCGGCGGTCGACGTCATTGGTGGCTTAATAAAAATCATCGAAATATCATCAAGATTCATCAAGGATGAATCAAGAAACATGTATCTGTTTATATATATATAGTTATATAAATAAATATATATATATAGGAATATGAATAAAGACCAACAATGTATTTCAACCGCTCCAAAACAGGAAACTTAATGCAAGCTGACAAAAACAAATGTTTGGAACAAAAGCCAAGTGGCAAGATCTGTCCCTTCAAAAGAAATTGCTGTTTGTTGCACGCTACAACAAATAACCAGGAGAGGTCCAGAAATCAGGCACCAAATTAAAAACTATAGAGGCTACAAAGAGTTACCGGGTGCACAGAATTTCGCACGCAGCAGGATTTCAAATCAAAACTCGGCAGGAATGCCCAGGATGGCATTGAGATATTCCGATCAAACTCCAGCTCTTCGATGTCACAGGTGGAGTAATTAATCTTTACTGCCTCACATTCAATGACATGGAATCTCATGGAATCACATGAAATCACATGAAATGTGCATGAGGCGTCATGATGCTTCGAGCTGCTAAATCTCGAAGCTCACTTTCTTCCAATGTCTGGAAACAAAGCAACACGAATCAACACGAACACTGCCGTCTACCAATGTTTCCAGCTTGTTCCTTGCCTTGATAAAGTATTTCACCGGCAGCCATCCATCCAACCTTAGAATTATTGGTGAGCCTGTGCATATCCATTGAATCAATGTACGCACTGCATACCTACTGTGGAAGTCTGCAGTTCATACCTACTGTGGAAGTCTGCAGTTCCCGAGCACTATACCCTTGCGTCAGAATCACTTCATTCTTGCTCCGGTAGAACACCATTCCGTCCTACAAGTTCTATCCAGTGAAATTGCTTCATTGATCTTCATTGCACATTCAGCGCACTTTCACTTTCGGAAATTCATTGCCCCGAGCCTGCATTGCTGCCGGCACGTCTATGTACAGGAAGAGCTCAGCAGTGGAACGCATTCCGCGAATCTTGCCGTCCTCTAGTCGAGCTCCATGGACAAAGGTCTAGAGTCTAGACTTTTTTGCGTTGATGACGCTGCTGATGATCATGATCGTGATGAAATCAAGAATATGTGACATTTGATATGAATGTGTCATAATGTGTCCATGCAAATGTCAAGACGTCTCCTCTGGCAAACCTGGTGCCAAGTGGATGTGATTCCGCGCGACCTCATTGACTGTGGGATGGGAGTCACCAAGAGCCTCCCCTCACTCGCACGGCACTAATTGTTTGCTTCGAATAAATGCTTTGAGAAGGCTTCGTTCGTTGGTGAAAAATCCTGGCTGATAGCGGCTGACATATTCTGATTTCATCTGAATTCTATCTGAGGAGAGTGCTTTAGACAAGCCTTGTCTCTTGATAAATGGCCAGTGGACCAAATAGGTTCCATGAACGCAGTCCGAGACCTCGCTGCAATAAAGGACCCGGCTTGAAGTCACAGTGAGATACAGTGAGTACTTTTAAGAACTTTGCCTCAAGTATCCAAGTTTGGAGTTAGCAGAAATGTCTCTCACAGTGAGAAGGATACCGTCGTTGGGTCGGTGATGACTTCAAGCAAGAGATCATCCTCAACCACCTGCATCCAAGATCCCCCTCACAAGAAAAACACCGAAATCCACAACGCAAAAACATCGGAAAACCTCCGCTTTTGACTCTTGAGATCTTCCAGAGTTCCCAGTCAAACAATTTCCATTCCATGAGCATCACATCAGGTCACACCAGGAGCTATGACACATCTTGCCTTCATGGTATGGCCCTGGTTGGCACGGATCAGAAGCTCACCGTCGAACTCCCTGACCTTAGCATCAGTTTCCATGCAGAACTTCGCCAGCTGAGCAAAGACCAAAACAGACCAAAACGTCTCAGCTGAGCTGAGCAGAGCTGAGCATAGCACCATGGTGTACCTTTCTTTCTCGTCAAAGTAGACGCAGGCCATCAACTCCTGTAGTGTTTGGCTTTGCAGTCTTCAAATCCAATAGTTGCAAAATTTGGAAAGAGAGAAAACAGAGGATTTAGACTACGTGAATACGCTGAGATTCTGGTTGCTCAACAGTCCTCCAAGGTGTATGGACGAAAGTTCTTGAGCTCCATGATGTCTTTTAGTCGGACGAAGCCATCCTGGACTGGCACGGGTAATTTGAAATTTGGTGACCCCTTCGGTCTAGACGTCCATCTACTTCCAGCTTTGTGAGCTACACCTCCGCCGTGCGAAAAGTCTTATGAGATTCCCCAAATTGGTTTCCAATCTCAAAGAGATTCCGTAAATTTCTGTGTTTCACCGAATCATTGCCGAAACATTCACTGCTCAAGAGCTTCGCCGCTTCGCCTTTGCGTTTCAATGTGTTTCAAGTGCTCTGTCCTTTCGGATTCGTACGTCAAGCTTGTGGGCGGCGTGCCGCAGGACATACGAGAACCTTGTCACCACAATGTATGGGATATTAGGTGCGACTTAAATAAACACTCAGCAAAGTTCAAGACAGACAATCAGACCAATAAAATGTAGATATATGTAGATATCATCATACATCTTGACGTGCTTCCTTCATACATCTTGTCAAGTACACCAAAACGATACTTGGGAGATGCAAACCATGCGGCATCTTGGAAATCTTCACATGTTCGCGGTCTTCTGCAAGGCGGTTGAAGATGGGCTCCAGTGCTCCCTCGGATGGACAAGACTAGGCCAAGAGCAGAGGTGTAGGGACAATGACCAAAATGACCAAAACGACCAAAACGACCAAAATGACCAGCTCAACACTGCACAAACTGGATCAACTGACATGTCCTTTGGAGTCTGTAACAGTAACAGTAGGACAATTGAAGTGACTTCAAGGTATAACAAGATGTTCCTTCCACACATGGGGACGGTTGGCTTGCAGTAGCCGCAGCTCTGACTGCTACAAATCTGGATGTCTAGTCCATCATAATCTCTATGCCCATGGCGTCTCTGACATCAGAGCCTTAATTAAGAGAACTAAAAGAGTCCTTAGCTTGATCACAATGGAATGCTTCTCAAGCCTTGTCGCCATCTCTTTTGAGATTCCATCTCTTGCCTCACAGGACGCTTCTGACTGCATCTGCTTTTCAAAGAAATTAAGAGCTGACTACAACAACACTGCACCTCCCTCGCCATCATCGTCATCATCCTTAGCAGAAATTCGTATCATGATAGACAATAGTACACATAGTCCATCATTCCTTTCTCCGCAATGGTCTCGTCGGAATACATAACTCTGAATCACTGATAGTCACTGATGCTGGGAAAGAAAGATTCCAAGGACAATCAAATCTTGCATATCCTTGCATATCCTTTGGATTGGACATGAGATACATTGATACCTCATGTTAGGGAAAACTTGCATCTCTGAGATGTCAACGTGGGCAGCCTGTCCGCCACCATCCTGTGGCTGTGTGTCATATGACCACATTGTTGCTCTAAAGTCTCTAGAAACGAGTGAGACTCATCTTGAAACTTTGTGCCCAGAGAGGAAAACGAATGAAATCGAACAAACGACCAGTGTGGGCACTCTGACACTCATGCTGCATGCTGATCAAGTACGGCCATCAAGGCGGAAAGGGGGGCAGAGCCCGCAAGTGATGTATTTGGCCCACCTTTGATGAGGACGCTCCGCCTGCATTTTCGCCTGAAAATTCATTGCACAGGCATGCAGCAGGGATCTGCATGGTCCAAATTCAGAGCTGAGAGACTGATCTTCCATTTGTGTCCATTAACCAGATCAGAAGGGATGCTTTAGAAGGTGTGTTGACATGTTTTGAAAAAACATTGTTTCTGAAGAACAAAGTTATGAACGCGTCATAAACAAGATGACCTGCGAAGCTTGAGTGCGAGACTGAAATCATTCAGCTCATCTTCGTCTTCTTCCTGCTCATCCAACAGCACGGTGCCATGTTCACTCTGCATTGCTCCGCCAGAAAACTCCAACCATGCCATGACAAATGAACCAACTAGCCGACGCGCCTCATCAGCGGATTGGAAGGAAGCTTCTGAAACGGCATCCTCCGAGCGTGTCACTTCAACCGCAGAAAGAACGCTACAGAATTTAATTGAAAATTCTAAGCCATGGTATGCCCAGTACTGATCTCTCACAGTAAAGAACGGAGGGGTTGGCATAGGTTGACGATGGGTTCGTTCTCATCACCTTTTGGAACATGCGAATTCAACGTCCTCAGCCTCAGAAGGCATCTCTAAAGAGCTGCCTAAGAAGTCGTGTTCTGACTGTGTCGACAGGAAAAGGTAGTCTGGCAGAGTCTGGTAATGGTAGAGTCTGGTAGAGAGGAACCACCAAAAGACCCACAACATCAAGCAGAAACCACACCGAAACCACACCGAAACAACCATTTTATATCCAGCATGTCCCGGGAGCACGGTGCAAACGTCGATCGTTCCTTTCGCTTTTACTGTTGTCATCTGTTGTCCATTGCGTTTCGCTGATTTCGGATGCTCTCAGTTCCCAGCATCTGGTGCAGGAGACAACTCTGGAAGCATCCGCAGCCCGGGCCCAAGCGTAGCACACCGCTTTTGGGCCCGTCTGCAGAAATCGCAAAGGCCCTGGGATCTGGGTATCAAAAACCAACAAGAAAAAGACTAGCACCGCTGAAACATGGAAAGAACTGAAACAAGCTGCAAAGCAAACAAATCAATCACATGCACACTTTGTGGTGGCGGGTTCGGCTCAGCAAACGTGAAATCAAATCATTTTTTCAGATGGCTTATCAAGATTCTATGAGACTTCTCATTTCTATCATGATCGTCTTTTCGTCCTGATTGATTAAACCACAGGTCATAACCTTTAAGACACGTCGATGACGTGAGCACAGGGCGATCTTTTGGAACCATGGCCGAAGTGACGAAGTGAGAAGAGAAATCGCGTTTCTACAGGCTGCCCTGGCGACATTCTGATCACTTTGCTGATCGTATGCTGATCGTGGAGTCCGTGGAGTATTCGCTTTCAAACCGCACCAGTGGCAGAGCAAACCCTCACGAACGCTCAGTCAAGCCCTTCAGCTGCCTCGGTGATTGCAACAGAAGTTCAAAATTCATGTGTGTTACATTTTGATACATTTTGCATGTCATACAAGTGTTTGGTTCAGTTCTGGAAGATGATGCTTCTTTCTGTATTCTACGTATCCCGCAGCACAAATCAACGGCATGTGGTTCCAAGTGAAACATTCCCATTTACCAAAAGTATCTCTACAAGTGGCTTTTTGTCGGGAGCTTGGAGGAGGCGACCTGGTCGCAAATCTTTTCACCAATCTTCACAAGGTCACAAAGGGGAAAAAAAAATAATACCAGCATTATCCAGCATTGAAAGATGAGAAATGTATAGAAATGTTGAAAGATGTTGAAAGATGTTGAAAGGATGCAAAAATGTGCAAAAATCTGTACCTCAGAGTTGGATTCAGACCTCCTTCATCACTGCGGCGAACCCTCCCAGGTATTGGAAAGGGTTGTAGGGCACAAAGCTCTTCCACATTCCGAATGCCTGCACTCCGAATGTTTCAGGTGGGCAGTCAATATGCACTAGTTCCATCTAGTTCCGGTAAATGCCACCACTTGCATCTGTGCAGCGTCCAAGCCTGTTTTACCTCATCCCAGTCAACAATAGGAGCTTCATCCTTACCCCACTTGTCCTTGGACACAAAGGCAGTAAGGAACCAAACGCAAACGATTTCCGGACAAACTTCATCGCATTTACTGCAGAAATGGCTGTGATTTGCAGTATACTGTTGCCATCTTTTGGCTAGCTTTCTGGATCTGTTTACCAAATCAAACTCCGCGAAAGGCTTTGGATCAAACAAGCTGGGGATCAGTCAGACGGAGATCAGACTTTGAACAGAAAAGAAACACCGAGATGTTTCTTTCCTCTTTCCTTCCTATTCTTTCCCTATTCTTTTTATTCAAGGACTAGGGAGCGACGACACAAGGACTGCAGTGACATCAGGACTAGGCTGCTGGCACATTTGCCAGGCCAGGTCACACCCCAGGCATAGCTGTTGCCTGCCGTTGCAGTCGCTACAAAACGGTCGAATATCACTTTTGCTGCTGCCATGTGCCCATACCAACCATTTTCATCGACCTCCTTCGTATTTGGTCGCAACCTCCTGCAGCAACGAATTCATGTTACAAACATGCGAAACTGCAGATGTTCAGTTCATGTCAATCTATTTCGAAACAAAAACGATCTGTCCTTGACAGGAGAGATTATGGCCATCGCCGCTTTGTCATTCTTCTGGCCTTGGGACTGCTCAGGGTCTCAAAGTCAACTTGCCAACCGTGTCGAGCTATCCTCGAGCTATCCTCGAGCTGCCGTGCCTGACCCAACTGACCCAACACTCTTAAAGTGACAGTTTTAACTGTTTTAACTACTGACCCGCTTGGGGCTACCGAGAATGCGGCTCGTATTCAAACCCAGATCCACAGCAGGCTTGACCTTGGGCGTCATAGTCCTGGTCACAGACTTGATGGCCTCATTTCCGAAGCATGCTCCATAGAGAAGCATGGCTTCATTTCGGTGCTAAAAAGTTGTGGAAATCTGTGGATGTCATTCTCTGTTCATTGTCGATGTTTCAATCTAGAGTACAGACTCGAGATGATGTCAGTCCCCTTGATTAGGATGTTCCCTCTGCTCAGAGTGTTGCCATGGCGAGTAAACTTTTCTTTCATCTGCTGTATCTACTCTATTTCGTCAGCATGTCTTGTCAGAGCCCTTGCAACTATGCTTTTTCTGAAGCTTGGACCTGCATTCCTCGAGACCTGGGGCCAAGTGCGGTTCCGTGCAGCAATTGCCATTGGTATCATTCGTACTTTGTAAATTCAGTGACATGCCTGTCAGTGACATGCCTGACATGCAAGCACATCAAGCACATCAAGCACGTGCCATGCTTCACATAGCTTCACCAAAACAAACCGAGTTTTGCACGCCATGTTTGCAAAAAAAGTCAGCAAAGCCTAAGCAAAGCCAAATGTTGGGCTGGCTGACAGGAAAAGGTGTTGCGCCACACTGTTGCGATTGGTGCTCTGTCCAAGAAAAGAAATTCCAGGTCTCAACCCTTTTGCCCTTTGTAGACCTATAGACCATCAAAACACAAACTTCAATAGTTCAATCTGGAGAAGCTGCCCTGGGCACATTGTCTTCTGATGTCTCCTGCATGATTAATGAAAACTCAGTGCATGACCCGCGGCACCAGGAGTGGTTGAGGCTTGCACAGCTTGTGCCGGAAACAGCGGCGAGGTCACTTTGTCAACTCAAAATCAAAAACACCAGACTCATCCGGACCCATCCAGACTATTCCAGACTCACAAGTTAAGGATTGGTGTGGATAGTACTAAACCATACTAAACCGACCTGGTTCTCCTCTGTACGGTTGTCCAATTTCCGTCATGGCTCTGAAAGGTTGTTCCGTGAATCCAGAGGCTGCACGTCGATTCTGCAAACAGCAAAGCCAAACCATAGAAGTGAACGGAAACAGAGATGGACGGGCTGTCTTGAATGTTTTGCCGCTTTGAACTTACCCCTTTCATCCTTGCCCCTTTTTTGCGCTTTTTGGAATCAATTGTGTACCAGTTTGCTTCTCCCGGTAGGATCCTTGTTGCCTGCACAGCGGTGGAACAATGATATTCAGCGCCCGCATCTCCAGCCTGAACTCATACGTAACGCGAACATAGGTTAAACATGGTTAAACCTTAAGCCTTAAGCATCTTGAAAACATTTGAAAACTCTGCTCATCATGGTCGAAGCCGATGGGTCTGGATTTATTTCCAAACTTTGGGACCCTGCCCGCACCTGTGCTCTTCACGATCTCAGCTTTGTTCAAAGGTCTGCAGTGATCTCTACTCCAAGTCGTCCCAGCTCGGTTTGAAAACCCTCACCTGTCTGAACAACCTCAGAGATGCACCGGCTGCTATGGCTGCTGACATTTTTGGGGGGTGACACTGGTTTAATGAATTTTTGGGCTGCAAAATGCTGCATTTGGCTGCAAGAGCTTTCAAATTTTCGACGAGCAGCTCGGCACCAAGTTGTTCGGCTGCCAGATTCGCAAAACGTATGTTCTCGGCGATGGTGGAAACCCAGTGTGCACAGGCGACTTCTGATTCGCTGGCATCGAAGAAAAAGGAACGAAATGCATTTCCAGTGAAAGACGAAGGATCATGCCAACCTTGGGGTTCTGCGGGCGAAATTATGAAGGCAGCAGGGTTTCGTTCGTCCCTCCGTACCGACGCCTTATGCATCAGAAAATTGATGCAACCCTTGGCTTGTCCCTTTTTTCCTGAGGCAGTTTGTTCGTCGAACCAAAGGAAGTGACCATCTTGGACCACACAAACCCGTGGCTGCCGGTCCCAGCTGATGACCCGCAGCATAGCTCTGAGGCTATTGGGACTTGCTTTGCGTAACAAGCCTTTGCAGCTCGGGGGTAGAGTGTCAAAGGACCACTCCACCGTTCTTGTCACCGTGGTTCCATGGGATTTCCACGGCAAAGCCTCGGGTTGCCCACCTCAGTCTGAGCATATGCTGAGCAAGTTCTGAGCACTTCTTACTTCATAGGACCTTCTGAACTTCGTTGGCTTCTTTTAGCCAAGCGCCTTTTTTTCTGTACAGAACTGTCCGCCCTTCCTCTCGGCAGAGCTGCTTAGTCACAACCTGAAGGCAATCAATGGCAAACTGAAGCCATCTGAAGCAACAAACATGTCCCGAGAAGCCGTGAAACTTTGCTGACATAAGAAATGCATGCCATCTGCCACAGACAGAGCAACGCTACACCAAGGGGCGACATCTTTGAGCAGCCCAGCACCACCAACCACAGACTTGGACCGGCTGATTTCCAGCTCTCGTGTTTCTTGGACTGTGTCACAGACTTCATTTCCAAAGGCCTGACATAGACAACTGCACCCGCCTCCAACCAGTCTTGGTTATTAAAATAAAACCAAAGTGTTCAGCATTCTGGCTTGGCTGCTTTTGGCAAATTACTGTTTCACTGGTTGATTGTAGTTTAAAACAACCCTGCAGTCAACATTGCAGATTGGTATTTTGTGTCAGCCCAGGATTCATCCCCATTTTACCAGTAGGTCCCCCAAATAGTATGAGCTATATGAGCTAGTGAGCTTTGCAACTACCATATTGATAAACTGTTTGGGTGTTAATTCTAGGTCGACCTTCTGGGTTTAGCAATTTAGGGTCTGTAAAAATGTCTGATGTTCAGCGCTGCAAACAATCACGGAACAAGGTAGGCTTGCGTTGCAACTTGATGGCCCCATCTCTACAAGTTGCAAAGATGTTTAAACAAATCCCTAAAAACAACATAAAACAACCACGATAAACTGCATGTCATGTGTTGGCTTGTTGCCTCCAAAGCCAATAATCTAGCCATGTATTGAGGCAGAACATCCGTTTTGGCTGCAAGGGTTGAAATACCGGCTCAAAGCCTTTAGATATCTCTCGATCAAAGACGAACACAAAAGGGGAAAAAAAAACATGAGGATAGCTTCCAATGTTTTTGTAATCTTACGCTTTTCCTTGTGACCCATATGCACACTATTTGATCTCCGTCTACCACATGCACTCATAGCTAAGCTGCCCACTAGCTACTAGCTAATGTGACTGGCTGTTCCAGTCTTTCTCCATGTCAAAGTAGGGATTACTCGGAGTCGCCCCTAAGTTTTGAAAGTTGTAAGTTTGCATACGCTGCATTTACAACCTCAAACAACGTGAAGACTGGACCGGTGTGGCCCAATCAAACGGATAGCATTTACCAAGTGCTTCAGTTTTTTGCCCAGCTGTTGTCACTCACACCTGTCTCACCCAAAGTCTTTCACTTTACATACTCCAACATACTCCAACTATCTCAAACTAAATCCTGAAGTCCAAATTTAACCGAGCCTCCTAGGATGTGTGGTGTGGATCATATGCACCATCCTCAAGATCCCCAAAAGTAAACTTGATTCATTTTATACTTTCATATACTTTCATACTTTATACCTGCTGAAAGTGCTCCATTTCAGGAGAAACCTGGCGTCGCTTCCCTTCTCAAACTCCTGCCCTATCAAGTATTTAAATTGCGCGCAGCAAAAACTGACAAACGCATCCATTCCCCTCTTTTCTGTTGGTACAGCTTCCACGCACCCAAGCCAGGACTCTTGCTCAACCCCATGCACCAACAGATTGAAGCTACAATACCAGTCTCGAAAAAATCCTACTGCAATGCAAGTATGCCCAAAATGATGAGCTGATTCTCAAATGATGTGATAAATGTTGGGGGGGGCATCCACCTCCTTGCTCGCAATCTTGGTGTCTGAACTCCACTCTCTAGGTGTGACGTGTGCATTTACCGCTGTCAAAGGGACACATCCCAAGAAAGAATGGAGGACATCAACAGTGTAAATGGAAAAACACTTCTGCAGGGCCTTTGCCAAACGCCACAAACTGATCTCAAATCGCTGTGAAAAAAACAGTTTTTCTGCAAGCTTGCCCCTAGCAGCCCTAGCATCTCGCCGTTTGTTTCGCTTGGCACACCTCGTTTTTGGCCTCAACCCACTGCCACGAGTCTCGAAGCTTCATTTCGAGCTGTTGTCTCGCCTCAGTGGATTTTGGGAATCTCGCATGCTCCACTGCTGCTTGCATCTTGGGTCGAATCCTCCCCCATTGCTGTTGAATATACTCCAATATATGAATATAATATATATATATTATATTTATGATATTATATTACATATGATACATTGTAATACTATGTGACTATGTATGTAGGTGTAGTCAACAACAATGTCGCTTTCTCGTCGTCTTGTGCGCAGAGTTTGCAAACGAAAAGATGCCACAGGATCTCCGCTGAGACCTGAAGTCAGCCAAGTCAGCCAAGGCAGCCAAAGAGCCTCATCTTTGAGCCCGGAGTGACGAATATGGGCACAAGACTCATCAAACCGCTGCAGCAGAGCTGGGGTGGGATTCCTGCCAAGCTTTGCCAAATGCTGTCAACATCCAATGATATGCATGATTCGTTTGCTTTGATGCCAAATGTTGATTCACACCTCCCTCTGTGTCAAAAGTTTGTCATTTATACATAACTTTGCTGAAGTCATTCCGCGAGATTAATTGCTTTACTACCTTTACTCTCCTGGTCAGAAGGATGGTGGTCGTGAGGGTCAACACTCACATTGATTTGGAAAAGGCGTTAGGGCTTGAGAGGAGGCCAAGTTAGTGACATCAGAGAAAGATAGGTCAAAGATGTCAAAGCAAACGTGATGACAAGTTATATAGTGACACCTGTCTCTCACCTGTGTCTCTTCAAGTCTCTTCATCTGCTTTACAATGTTGCCCGTGTTGCCCGTGTTGCCCGTGTTGCCCGTGTTGCCCGTGTTGCCCGTGTTGCAAGTCCTCTTTGCCAAGGCAGTCCTCTTTGCCAAGGCAGGGTCGTAGTCCTCCAGCTCGGGCATCTGTTCTCGGCCCAGCTCCATCAGGTCATGGATCAACGGCATCAGAAAACCTGTCAGTCGACAGTCGACGGCAAGGCCATGCAAGGCCATGCAAGGCTCAACTGACTCACCGAGTCACCGAGTCACTGAGTCACCGTATATATATATAATTAAACCATTTCAGTATTGAAACCCATGGCTTTGGGGATCCCCCATTTTAGGAAACCCCACATGTCACAGTCACAAGCATTGGCCTTCGTAAATGACGTACCTTGGATATTGAGCTTCACGGCAAGCCGTTGCAAATTCAACGGAATGCAAAGTCATTGCAAGTCACAGTCCAGTCGCGCCACACTTGCGTTTTCCTTTCAGCTGCAAAAATGCGTCTACTTTCTACGGCTTTCTGCAGCTTTCTGCAGCTCTGGCACCTGTTCATGGAAGGGACACTGATTTCTTCGGACTTCTTCATCTCCGCGACGATGAGCTCCATGACTCCTGCCAGCTGCCTGCGCAAAGCTTGAAGTAGTTTTGGGCTCAGAAGTACTTGGTGCTCCAATACCAAGCTTCCAATAAAGGCAAAGCCTGTCAGAAGATATGTGAATGCGCCTTCCAGCCACTGGCATGCCGCCCATCTGCAGGTTTTTTCTACGATTCACAAGGTGTTCTCTCAAGGACTTGAGGTTGTCGTCGAAAGCGGGCATGCCCATTAGAGGAACCTTCAGTCGGTGCTAGTCACTGCTAGTCCGTCACTTGCATGTTAGTGGATGCTGCAAAAGAGGCAAGAGGAGGAGACGACACTGGTGGAAGGCAAATGCTCCAGTGCTCACTCTGAACAAGGCACTTTGGCTGACCTACCACCTATATAATGCTACTGAGCTGCTGTGAAAAAGCTCCTCTCTGGGAAGCATTCCCTGACGGTGTCTCGAAGCTCCTGTCATGCTCAACAGTTGTTTGTTTGTTCGTTTTAATCTGCTTCCACGTGTGGCAGCTGTCGATGCTCTCAGAATAAAATACAAATCTCAAGATCCGCAAAGATCTGCCTGACGACCAGCATCATCAAACTTTTGCTCCAAAATCTTCTCAAGGGCTGAACCCTCGTAGCGAAGCGTGTTTTTGTTCACCACAAACACGAGCTCCTTCCAGACAGCACAATCATGTCAATGCACCTTGTCAACACAAACTGAACAATGTCTGAACTGAACACAGATTATCATGCATCATTGATGCTGCATCATTGTTGATTGATGTTGATTGTATCTGGTCTTGAGTCTTCATTGATGATCCACATTGGAGTGCTATTCAAGACGTGTCTAAATCTCCTGCTTTGGGAGCTGAGAACCTTCTTCTAGTCGCACCAGTGAGCGTGCAGCCAAAGACATGCCCAGAGTCTGCAGGGCCTCAAGGAGCACGGCAGGAGCATTGGAATAGCGGCTTAGGGAACATTCCAACATACATCAACATACATATCGTACATTCATCGATCACAGCGAAAAAGTACACATCAGAGCCAGAGCCTGCTCAGTAGCCATGCCGTTGGCCACAAAAACCACCTGACAGGAAAAGAAGCCAACCTGTGATGACCGACGCAGAAAAGCAAGGACTGATGCGAAATGTGAAATTGTCATTTGGAGCCTGGCTCCCGAGCAACAAACCGAAGACGTTGACCAAAGTTCGGATTGCAGCCTTTGCTGAAACACATGCTTCTATCACAAGTTGTTCTTTACAAAAGCCTTGATGTTGACTGCAAAACTTGTCCAAATGAATCAAAGCGGATTCAATACACTCGTATACAATCTACTTCTAGATCTTCTAGGTTTTGAAAATGGTGTTTGTCTTTCTTCAATATGCATCAGGTGCTGAAACTTCAGAAAATGAGTCGAGACCAGGCCACCAGAGCATTGTTGCCACCCTCACAATCCATCACCAACAGGTGCTCATCTGGGCCAGCCTATCAAGTGAAACGCGTGTTGCAAAAATGTTGCAAAACCATTCAAACTCATACAGTCTTTAAGTCTCTGTGAGTTTTCAGTCTGTGCAATCAAAATCACGGAGGACAGGCTACAGGTCATGTGTCATCGTGTGTCCTATGTGTCATTCATCTCTTGAAACGCTCCAGTGCGCACTTGCGAGATTCCAACCTGCGTTGAGATTCGGTTCAGAGGCACTGCCACTATGTCGATCCCTTCGGTAACTGACTCAGCGGAGTCGCTGGAAACAAAGGCGTCCTTGAAGACGTGAGAATGACATGGAAAGCTAAGGCCATCAACATCAAAGTTCAGCCAGAAGGCACAGGTGATACAAAGCGATACAAAGTACCAAGGTTTGAAATTCTTCTACGCCCGCACGGCGCACTGTTCCTTTTAAGTCCGTCCTCTGCTTCAACCAAGCAAGAAGCAAGGTATGATTTTCCACTTCGTCCATCTCCAACAAAAATAACAGGACAAATGTGTCCTGCATCAGGATGAGGCAGATGATTCCATGGAACGCAGGATCTGTTTGAAAACTCCACAGTGAAACCATTCCGTGCGAGGCCGTGCGATGCAGGTGCTTTGCAGCGTTTGACGTGGACGGATCACAGGTTACGGCGGTTACGGCAAATCAAGTGGCGACCTGCGTTCAGTCCTGATAATTCTCGCACAAGCTCAAGGCCCTTTCCGTGCACACGTCACAATGACCGCAATGTCTCTTTGGTCTTTGAATTGATGCAAAGTTTGAATTGATGTAAAGTTGACAAAGAGAGACCGCATAACAACGTACTAAAATGTACAAATGCTACATTGAACAAGTTGGAAAAAGGTCCAAATTTCGGAGAAACGGAAACTGCATCGCTTCAACACTTCTCCACCTCTGGTGCAAGCATAGCTTCATTATCAGCAAACCTGAGAATAGGCATTGTGTCTTTGTGTGTTTGTGTGCACTGCTGTCAACATCAGGGCTGATGAAAGGAAGAAATGTTGCGTTTTGGTAAACACAAAGGAGGAAATCCCATGCATGAACGGAAAAACAATCGCGAACACCAGCCACAATGCTTATGTTAAAGCTGTTAAAGGACTCAAAGTGCTAATTCGTCTAATTCGTCTTAATCAAATATCAAGCCGAGAGAAGAGCACAATTGCACCATTTGCACTGACGCCAAGTGACTTGAGCAAAGGTTTCGCCTTTAGCGAAGCCATCAGCAAGTTGCTTTGCAAAGAATGTGGTCTGTAGCGCTCGTTCTTTCATGAGATCAAACTGAGTAACACAGTAACACGAGATCACACTCAATTATATATATATATGTGTGAGTTATGAGATGTTATGAGTTATGAGATGTAAGTCTTGTTTGTAAAAACATGTTCAAAATTGGTTTGCGTAATTCCTTGAAATCATTTGTCCAGTAGGTGAAATATGGAAAGGGATGTAAAAGGTGGTTCGCAGCTGATGTGCTTGTATCATCTTGTATCAATACACCTACGGAGAAGGAAGAAAGATTGCTGGAAGCCACTGGAAGCTGTTCATTTGAGCCAGGGGGAATGTTCAATTGAACATGTGCCAAGTGTGTCTTTCAAAGTGTTTCGATGTCATATCAGTCACATCCTGAAGTCCTGAAGTCCAGTGTGTCTCTGTCTCTTCAAACCGATCACTCATAGATCTGCTTGATTTCAGAGTCTCAGGGCACCTTTCCCTTTTGAAAACCACACAGGAAAGCTTGGCGTGTCGAGTCATAGCACAGAGTTATCTGGCCATGCTGAAGCCAAATAATGATGTGCACGTGTGGAAGAGTGGTGAGGACTAGTCAATAAGCAAAAGTTTCTCAGCAGTGGCGCATGTGGTTGCAAGATGTTGCAAGTGCATGTCTGATTCTTATCTAGTCTGATAAATTCTTATCTGAATAATTCTGTACATCGCATTGATGTCCTCGCCTCAAAGCGCTGTGATTCAGCGGTCTCACCGGTCTCACCGGTCTCACATGTACTGCACTGGGCCCACGCAGCGGCCATCCTTCAGCAACCTCCTGACCTTCAAAGGATCCATCTCCTCTCCACGATTGATGATCCACTCCTGAGCAGCACACAGCATGCACACAGCACACAGCACACAGCATGCACATGCACCACGTCTCACCATGCACCATGAAATACGAAGCATTTGGCGTCTCCAATGAAAGATTTCCCTTGTCTTCGGTAGTTTCCCATATCCCTTGATCTGGTGAACGACCACATGTCAGTCATGTCAGGTGCTTGAGCTGAGGTGCTCCGTAAACCTCTTGAGCGCCATGGCCGTCTGACTTCAAGGTGGTAATCATGCGAGTTGGTGGAGTTGCCTGGAAAAAAGGCAAATGGAAGTCGGCAGATACAAAATTGTAATGCTCAGAAAGGAATGAAAGGAATGAAGGGAATGAAGGGAATGAAGGGAATGAAGGGAATGAAGAGTGAATGTCACTTAAGGAAAAAGAGGCTGTGCTGCAGTGCTGCCCTTCCGGAGACCTCGCAGTACTTCTCCACAGCCACATTGGTGGAAACAAATGTGACCTTGACCATCCATTTTGAATGACACGTCTGCGAAGAAAGTGCTTCAGCACCAGCTTACAAACTCTCTGCCTGCCTCATCCACGATTTGTAGCCCCTCTTTGTCACCGAGTTCTATGAACATCTCTCTTGACTTATCGGAGCACTCCTTGCCCTGCCAAGATTTGCATGTGAATGAAAGCATGTCTTCAATTCAAACCCATAAGATTGCAGTACTTCTCTCTAGGCGACCTGTCCTATGCACATCGGTCAGCAAATCGGGCCTCATCAGCCAAAGCTTGAGCTTCTGCTGTCGGAAGGGTGTTCTCCTTGCAGCGGTAAACGTGCGGCCGTGGATGTGGATGGACATCTTAAGGAAAACCAAAGGAATCACGGAATCAAGTCTAATCATGTCTGATCATGTCTAATCAAGTCTGATCAAGTCTGATCAAGTCGACTTTCCAGCAGGTGGCAACAGGACAACAGCTGTAGCATTCCGCTGATCTTGATACATCTCGATGCATGTGGACGAATCCTGATGCCTCAGTGCAATTATTCGACGCTGCCCGGCGCCTCGGTATTGAGTTTGCTAAGTGCGGCTTCTGCCTGATAAGCAAGAGCCTCTGCTTCACCTCGCGTGTCCTGCAAAGGGCCAATCATTTGCATCTCCCATATAGAAATCATTGGAAATCATTGGAATCGTTTAAGAATTCAGAGCATCAGAATTTCGTGAGCATGCTCTGGACACCTTCGTTTCGTCAACCGTCATGGCCCAGCTGAAAGTCTGTCCTTCATGTCTCGGTAGTTCATCACCGCCTTTTGAAGCCGAAGCAGTTGTGGGAAACATGCTACGAGAAGGTGCCAACAGAAGCAAGTGGAAGCAACTGATTTTTGCATATCCTTCCCTCAGCAGCTTCTGTAAGCTCGCACGCGCTGCTTTTTTCGCTTTTCTCACTTTTCTACCCACATCAAGTGCAATGACATCGCCTCTTTTGCGCACTTGATGCTCTTGTCGAAGTTCAGATTCAGGGACTCCACTCGGCAGTATGTCTGCAGCACCGCTGTCTGACAGGCAAGATTGTTGCAAGCTGGGCCGAGCCGACCCAAATGAAAAGACTAGAGAAGCATGACAAATTATGTTTGGAATCTAGAGGGTCATCCAGGCCTCAAAAAAGGCGTAAACTTTGATGGAATTGGTCAGAACGAGACTGCTGGTACTCTCTCCCTCTCTCCCTCTCTTTCTCTCTCTGTGCACCTCTGCCCGGCGCCAACCAGCAGCCCGAAAGAGCTCCAGAGCCTTGAATCAACGGCAGTGTCTGCGTAGAGAATATTCTGACTGCGTTTCATCTGCTTTCATTGTTTTTCCTTTCTTTCCATCTCTCTTCATCTTTCATCTCTGTCCCTCTGAGTGGTTAGACTACATGCTGCATGCCACCATGAGTCTGTCTGTAGTTGCCTCCTTCTCATGTGCCATGTGCAAGCGAGAGGCCTCTGCACAAAACTGTGCTGCCCTGTCGAGCCCTTCCTTCAATTCAGGAAGCAGAAGCAATAACAGTGTGCTTGTAAACACAAAACAAATGTTCAAAGTGTGCGAATCAAATAGAATCAAAACCAATCGAAAAGGCCTTCAATTGGAAGTGGATGGTCGCTGCTGTATGAAGCGCGATGGCAACGTGCTCGGGCCTCCCAACTCTCAATTTCTGTGGCAAGATCTTTCGGATCGTGTCCAAGGACTGGATCTTGAGCGACCCAAATGGCATGAACGTAGCATTTCTGCAGAAAGCATTTCTGAAAAGTGAAAATATTATATTTATATGTAAATATATATATATGTAGTATTTATATATAATATATATATACAGAAAATATATGAAAATATATATATATAGATGATGTATATATGTATGTGTGTGTGTGTGTGTTATGTTGTTTGGACGTTCAGCCTTCCACCTTCTTCTTTCCAGTCTTCAGCTGCGTCCTGCGGCACAAGACTTTCTAGGTTCAACAAAATCCAGGGGAACAGTCTCTCCGGTCTATTCAAGCCTCTGCAGAGAGTAGGGCACAGTCTAAGCCAGAGGTGGTTACACGACACCTCATTCTGTCACGTTTTGTCAACATTCCCCAACTTTGCAGGCGCATCAGGCCACGTCTGCAGGCGAAAACATCGATTCGAAACGTGTTGGACTGAATCCTGCAAGATCCCACACTACTGAGCTCTCGACTTGACGATGAGCATCACAGCAACCACTTCCATGTCCCTCCCAGCAACAGAGACATGAAGACATTGTGAAGAAATGGAAGTATCACAGTATCAGCACATTGCCATGACATGCTAGAAAGATGCAGAAGAATCTCGATGAATCGTGCTGTGTCGCGTGCTGTCGAAATTGGTTTTGCTTCGACCGAGGCCAGGACAACTCTCCTGCATCATGGAAAAGGTCCTGCGGCGAAAAAAGTCTCTGGCTATTGCCAAAGAATGGACTTGCTAAATGTGAAATATTGTCAACAGAGTCCAAGACAGAATGTGGGCTGGGCAGTGAGTGTAGTAAAACCAGAATCTAAATACTGACTGCAAAGGGAAAAATGAAATCGCTCGATTTGCTCCTTAGCATCCTCTGCAAGCCTCTCACCATCCATCTGCTGATCCTCATCCTCCAAACCTTCACAGTTAAAGAAAAGACCCAGTCGAAAACTTGGAAATGACCAGGGAAGACAACGTGGACAGCACATTCCAAGACGTACCTACAAGAGCCAAAGCAGTGCCGAGCATTGCTCGACCCTTCCACTTGGTGTCTTCCAGCTTCTCGTAGACCTGACAGGACACAAGGACAAAGTCGACAAAGTGCTGCGGGAACTAACATTTTTTTCCAGCTGTCATCTGTCTCCCCTTTTTGAACCACGGCCAAACATCTTTGCATTTTGAGGATATTGGAATGCTCATACTCATAGCTCAGGCAGGCAAGAGTTGATCGAAAAAAAATGAAACCAGATCCAACCAAGTTTCCTTTGTGCCCAGCAGGTTTCGCTTCTAGGTGGGAAATGACGGGAACGAGCTATAACATGCTATGACATGTGATAACAATTGACAACACATTATATATATTTTATATATATATACATATACCCAACATTTCCACAGACTATTGATCAAACAGTCGTTGTTGCAAGGGCGGTTTCTTGCGGAAAGCATATTTTTTGCAAGAAAAAGAGGGCCCTGTGCTGGTCCTTGATCGGGATGATGGGTTTTTATATTGTTTGTGGCAAAGCTCTACGGCAAAACATAGGGGTTCTACGGCAAAAAATGTACATTCTACGCCAAGAAATGTTTATTTTACGGTTTGTGTACGGTTTGTGTACGGTTTGTCTACGGTTTGTCTACGGTTTGTCTACGGTTTGTCTACGGTTTGTCTGCGGTTTGTCTACTGTTTGTCTACGGTTCTTGGACTAGGCCTCGGGCAAGGAATGGCTATAGAGTGAAAAAAATGTTCGTTGTTTTGCCAAAAAACCTTTCCCGGAAAGCTGTTGAAACACTAGTCGAGAAAGGCTAGGGCATATATATATATATACATACATAAATTATTATGTATTTATTTATTTTTATTGATTTATCTATTTATTTATCTGTCTTACGTACGTATGTATGATGTATGTAGGTATGTAGGTATGTAGGTATGCATGTAGGTATGTATGTTTGTATGTTTGTATGGTTGTAGGGTTGTATGTTTGTATGTTTGTATCGAATTCATTTGTTGATTTATTGATTATATATACACGCACACTCATATATGAATAAAAAACTAAATAAATCAAATATATATATATATATCCACCGACCCCACTTGCAGCAGGGGGAGCGCGCCAGAGGAGAAATGAAATTAGAAGCAGCAAGGGGGTCCGTTTTGGAGGTTTGAGAGCTGCAGTTTGGAGCTATTCTAGTCGATTCAGAAAGCGACGTTAGGCACCAGCAGCGGCAGGCCGAGGTCACAATCCGTCCTTCAGCAAGCGCTATCTGCTGACACTGGCTCTTCCTTCCTTCTCCCCACCCGAATCTCGCAGCATGTTGCTCTCTACCTTTCCCACGCCTCCCTTCTTGCTGCCAAGCAGCTCCCCCTTCCGCAGCACAATGCTGCTCCCACCGATGGTCTTGCCACACAATCCGCACGCAGGAGGCATGGCTCGTCAAATCCGCTTCATATCCTAAGATCCTGAGAAATCAAAATTTGTTCGAAACTGTTTGGCTATGTGCTGAAGATCTAGGGCCTAGGTCAAAGCATTGAGTCGTTTCGAAGTAAATGGGCAAATATCAAGACTTGTGTGGAGTGGATGCGGCGCAGCTACTAGGACTGCCAACGGTGAGCTTCACAGCCGCTATGAGTGTCGTTTGCCAAAGAAGTACAGACTGGATGGTGGGGTTTAATGGATTTCTTTGTGCAAACATGCCTAGCTTTTTGTGGAACCGGATGTCACTCTCTGAGACTCCTGGACGAAAACAGATCAGGATGAAATCCTTCAACTGATTCAACACCGTCGGAATTTCTGCCAGGCCAAGACAACACTATAATTTGGATTGGCCTTTGCTTGGCCTTTGGGTGGCAACATGATGAGACAACATTTCTATAATGCAGGAAGCATTTCTGGCCACGGGGTCGGCGGCAGAGGGCGGAGCCCCTTAATATGTATATATATATATATGTATCTCTGTGTGTGTGATATAAATATGATAGAAATATGCACAGGTCTTCGGCGTTTCTTCGGTGTTTCTTCGGCCTCAGTGGCTTCCCGCATGGTCGCTGCCGCAGCCTCGAGAGCCTCTTCTCTCGCCTGACTGAAGGGTGACTTGAGCGCCTTGCTGAGTTGAGCGTCACCTTGGAAAACCGTTGTGGAGAACCGTTGTGGAAAACCTCCAAGTCACTGTTTCCATCTTGTTCAACTTGAACAACTGTTTGTTCAAATCCACTTTTGAGGCATGACATCCCAAGGCTAGTCCAAACAGCATGTTCTGAGTTCTGTCTCCACTGTTTGTCCACTTGTCCACTGTAGACGTTCTTTATATAAAAACACGAGCCAAGAATGACACTTAAATTAGTCCGAGCAGCCAAGAACAAACAATATTCCTGCATGAAGTCTCGTGTGCTTTGCGATCTCCTCACAGACTCAAAAGACATGCTTCAATTAAGTATGCGTTAAGTATGCGTCAAACGCGTGAAGTATTCAGGGATGGTATTCAGGGATGGTATTCAGGGATGGTCGGGGCTAAAAATGTAAAGGACAATCAGACAGTCATCAGGAGTGTGTTTCGCACTCAAATATGACTTGAGCAGATGGCATCTGCGGCCTTACAAACGAGGCCATACTGACCTTCTACTGCTCCTGATCCCCCAGAGACTTGAAGACTTCCAACGCCTGCACAATTGCATTGCAACCGCACACCCAGAACATGTCCAGGGAGAACGGTATGGCATTTCCAATCAGATCACACTTTTTGAAGAAAAAATAGGCATAAGAAGCATCATATATATATATACATATATATATATATATATACACACACTTATGTGAATTATATTGAATTATATATGATATACCATTATATAGAAGCGGCATGGCGTGTATGTGGCTGTGGATTCAAAATTCATGGCCAAAGCAGATGGCTCAGAGATTGGCACCTTGGAGGCTTCGTTGACGGCAGCCATTGGCGCATCAGGTTCCTTCACTCGGCTGAGATGCACGCGTGCCAATGCCTAGCACCATCAAAATGTCGGAGAAGGGCACTCCCCACCAAGAAAAGCAGGGAATGTTTGACTCATCTTGACTCATCTTGACTCATCAGAACAAGATCTTGGGTAACATCGGAGCATAAGATAAACATCGCCCTTTTTTGCAAAGGGGAAGTGAAGGATGGGACAGGGAGATGCGCGCCCAGGAGATTCATTCAAAATTTGCACTTCTGTAAAAGGATCAAAGATTCGAAATGATTCAAAGAAACATAAAGAAACTGTTTTAAAAAAAATGCATCAAAGCACAGTTTTCTCCTATTGATGCACTTTCGGGGATTGACAGTACTCCTCTCTTGGTTTAAAGATCCGAAAAGACTCCATACATTGTCAACCCGCAATGCGCAGCTTCTGTGCCTTTAGAGACATGGCCTCCAGTTCACGGTCCTACAGGACAGGTTCTTGGTCCCAGTGGCAACAAGGCTTAGAGATCCTGACAGATCCTAGGACAGTGTTTTCCATGGTATATCATGGTAGTATGACGGTATGACTTTACCCATTCGCTCTGCGAGTCAGGTGCATGACTAGTGACTAGAGTATGGTCCGAACCACAAACGTCTGCCATCTGCCATCGCAGATTGCAAAGAGTAACCGCCTTCGACGTGAACAGGCCCTCTTTGCTTAGCATTGAAGATCTGTTTCTGATCAAAAATTAGCAAATTTGTAAAATGAAATTATCCCTTGAGCACAGTCTTTGATCAGGTGGTACTTCTGTGAAACGCCACGGTGAAAAGGCCAACGTCAACCCAGAATTCGACCTACGTGCAATGTCCTCCAAATCACGTGCCAATTCCAATGCGTCCTTCACGGTCCAAAGGATTTCACCAATTCGAGACATGACGCTCTGTTGTCTCCAGCTGGTCAAATACGAGGACGTCGCACATTGACCAGCAAGTTCTGTCTTCACGGTCAGAAAAAGGAGCATCTCCACCAATTGCAAAGCGAGCTTTAAGGCAGATATGGTGGAGATCGAGTCTGCTTTGGTCAAAAGCTCCTCCGTCTCTTTTCGACAAATGTCAATCTGACTTCGCTGCTTACGAAGTTCAGCTGCTTCTGGGATGTCATCTTCATCGCCCAGAACTTCTGAAACAAAGTTCACGGTCGACTTCACCAAAGTCTGGGCCTCGCACAGCACAGTGCATTGGCATTTGAAACAGTATTCTTTGAGCAAGTTACTGTATTTTTTGTGAGATCAGTGGTTCAGTCCAGACCTTTGGAAAATGCAATGTTTCTTGTTTAGTACTGCTTGGCACGTGACCCACAGGCCTCTTCTTCCAACTCCGGATCCAAACCCATCGCAAATTCTGGAACAATGAGAACAAAGTTTTGCTATTTGCTGGCCTGTGGATGACAGAAACTGTGGAATGTCCGAATCAAGATTTCTCTGGCTTTCACACTGGACTGTCTGATCATGGCATACTCAAGAGACTGCTTCAGTTTTCTCGTGTTTTCCCCGTGTCTTCTTTCCTTCTCCATGATCTCCAAATCAGCTGGCAAGGGTAAAGCACAAGGGTATGACAGAAACACGCGAAGATTGTTTAAAATCCACACACCTTTACCACATCAAATAAGCAACTCCCAAGCAAATCCTAAGGGACAAAAAGTGATCGTCCGTACCAGACAAGCTTTTTGCCTAGCCCCGACCCAACTGGCCAGAGATCCCGTCAGATTTGGCTGCTCAGCTGGCCACTTCCATTGATTTTTCATGTTTCTCTGCAAAGAGAAACATCACAACATCAGTTCCTTGTCAGCATGCGGCAAGGCTCTCGCCCTGGTATATCTCTTATTTGCATTGAATTGCATTGAGACAAGACGCGGGTGATATATGGTGATATGCTAGGCCAGAGAGTCGACTTGAAGCGAAGCTTTGGCCATGCCGAGCTACCCTGAAGTGAATCGATCTGTCAACAAAGAGGCAAAGTGCCATCTTGCAAAATAAAGCATGACTCCGAGAGTTAGCACCTTGCGTGGAGCTGTATAAGAACTGCATAACCATTTTTTTTGACGGAGGCAGTGCTTCATAGGTGCGCTTTAAACCGCCATAAATCAACTGCTTCAAATGAGAGGCATGCGACTTCTTCGATTGGCCTCTTTAGGCACAAAAGCCGTCGAAAAGAAGGGAGTCTTGTCTCAAGACTTCAGCACCGTGTTGTTCAAACTGCTCGAAGATCTCTACGACAAGATTGACAAAACCAGCAACAGAACAAACAGTATGATCAAACAGCATAATAAGTTACAATAATTAATAAGGAATAATGTGCAAAAGGGTTCATGTCTCAGCCGCTCATCTGCACTGACCTGACACCATGCAGTGGTTGGTTCAATTGCTGTAAGTCTAAAGGGAAGTCACACAACACATCACAACACCATGATCTGCTAAGTGGTTTGCTAAGTGCGTTCATCAAACTCAGATCAACTGTCGGCCAATGAAATGGCAGAAAATCTGCTTTTTGGCAGCTATCATAGCACTGAGAAATCCTTGCCACAAGATTTGCCTGTTGTCGCTTGGTAGTAGCTGCTGGCGTGCCTGTCCACAAGACTGATACTGTCGATGCAGAGAAGACTTCAGTCGTCCCCCAGTCCCCAGTGCCACCTCCTGCCGCGGCCGGATGTAGAACTTGTAGGCCGCAAAGCCAAGTCCAGCAAGGATCAACTGAGCGCGAAGACCAGAGAATATATATATATATATACCAAAGGGTACCAAAGGTAGGGTGCAAAAGCACAGGCAGCTCAAGTCTCCCATGTCCAAAAATTGGCTGGCACAACCAGGTTACAATGGCTTGGGATTCTTGGGGCCAAGCCAGGACAACCAGGATTGTAATGACTGTGCCGCCTGCAAAGGCAACACTGCTCGATTTGAGGTTGGGTTGGGAATCGGAAAATTCTTGCAAGGAACCGAACGTTGGGAACGTTGGGAACGTTGGGAAACAGCGAGAAACATCAATAGACATGTGAAAGATTGTGAAAGAATGTAAAAAGCAGCAACCAAACGGATTTCTTTGATTTTCTCTGTATCATCTTGCCCAGGCCTCCGCCGCCAGATCCTGGTTTCGGTTTGGGGCTGGGATGCCAGTCCACCGACGAGGACTTGTTGATGGTTTCCTCAAAGATCTTCCAGGCCTCCAAGTGATGACGCAAAAGAATCAAAAAAAATCGCTACAGTCACTACAGTCACTACAGAAGTACAAGAAACAGGGTTTGCAAATGCCAGTATTCAGTCACGAAGGCGACAGTCTGTTGTAGCCACTATTCATCTGCATCCGGCAAAGTTTCTGTCAAGATCCTTACCACGACTACGTTTACGCCTCCTCGGGATTGTTGGGCGGCTGATAATGCCATGTGGCATAGATCTCTTCATCAAAACCATTCTGGCACGGAAGACAAATGTCAAGAGTGCGCACGCATGATATTGGCCTTGTGAGTAAAGAGTGGGCAATGCTGAAATCCTATCCAGCCATCTTCCAGTGCCAATTTTTTGACTGCTCCACTGCTCCCTTGCTTTGGTCCTCTCGAATGTTTGGGATCAATCTTGTCATAACTTAAATGGCCATGTTTCCTGCGGCCACCTCGTTCGAGATTGCCCCTCCCCGTCCAGAGACGATACGGGTTGCAAACTTAACCATCTCCTGCGCAAGAAAATTCTCACGCATGGCAAATTCCCCATAAAATTCTGACATGATGTAATCGTCCATCCACAGATGCGAACAAGCTGGCAGATCAACCAGTATGGACAGTATGGACTTTGTCAGTGTGATTTTCCCCATTCACGTTTTGTGATTCATTTCCTACCAAGAGAATTGTCAAGGATCCCTTCAAGCATGTGGGCAGAAGAGCTTCTCCTTGTTGTCCATCATCCTGCAGTGCAGCAAGGTCAAAAGCCCTCTGTGCCTTTCGATTGTCTCATGGACAGGTTCTATACAGCTATCATTTTACCCCAGTAGCCATTGTACTGTTACATTTCGATTCCCACTGCAATGGCATTGAGAGATTGACCGCCACACTATACGAATCACTGGTGTCGCCCTCCCCTTATCTCAAATCTCTTTGGATTTGATAATTGAATCACATCATTCACATCATACATAATGGTTACATTGGGTTACAAATTGTTTACAAATTGTTTACGAGAAGTTTTTTGTGTCGAAGATGTGGGTCCTCATGGTTTGGAGGAAGCCACGAGCCGTGAGTTCGGCATCAGATCCATCGGTGCCATTGACGGCGCAAGTGCCTAGACCTGAAGTGGTAGAAGAAAGAAAAAAAAATGAAACAAAAAAAATGGCGGAAGACGGATCTGTCTATGAACTTGTCTGCGGACTTGCGCCGTTATGACTCTTGTTTGTTCTGCTCAAAGATCTTTATTAAGCCCCCGACCATACAAACAGCAAATCTTCAACGGATCATTGCTGGCGCACTTTGTCTCGGTAGGAGGTGTGTTTCCCTTCTCCTGATACAAACTCACAAAGTGTACAGATTGTGTACAGATGTGTATAGTTTCACATGGCATCGGATGTATACAACTGCCAGCCTTAAGTACTCCGAAGGGGCACATTGGCCTTAGAAGGTTTTGTTAAGTTTTGTTGGAGATGTCAAGAGAATGAGATGTCGATGTCTGGTGCACATGTCTTGGGATGACCTGAGGCACGACTGAGTGCTTGGGTCGGGGTAGGGCCTCGGTGTCGCTTTACCATGTTGAGTTGATTTACCATGTTGGCTTTACATATTTACACTACCAAGTTGGCATTACACGGAACAAGAGGGCACAAATTCAAGCTGATCTGCCTGATCTGTGTGTTCTATCCAAAACTGAGTGCGAGACGGGTCAGTGCCAGGAAGGTAACACGTGGAGCAAACACCGCCTCAGCATTTTGCCAGGTTCGGCAATGTCACAAAAAGTTAAAACTTCGAGCATGAAGCATCAGCAGTATTCGCGAATGGCAACATTACAAGACTTGATTGAGAGAGCTCTACAGAGAAAATCATGAAATCAACACAATTCAACACAATGGATCTCGCAGGGAGGCTACAAAGTGCTGCACTGCACAGTGTGACAGTGTGGCATTTGTGCATCAAGAGAGGCTCTAGCCAAAAACACGAGTGCAGTAGGGACCACCTCAAGGTAAGGGCTAAAGCGGCTAAAGCGGCTAAAGCGGCTAAACTTGAGTGTTCGACATGCAAGTTGCAACTCGTTGAGATTGCGTCACTATGTGTTACTGCACCAAGTGCTGGACCATCTGGGTTTGGAGTGCACTGATTTGGCCTCATGTCACTGTCACTTCATGATCTTCTTGGCACGGTCCTCTCAGATCTCTCAGATCTCTCAGAGTGCTGAGGAATCTGAGGACTTCTCACGGAAATGTCTGTTGATGCGCAAACCGGACTTGCATCCAGGGCTGCCTGCCGTGAGCTGTGCACCAGTGGAACCAACTTAAAGCAACTCGAACCAACTAATCGTAACTAATCCACAAATATCCCCTATCGATAAAATTTGTGACACATTTGTGAATCATAAAAGTGTTTCATATTGTTTCATGGAAAAACATGAAAGAAATTGGACACATGTCAACGCTCGTGGACCAAGAAGCTTTTGTCCGTGCCTTGTCCACCAACCAGTGTGAGTTCTTCACAGAGTCACCCAAGAAGTATGTCCTCAGACATCAAAGGGTTCTGAACCTTTTTGAAAACCTAGTGCGAAAGTAATCAATTCGTCACTTTCGTCACTTAGTCAGTCAAATGATGCCAGTTGGTCGAATTTCGCTGTGATGTTTATGGCAATCCAAAAACTCATAAAGTATAACATCCTAGAAACACGTGTTATCTGTTGGGGGGTTCGTATAAAGCATTTTAGTTCTGTGAAATTTCAGCCCAGATGCGCCACAGCTTCTGCGCGCTTCCTGTTGCCTTCCACCTGATCCGCAGTCCCGCAGCCAACAGGGCTGCATCCAGCTACATCCAGCTACCTCCAGCTACATGCTGAGTAACTGAAACTGCAATGGCTTGGAATCGACTGAGTAACAAACCTCGCATTTGCCCGACCAGAAGGGCAAACCGTATTCCTTCTCCTCAAATTCGGATATGCAGCAGAGTACGAGTTTGTATATGAATGACATATGCACTATACATATAAATATATATATATGTGTGTGTGTATGTATGTATGTATGTATGTATGTATGTATGTATGTATGTATGTATGTATGTATGTATGTATGTATGTATGTATGTATGTATGTATGTATGTATGTATGTATGTATGTATGTATGTATGTATGTATGTATGTATGTATGTATGTATGTATGTATGTATGTATGTATGTATGTATGTATGTATGTATGTATGTATGTATGTATGTATGTATGTATGTATGTATGTATTATGTAAATATATATATATACGTATATATGTATATATATATTATGCTTAAAAAAACAAATACAATATATACATATATCCATGCAAAAAAGATACGCACACATATATATATATATACATCTATATACATACATATATATCCCTATCTAAATAATATATATATGTGTGTTTTTAATTGAATTTAATATATATCTATATTATTTATTATTGAAATGAAAAATATTGTATACATGAAAAATATTTTATACATAATAAATATTATATATATATAATCTATCTTTTAAAATCTATACATTTTAAATATTATATATTTTATATGTTCTAGAATATAAATATTATATATATATATTTCTTTATTTATAATTTATCTATATATTGTAAAATAGTACTTATATATATATATATTCATATATATAAATATATATATACATATATTTATATATATAAATATATATATTCATCAATATATTATGAACTTTATATATTGAATATGTTATGTAATATGTATATATATATGTGTGTTGTAGTACATATTAATATGTTATTCTATATATTATTTTTATTTATATATATTTCATATACCTTAGCAATTCTATATTATATATATATATATTATGTATGTTAAATAAAATTTGTGTTAAATATTCCATGCATTAAAAACATATATATTATACATTTTTTACTACATATATGTATGTATGCATGTGTGTTTATTGTATTTGCATTTGTAATGTATTGTATTGGTATGTTCTTGTCTTGTCTTGGAATGTATTGTATTGTGTGTACAGTACATGAGGCTTGTGAGCCAGTTCCTCTTCTCTTCACCAACAGCCCTCTCCTCTGGCTTCAGGGCCATGCATTTCGGATCCTGGGAAAATCTGAAAAAAACTGCGAAGGGATGCGAAGCGCAGAAATGAAGATGATTGGAATGATTCACAGACTCGATTACATCGCCCGCCTGGCAAAGGTTCTGTGTCTCTTGGCAGAACGGGTGCAGGTCATACTCGACGCAATAGCCTGTGACCTTCACAAACACATCAAACTCAACGTTTGGATCCGCAATCCATCAATCATCCGATAAACCGATAAGGGATGAAGGTAAGATTGCCCAAGTATAAACTACAAAATCAAACAAAATCAGCATGCACAGGCAATCTCTCTCCAAAGGTTGTCCCCATCTATCCCCCAAGTTTATCCCAACCAGTCTCAATCGACAAACAACCGATGTTTGTCTGGTTTTCCCGGTTGCACCTGGGTAGTGACATTCCACTTGCCGGAATCATGGCAGTCTTCACAATGGAATCTCTTCTTGTATTTCCTTGCACGAAAATGCCCTTGCAGCAATTCCGGTGACCGTCTTCCCATATAACTACCAGTATTGCCTCGCACGGCGGTGACGGAAGTTTCAAAGATAGGACACTATAGGAGAGGTGAGTTGTTGTGATGCATGGATGGCAGAGCGAATCCACTGATGGACCGACAGGTGGTTGGAGTTGTGCGTTTGGAGTGCTTGCAATGGTTGCAGTCGTCACCTCACCCACAACTGCTGGATGTAGTGTGTTGTAGCGCAGCTGTAGTTGTAGTTGTAGCGTAGTGGAGCTGTAGTTGTAGTGTAGTGTAATTAGTGTAGTATAGTTGCAGTTGCAGTTTTAGTTGTGGTGTGGTGTAATGAGTGTAGTGAAAATGACATGTAGTGTAGTGTAGTGTGCTGTAGTGTTGTGCGCTGTAGTGTTGTGTGCTGTAGTGTTGTGTGCTGTAGTGTAGTCTAGTGTAGTGTAGTGTCAAGTAGTGTACTGTAAAGTAGTGTAGGTGTAGCTGTAGCTGCAGTTATCGTAGTGTAGCGAAGCGTAGTCTAGTGTAATTAGTGTGGTGTAGTTGTAGTTCCAGTTCTAGCTGTAGTTGGAGCTGTAGTCTCGTGTAGTGTAATGGCTTTAGTGTAGTGCAGTGTAGTGTAATGTAGTGTAGTTACAGTTTTAGTTGTAGCTGTAGCTGTAGTAGTAACAGTAGTTGTAGATGTAGTTGTAGCTATAGTTGTAGTGATTTGTAGTGTAATTAGCGTAGTGTACTGTAATTAGTGAAGTGTAGTGTAGTGTAGTGTATTGTAGTGTAATTAGTGTAGTGTAGTGTAATTAGCGTACTGTAGCGTAATATTTTTGTATGTGTATTTGGGCTGTAGTGGTAGCGTGGTGTAGTTGTAGTTGCAGATGTTGTTGTAGCTGTCTATCTATCTATCTATCGATCTATCTATCTATCTAACTATCTATCTATCTATCTATCTATCTATCCATCCATCTATCTATCTATCTATCTGTTTATCTGCAAGTTTGAAAACGAAGCAATTCTGCGAGACCTCTTCAAATTTTGAACTTGACAACGTCAAAACGAAGAAATTGCGCAAGACTTCCTCAGTTTTTGAACTTGACAACATCAAAAACGAAGGAATTGTGCGAGACTTCCTCAATTTTCGAAGTTGACAACATCACAAGCGAAACAATTGTGCGAGACTCCTTCAAAAATGGAAAGTTGAGGCCAATGCGTTTTGCGATTTTTCCACTCCACCTGTCTAAAGCACCGCCTGCCACGAAAAAGTGATGCCAGGTCATACGGAGTGCTGCACCTGTCACGCAAAATCATCTTCCCACAACTGAAGATCTGATGCTCCAAAATGCAACCCCCGGAAAATGTATCTTGCAGATCCTCTTCAAATGTCCCACGCCTGCCATCGTTTTTGACAAAACCCTGACGTTTTTGCGCCTGCCAGGCAAAACCACATCTGAAACTTCAAAAGTGGTCCGAGCATGTGGCGTTTTTACCAGTAGTACCGCACAAGGCGGTGGCGGAAGTTTCAAAAATAGGAAACCTTGCTGTGAGGCACGAATGGCAGAGCGAATCCACTGATGGACCGACAGGTGGTTGGAGTTGTGTTTTTGAAGTGGCTGCAATGGTTGCAGTGGTCACCTCTTCCTCAACTGCTTGATGTAGTGTGGTGTGGTGTAGCGCAGTTGTAGCTGTAGTTGTTGTGTACTGTAGTGTAGTGTAATTAGTGTAATGTAGCGTAGTGTAATGTAGTGTAGTTGTAGTTGGCGAAAAGTGGTCCGAGCATGTGGCGTTTTTACCAGTAGTACCGCACAAGGCGGTGGCGGAAGTTTCAAAAATAGGAAACCTTGCTGTGAGGCACGAATGGCAGAGCGAATCCACTGATGGACCGACAGGTGGTTGGAGTTGTGTTTTTGAAGTGGCTGCAATGGTTGCAGTGGTCACCTCTTCCTCAACTGCTTGATGTAGTGTGGTGTGGTGTAGCGCAGTTGTAGCTGTAGTTGTTGTGTACTGTAGTGTAGTGTAATTAGTGTAATGTAGCGTAGTGTAATGTAGTGTAGTTGTAGTTGGCGGTGTAGCTGTATTTGTAGTAGTAGTTGCAGTTGTAATGTAAATAGTGTAGTGTTCTGTAATTAGCGTAGTGTACTGTGATTAGTGTAGTGTAATGTAATCAGTGTAGGGTAACATAGCGTAGTATTTTTGTACATGTAGCTGCATTTGTAGTTGTAGAAGTGATGTAGTTGCAGTTGTAGTTGTGGCTGTCTATCTATCTATCTGTTTATCTGCAAGTTTGAAAACGAAGCAATTCTGCGAGACCTCTTCAAATTTTGAACTTGACAACGTCAAAACGAAGAAATTGTGCAAGACTTACTCAATTTTTGAACTTGACAACATCAAAAACGAAGGAATTGTGCGAGACTTACTCAATTTTCGAAGTTGACAACATCAAAAGCGAAACAATTGTGCGAGACTTCCTTCAAAAATGTAAAGTTGAGTGCAGAGCTGACGGCCTCGTACCAATGCGTTTTGCGATTTGTCCACTCCACCTGTCCAATGTACTGCGCCTGCCACGAAAAAGTGATGCCAGGTCATATGGAGTGCCGCACCTGTCACGCAAAATCATCTTTCCAAAACTGAAGATCTGATGCTCCAAAATGCCACCCCTCTCAGGAAATCAGCGCCCGGACCTGCTAACAGCTCTGATGAACATGCCTCTTGCACTGCGCCTGCCACAGAAAATGCATCTGTGCAGATCCTCTTCAAATGTCCCACGCCTGCCATCGTTTTTGGTAACGCTACAAAACCCTTACATTTTGCTCACTTTTGACAAGGTGCACAATCCCTTGCGCCTGCCACACAAAACGACACTTCAACGTCCAAAAGTGGCGCGAACATGTAGTGCTTTGTACATTTTGACTTGGAAATGTGCTTCGCGCCACAATGGCTTGCACGTTTTCGACATCTCAAATTCGAAAAGTGCTCCGAGGCTGCGGTGTTTTGTACATTTTGACTTGGACATGTGCTTCGCGCCACAACGGCGTGCACTTTTTCGACAGCCCAACTCCTAAAAGTGTTCCGAAACTGGTGTGTTTTGTACATTTTGACTTGGAAATGTGCTTCATGCCACAACGGCGTGCAATTTTTCATCTCTCATCTGGCCATATGGCTCCGCACCCGCCGCTTTAGCGAGCCTCTCCGGAGCCACAAAGCATTGGAAAAACACAGTGTTTCGCGACTTTCCTACCTTTTGGGGCATTTGGATCTTCTTTCTTCTGAGACTTTCTCTTTTTGATCTTCTTTCTTCTTCTCTTCTCTTCTCTGACTCTTCCCATCTCTGCTTTTCATCTGTCCATATTGTCGGAAGTTTGACTTCTAAACTTCCTTCAAACATTTTGACTTGGAAACGTGCTTCGGGTCACAACGGCGTGCAATTGTTCGTCTCTCATCTCCCCAGACGGCTCCGCACCCGCCGCTTTAGCGAGCCTACTTTTGGACCCTCTGGAGCCCGAAAACATTGGAAAAACATGGAAAACACACAGTGATTCACGCACCTGCATCTTCTTTCTTCTGACTCTTTCTCTTCTCTGATCTTCTTGCTTCTTCTCTTCTTCTCTTCTCTGACTCTTCCCACCTCTGCTTTTTCATCTGTCCATATTGTCGGAAGTTTGACTTCTAAACTTCCTTCAATAATGACCTTACCGCTGGTGAGTCTCAAATGCAAATCATAGTGGATCCGAGTCGCCCCTCTGGGTCGTAGCAATTGTCTCTCCAGTCTTTCCAGCCAGAGCACTTCCTGCACACTGTTTCAACATGTCTACATAGCCGAAATATCAAATATGGTTTTGATGCGGAACAAACTTGTCCGTAAACAAGTAAGTGGTGTGAATGGACAGTTTACCTGCTTGCTGATTATAAACTTCGTCTGCTTAATGAGACAACAAACGCAACTGTCAGAACTCCTCTTTCCGTTCGATCCACATTGCATGGAATTGATGCCTTCACTTCTGGGAAAATGCGGAATGCAAAAGGATACAGTAGCGAGGCAGAAAGCGCTTGGAAAACTAAGAAATGGTTCAGCCACAATGCCTGCGAAATAGAAAAGTCTGGTCTTGATCAGCGCGAATCACAGACTTCGTTCCAAGTTACCGTTCAAGTCGTCAATATTCAGGAAATCCTTTGAGCTCAACTCCTTGCCAGCAAGCCATGCGAGCACAAAACCCCAATCGTCTACAAATTGTCAAATTGGTTTGCAGGTTGTCTGCTTGTGCTCACATGTTGCGTCAAATGTTAGTGTTTGGAGATCGCAAATCTCACTTTGAAAGAATGGAAGAGCTAGGGAAACAAATGGCACATGTGGGGACTGCGGCCTCATACTGGTACACGCAGCCAAGATTTCCAGTTGGTTCTGAGACCGAAGTGTCGCACAGACCACCCATGATCACCTGCAAGGAAAGATAAACTAAGAAACAACATAGAATTATATAAATAGAAGCCAGTAGTGCCAAAGCTCATCGGAAACGCTGTTAGCCTGGATAGGTCTGTTGTTGGTTTTACTGATACACAACTCCCTCCAACAAAGCATTCGGTATGGACTGACAAGGATAGACCCTAAATGACCCGAACAACTTCGACTTCGGAGCTTCAAAATTGTCCTTGCCTTATCAGGACTCGAGCTGTAATGCAAGCAGCACTTTCGCGCCCTGAGCCGGTCCGAAGGTCTGAACAATCCGAAGTAGACTCCGCAAGACTCGGAAAGGTTCAGCAAAATTCGGCATCCATTTTTGGACTCTGACTAATTACACAAAATTACACTGATTCCGATCATTCGGATTTTGGAGAGTGGCCATTGCCCGGTGGCCCCTTCGTGCAGGCCAACTGAGCAAACCGGACGTCTCGGTGTCAGATGGATCGGTGAAATGCGGCTTAGAACTGCAGTTCCGAGCGGCCTGAACTTCAAGATCCAAGCGGCAAGTGTTGCACTCAAGTGAGATCCCAAGATCTACTAGTTGATTCAATGTGTGCGTGCTTCGTGTTCCAAATTCCATCAGCAGCTTGCCTCATCCTGCTTGCCGGCGCATCCATCTGGATCACAAGGCTGCGGCATCGTAGGGGGAGCCTGCACAACTTTACTCAGCTGACACGCAGAGTTGAAACTGCTATGCAGAGTCATGCAGAGTCATGCAGAGTTGTTATGACTGTTATGCTTGGTCTCCTTTGGTTTTCAGCAGACTCAGCAGACTCAGCAGACTCAGCAGACTTCAAAAAGTTTGAACAGTTCGCATCAACAGGTCCTGTGCAGTGCATCCTGGGTATGGCTTCACACAAGTCCAAGGCCTCAGGACGGTTGGATTCTCAGGCACGTGACACCCGATGAAAGGGCACACTGAGGAGTCAACAGATTGGGACAATCTCCATCAACAGAGAACCAATACCAAGGGTGTGTGAAATTAATCTGTGGAGAGTCCTGCCGCTGAAGCAAAAGTGTGTCCACTCGATGCCATGGGCACGGGCACCCAGTCAAGCCAAGAAATGTCCAACCTCACCAAATAAAGAGACGAATGCGAAAACAGAGAGAAACCTGTCCTGCTTGCTGATGCCAACGTAATCACCGCTTGCCACCAATCCTTGCAGTAGGTCCTCACAGAGATCTTTGCAATCTGCATTGTGAGCCGTTGCTGAATCCCGGACTAGAATGATCTACATACTATGTGTGTATAATATTATATATATATATCCATATCATACATATTCATGTTGCTTCCACACAAGGTCAACTGACATCACTCGACATCAAACTTCCCCGCACACCCAGCAGTCCATGGCTGTGGCCACGCCGAAATCAAAGGCTCCAAAGCCTCAACGCAGGCGTGAAACATATGCAGTGTGTTGACAAAGACTTTAAAAAATCGATCAAGGTATGTGGAATTCAGTCACTCGCACCAAGTTGAGAGTCTTGAAAAATGAGACATCAGAATGCCCCTTGACCGCCACTGTACCGGACCGCAACTGTTGCTGTTGACAGCCACGGCAAGAAAGGAAAAAAGGAGAGGTACAGTGGAAAACGCACATGCAAAGAAACTGGACAAAAGCATGCGTTTGTGTGAAAGAAAAGGTGGGCAAACATCACCTGGAATACAAGAGAAAAACCTCGTTGAGACCTCTGCCGCTGTCCATTGGAGAGCGTGGAAAAAAGAAAGCCAGCAATCCATAAGTTAGGGATCAAAACAAGGACAATCCAGGGGTGAGCGGTCACGAAGACTCAGAAGGGCTTCTCGAATCGATCAAGTCTTCATGCTCTCTCTTTTTTATCAGAGTCAAAGGATTCAAATGGCATTTGCATTTCTGTTCGTTGCCGGCTTGCCTGTGCCTCCAGCCACACCCAAACTCACCTCACCTCCAAAGCCCGGGATGGCCATCTTGCTGGGGTCCTGGAGACGGATACGCCAACTTGGACACGCGCATAAGATGCAGACTCATAAAATATTTCAAAAAAAACACATATATTATAATATATAATATAAAAATATTATAGAATACATAAAATTAAAATACATTCCCACAGTTCCCACATCGTGCGATTTCACTTTATGTCGCCACATTCCCACATTGCCACCCCATCCCTGTCCTTCAAGATGGTATCTGGATTGCGCACTTTCATGCGATAGTGAGCAAAGGAATCGATTCCATACTTCCTGCCAGAAAGTATCAAAAGAATTCGAAAGATATCAAATTCAAAGTCTCAGTGAATCCATACCGAACCAATCCAAACCAAACGAATATCACATCCAATGTCACATCGTCGCGTCTGTGTCGATGTCGCACGGCTGCGGATCCTGGTTTCGCGCTCAGGATTCCCAGCCACGTGCTCCACGATGATTTCTTGATGAACATAGCCTCAGAGTATCGAAAGTGACTCAGTGAGCATCGCAGAGCATCGTTTTGCATTGTACTTTTGATGTTTTTTGATGTTTTGTTTCATGTTGTTTCATGTTGTTTCGTTCAATAAAACCAGTTCAATGATGATTTCATAATTGACCACACGTGTGGTTCTTCTCAATCGCTACAAGATGAGAAGATTTGGGAATCTGACGCAAGACACCCAGAATATCTGCTAGATTGTTGTTGGATACTCTGTTGGTCTCCTGAAGCAAGCGAAGCAAGTTGGCTGTGTGAAGATCAGCTGTGGAGCAACGAAGAAACAAATCTTCTAGGACTACAAACTATGTATGCGTCCAAACATGGCTTGCCAAAGTGTTCCAGCATGTGCTTTTGAAGGCTACAGACATGCATCCACGGATTTCTCAAACACAAGTCTGAGAGAGTGGGGGAGGTTGACGTGGGAAACTTCCCACCACACAGTCTCCAGGCAAATCTACGTAATCTACGTGTTCAATCGGTTTCATTGAGTTTCAAGCAGCATGCTTATGCAATATGTCACAATGTCCTTGCCATCTGGCGGCTTTTGCATTGCTCTGTACATGTCCACTGTCTGCACTTGGCTATCGCTTGCCGCATTCACACCTGCAAGTAAGGAGATGCTCAGAGCTCGCGCTCAACTCAAGCTTGAAACGCTGAAGCAAGATCGCAATCCATTATGTACAGACGAATACCGAAGTATACGGAAGTACTGAGTAGAGTCTGTACATTGAAAGATCTACGAAGCTTTCAAGAAAACGTAGCAACGAAACGATTTTGGGCATGAGAAAGAACCTTTGGCCCAAGGCCTATGGACAATGCCAAGAGCGTAGTACATCTCCCTAGGTCCAGCATAGTTTGCAACGAGAGCGATGGCCATTGGGTTCATATTGGTTCAAAAACTGATTCAAAAAATGGTTCTCTCTGGACATTCTATGACACATATGACAAATTCATACAGATTCTATGTAAATATATGTAGAATTCTGTAGATCATGTTGTTTGCTGCGACGGCATTTCTGCACCAAGATCATTTGCGGTCAAAGCCAGAAACCTGGGCCCCCAGCACATTGAGGTCGTCATGCCGCAGCCCAAGCGACGCAACGGAACGATGATGACGTAAGCTTCCGAAATGGCATCAAATCAGTGGAATCAAAGGCCAAACCTTTGAAGCATCGGTTGAAACCTGAACCAGCAGAGACATAATCATACATAATCTATATAGATTATATGAAATTAATATAATGTATTACTATGTTATATGATATATGTCATAACTCCTTACTCTTGTGCCTTTTCGATCTGGTCTCTCCCTGATGTGTCGGGTGTTTGGAATTCTTTCCAACCCGTTCTGGCACAAAGCAGGTCAACCTTTTCAACTAGAAAACAGGTTTATCCGTGTTCAGCGCGCGACCATTCTACCGCCGTATTTCCAATACCAAACAAAATCAAGTTTCACTGGTCTGGAGAAGCTCTGAAGAAGGACCTAAAGTCGCCCTAGATTCCATATGACTCCCAAAGATAGTTTGTGCGAACTCTTGGCGTTATGTTGGGAGGGCCAAGTGTGCCACCAAACGTCTGTCAAATCCTCACAGATTTCCCGATTCCCCTGGAACCTGAAGCGTTTTGCTCACAGATTTCTCTGCGCTTCGAGGACACGTCCCTTCCAATATAGATTCACCACCACGGTCATCGAATGACCGGCTTGAACCACAGCACTTTGCCGTGTCTGTGAGACACAAAACTCTGGGAAGGCCTTGCTTTTTTTTTGCAAAACAAGAGTCAAAATACCCGAGAATACCCTCAGATCTCAAGCTGAGTCAAAAAGCTGCCTTCAACAAATCTACGCGCCAGTGTTCATCATGAGACAAATGTTATCACCCTTCAGCAGAATGCGGCCTGCATTCGAGGATGCTGCAAACATCCAATTCTCTCGCTACAGAGTCTGTCTAAAGCACCACAAAACTCAGGAGGCTTTGTGTTTAGAGTTTAAAGATCAATTCATATGTTGATTTAAGCTGTGCTGCGCAAGCCCTCAGGTACCAACCAATCGCGCGTCGGGTCTTCTTTTTCACCAAGATTTCCTGCACGGGCTGAAATCCTTCCCCAATGGCCCAACTCCGATGCTCTTTAACAATGAGTCGGTGACTCACAGAAATTAAACACAGGCTTGTCCTCTGCATCATCGATGACTAGATTCATGTACCTGCAAAATGTGTCCATGCAATCACAAGCCGTCTGCGATGGCATTATCGACCGAGAAACTGCAATTCTTGGTCAATTACAGCGCTGAACTTGGATCAAGAGACTCATCAAAGCCCAAAATGCGGCCCTCAATCCGCAGGTCCGCTTGCTCATGGAGCCAAACCTGATCAATAGTTCACACATCGGTTGAAAGTGTTGAGACAGGAAAGATGTGGAAAAATATGGAAACATCATGAACCTCAAAGTTGCAATTGGTCCGAGCCTGAACACGAGACCTGTTCTGCAAATATCTGAAGATCTGATTGATGGGAAGGGTCCTGCAGAGCGTTGACTCATCATGGCCCGTCATGAATATGATTTGCTTGAGGTCGACGGCAAAGATCAAGTCCCGAAGATCTAGAGCAAGGTCAAAATAGAAGGACAATGAAGGACAGAGTATGTAGCAACTTAGTGGGCGCGAGTTGTCAAGCGTTGTCCAAAGTGATTTATGATTTCCTCAACTGTCCATTAGCAGATCATTAGCACTTCACTGTCCATTGTCCACCCAATTCAGTCATGATTTTCTGGAGCTTCTTGTTGCTGATCGCCATGGCTAAAACAAAGGATGCCTGTCTTCCCGCAGTTTCGTTTGTGTCACCTTGTGTCCTGATATGTCACTTGAGCCACAACACAAATTACAAAAGCACATCTCCTGTCCTTCTGAAATCATGCAAGCATATGCAAGCTATCAGCGGCTATCAAGCCAGCGTGAAAACTGGTGCCTCTTGAAATCAGGACCAGTCAGGAGGACACTTCCACACTTCGCTTGTTTTCGCTCTTCGCAGTGGTGACAGTCGTCCATGAGTAGTGTCAGAGTCGTTGGTGACGAAGCTCTCGCCTGCAGCTTTGCTCAGTCTGGCTGAACTGGGCTGCAAATCAAATTAACGGTCATGTTTCCGCAGGGGCGTCCTCAGAAAGACGATGGGGGCGTTCGAACATATCTAAAGATGAGGTTGATTGAGGTACATTCTCACAAATCTCACAAGTACTGAAAGCAGACATGTTTTTTTTGTCTCTGCGTCATCTGTATCTGCAAACTTAGAAAACGTCAGGACGTATCATGAGCCACCAGCTTTGGATGGGTTTTGGTTCGAGCATCTACGAGAAGATTAAAAACATCTGCATGGCTTCCACAGTTGTCCTTCTTCTTGGCAACATCAGCTGCAGTTTTCCCGGATGAATTCATCAGAAGCGGGTCTGCTCCCTCAGCCAAAAGCATCGCAACAAGCTCTTGATCTGCCATCTCGGCAGCCTTGTGAAGGGCATACGTGGAACTCAGAATCGAGCGCTTTGGCACGTTGACACCTCTGAAACCATGCCTCTCCAAAAACTTTGCAACTTTGTAATCTCCAATTGTTAGAGAAGTGCTGTCTCTTTGTTCTTCATGAAATCCATCAGAAGCTGTGGGACTGGAGCCTTCGGGATAAACTTCGAGTGGCTCTCGTAGTGGGACATGTGACATCTCCACCGGCTGTTGCACATGTTGCACGTGTCTCATGTGTTGAGCCTGTTGCACATGTTGGGCAGATTGGATCTGCTGGATTTCACGGATTTGGCCCAGTTCGCATCTGTCGAATCTGTCGGAAACGCTGTTGGAGACGCAGTCCGTTGCTTCTTGCAAGTTTTCTCGACATTGTAATGGAGACGTTGCTCGCACAGCTTCCGCGGGCGCGCAGTTCTCACAGTTCTTTGAATTCTTTGAATCTGTCAAGTCTGTCTCTGTTCTCACTGCAGTTACTGCAGTTCCCTCGTTTAAATGTGTCAAGTGAGTCAAGTCCACCCGGATCGTCGGGATCGGGATCGCATCTTCACCGAGGCAATTGCCACATCTGAGATCGCAAAACATCGAGGCTCCCTTTAATTTTCGATCTGTCCCTGAACCGAAACATCCGAAACGAAATGCAGATGAAACGCAGCGACGCAGCTGCCACTCCAAAACGGACTTCATAATGGCTTCATAATTCATTTAATGGCTTAATATGCTTAATGATCAGTCCACAGCAACGCCTCCAATTTTTGGCATTTCACCGAAGATCTGAGAGAGAGACCACCCACCTCAAGGATAGTCGTGCTGCCAGCAGAATCGACCTCAGGGAAGAATAGACATGACTTTGCCAAATGAGTCAGAAGTCGCCATGTGCACTTAAGGAATGCCTGAACTAACTTCATCACTAACTCCATCTCAAATGTGCATCGCGAGGGAAGTCTGACCGTTCGAAAGGAGCTTCTGTGGACAAGATATGACAAATTGATGAAATTGATACAAATTCTCACGTGGGCTACAAGACTCATGAGTAACTGGACTCATTTTACGGCGAAATGCAAAGCAACAAACGCAGTGCATCCTAACTGCCAAGGATCTCACGGGCAAAAGGACCAGTTCCATTGTTCCATGGCAGCGCTGCAAGGAGAAAACACGGCCGCGGGTCGTCCAAAGTTCAGCACATCTCCGAACGTTGGGTCGCTTTGACATTTTCTTTCGCAAGCCTCAACCTACTAGAGCATCAAGAGCGCTCAGCAAGAAGTCTGACAACTGTGACATATCACAAGTCTCTGCACAACTGCACAGAAGAAGATACTGAAATACATCAACTGTAGCATGTGGCAAAACCTGAAACGGCCCGAGACAGCTCGACTTTTGAGGAGCGAATTGCAGTATGTGTGCAAAAACAATTGCAATGCAGCAGCTTCTCTTGACACGTTCATCATTCTAACAAGGGGATTGTTGTATTTTTTTTATATTTTTTTGTTGTAAGAATCTTCGTAGAACTGCTCAAATACAGTATCTTCATCAGCTTGACGGAGGACAAGCACTGAAAGTGTCAAGAGTCTGTCCAAACTGCCATGTATCCTCGCAACACGGAATAGCGCCCGAAGCTGCCTCTTGCCCTGCACTGCTTCAAGCAGAAAGCGTTCTGAAGAACTGCACCGCACCTGGTGCACCTCCTTTCGTAGAATTTGTATTGACAGTTATTTGCAATGGGACATATAATTTACCGTATAATGTTGTATAATCAACACTGATCAATTAGTGATGTATCTCTTGATATCTGTGAGTGCTTGTCACATGTTGTCACATGTTGTCACATTTGGACATATTGGACTATCAAGCGCCAATGAGACGCTTCAGATCGTCCTATCCGGAGGGATGTTTCATATCGGGCTCAAGATTTGCAGCAAAAGATTGCATCACCTTCATGATGCCAACGGCATGATGCCAACGGGCTGTTGCAGGGATACTCAAACGAATTCTGCCGGGCCTGAGTTCAACAGACAGTGCGTTAGGCCAAATCACCCATAGGACCATGAAAAGGACATTCCATACTTCGCATGCAACACATTGACAACACTCTTTTTTGAGATCAGAGTTGCCAATGGCATCATGCCATGAAACACTTGTAGTAAGTGCTGCACAGTGTCTTTTGCTGATCCAGGCCGCACGTTCGTACCCCATTAACAGCTGCAGTTTTTGCTTTGCTTTGCTTCTGCTTCTTTATCTTCTTTCAGATTCTTTCAGATTCTGCAAACATCGGTGTTTGGTCCGGCTAAGATGGGGACAGGTGGCACCAAAGTCGTCCTGCTGCTTCCCAGCCTCGAAACTGCTAAGCATTGAGAAAAATATTCGGATTGTTTTGGATATTTTGGATGTGTAAAGCATTCTAAAGCATGCTCTAAACGCAGTAAAGCGTGCACGCACTGTATCCGGGCTGCACCTCTTTTGGATTCCAATTGTGCGAAAACAATCTGTAATTTCTATTAACTTCTGAAATAGGAATCCTTGATATTCCTTGCGCATTCCTCATTTCTTGTGCAAAGCACCGGAGTTTGAGCCAAGGAGCTGCCCAGGCATCATCACCACGACGAACGATGAGACATGCAACCTGACCAAGTCTTGCTTTGCCGGCAAACGAGGTAATGTAGAAAAGCAGAAATTGTAAAGAAAAGTGGAAGGGTGGAGAAACAATGCTGGTTTTGGGAAGTCGCCTGCCGTGGAGTGCATTCCCAGTAGGTTTGCCCTTTCCTCCACGCCATGCACACCTGGCAGCAGAAGCAACACGACGCAAAGACTACGTTGAGATGGCAAAGGTTCTACAGGTTCTACGACGCGCACCTCACCGCCCGGCGAGACGATTCATTTATGGCAGACAAGGCAGAAACCTCAGCTCTACTGGCAGCCACTGGCAGCCACTGGCAGCCACTTGCACTTCTCACACTTCTCACACAATGTGCACAATCCACCATGCAACAACAGCCATTGCCCTTTTCAGTTTTTCATGCAACATGCAAAGGGTCACGAAGCTCTGGTCCAGCCACATGAACAGCGCCAGAGTCAGTACATCCAGCGAAGAAGTGAGGAATTTCAACAAACAGAACAAATATGCAACAAGCTGGGCCCCCGTTCAAGACAACTCCCGTGCCATTGCCAATGGCGAGAGACCGCTCCTGGCAGAAGTCTTGCTCAAGTAGAAGTACATATCGGGTTCACATAGGTTCTGTCTGCACAGCATTTGACAGCTTTCACCATAGCAGCCAGCCAGGTGTTCTCTGCCCCCTCTTTGCTTTTGCAACTTTTTTTCCTTCATTTTTTTTTTCAAGCTTTCCAAAGCAACGACACATATCGACACATGATCCAGCTGACAGGGCACCTAAGGAACGAAGCCCACAGGCCGCCAGCCTAGACAAAAGCAGTTGGAACATGATTGAACATGTTTCCAAACAGCTTTGAACGTGTTCCACTTGGGGGGCTGTGTTCAGCCGGTCGGAGCCCAAACCCAGTGTGGGACATCCCTGTTCGACTGCGAGTCACCGCAACAGGCATATACGGCATAGGGCCCCGGACTTTGACGAAGGCGGTGACGAGGGGCGCCCTGAAGACTTCAATCGCTGTCCCAGAACTGCCTTGGAAATTGAAGAAATTCACTGATTCGGAACTGATTCAGAACTGATTCAGATGAATCCAGGACTGTGGGATTGAACCCCTCCGTCCCTATTGAATGTATGACCAATGCTTCCTCAGATTGGGCCATTGGGACTTGGAAGACATGCCAGAAAGACTTGAATCTATAAAACCTATAAAGTTTTCTAAGTGGTAATATCTTAAAATGTAATTGCTGTAGCTCGCAATGCATGTCTTTGCACTGTGTCTTGAAACCAAAGACCCACAAAGAAATGCATGAGCATCATGTGACACATGTGAATCATATATTGATTTTTCGTTCATTTCTCCCAGATCGATTTTGGCAACTCAGCATTCAACTCCGATGATTCGCATTGGAAATGATCGTAGTCCTGAAGCGATGGGCATGCATTGCCTCTTGTTGAAGGCTCTTGAAGCATGTAGACATAGCAATGTGCACATATATATATACAACTATATATTATGCAATGTTATACATGTGTGTGTTATGTATTTGACATGTATGTATAAATATGCATATGCATAGTCATACCTGAGAAGCGGTGGAACGAAAGCCAGCGCTTGTTTTTTGACTCGCGCGGGGGCGCGTGAAACTGAAACTCCACCTCATCCATATGGCATGGCTCAAACATGAAACGCCCCAACATCAACAATTGCTATCGGGTCATAATTTTCCAATCATTAAATGGACCTTTTTAGGGTAAACTCCACGATTTTGTAACTTCTATATCCAATATGTTTCCTACAATGTACTGCGGCATTGTGAAAAGTTCTATCTCAAGTTCCGTAAATCCGCCTTTGGTTGCTCATTTATCTTAAAACAGCGCAAGTTTGCTCCCACCTATTGTAGATAAATAATACCCGTTTTTTTGTGTGAACAGTGGTCATGTGACCTCTCAAAGTCTAAATTGTTTTCTCCCCAGCGTGGTCCATGCTTCTCCGCGAAGTTCCGCAATATTTTGGCCGTACGGTGAGAAATCAAAACATAGCTCTACTCGCAAAATGGGCAGTGCAAACCCAAGACAATATTATAACATACGTAAGAAAGGGTATAAGAACGAATGAAAATCGAGGAAAACAATGCAAAACCCACGGGAAATATAGAACAGTGGCGAACATGCAGTCCAAATCAAAAGTATATATATTTAGGCCATTTACAGACCTGGGTACCCCCCCCCACCCCCCAAGGGTCTGGAAAATAGGTATTTTACAGGAAATGTCGCGGAATAGCATCATCCCTGACATCGATAGAGATAATTGTTTGGCATCCCGGAAAATCTTCTCAGCTATCACACTCGCCAAACATCCCTTTTAAAAGGCACACGTCATTGCCATTAGAAGATTCAAATTCTTTCTCGATGTTTTAGTACAAGATTCACTTTTAGTTCTGTTTCAGCCTTCTCAGTACGGCCTCTTACAATGATATTACAGCATTTGTCTCCTAACCTAGGTGGCTCCTGGGCGCAATCTTCATTCCAATGCTTTGTGACAATAACCAGAGGCCTGGAGCCTATGCATCACTTGACAGTCGACTCAGTTCTAAACCGGAAAGACTATTCCTTCCGTTTACCAGTAGATCGTTTTTGTAGTTCTTATCACAAAACTACCAGAATCAGGGAGGCACCAAAAAACGTCAAACAGCTTTAAGCATTATAAATACTCTAATCTGCAGATTGTATTTATTTTTCTTACTCTGTGAACGAAATCACACTTTTCTAACTTCACACAGATTACCATGAAACCAATTTTCCCATGCAACTCCTAAAATCTTACAACTCATACATCTTTTTTCCTATACCATCCGCATCTTGCTCCAAGGTTTCATGGCAATGTCTTGTACGCGAGTCAGCCACTATTTCCTATCACCAAACTACATTGCTCATCATCTAACATTATCTACAGAAACCAAATCGGATTTCCTGCTCAACGTTTCCGCTCGTTGACATTGTCTTGGTTTTCACTATATTTTTTAAAGCATTTTTTAGTTATAACATTTTCCTAGGTTTTCACTGTATTTTTCTAACATGTTACATGCCTCCTAGCATGTTCACGCGTGTCCTCCATGTTGTACTGTTTTCTACATCGTTTCCTCTAGTTGTTACAAGCATTTCCTAGCTTGTACACCGTTTTCCTAATATTGTCACAACTTTTCTTCCAGTTTCCACTGCTTTTTCTACCGTTTCCTGTGGTTACTTTCTTCTCTTTTGTAGGTTTTCACTGTGTTTTGTCCAGCTTTTTTTATTACATGCTTCCTACCATTTTCACCGCTTTCCTCTATGGCTTTTTGTACCATTTCCTCTCGTTTCCTGCATTTCATGCATTTTCAATATATTTTTCCAAGAGTTTTACCCGTCTCCTTCAGTTTCCGATCGTTTTTGCACCATTTCCTCTGGTTGTTATCGCATTTTCCTGCACTTTCACTGTATTTTTCCAGCATGTTTACTGCATCGTCATAGTTTGTTCCTAGCAGTCGCTCCGGTTTCCTCCATGTTCCAACAGATTTTGGTTGTTATCACATTTTCCTGCCAGGTTGTTATCACATTTTCCTTCACTGTATCTTTCCAGCATTTTCCAGTGGATTTTGCACGATTTCCTCTGATTGTTATCATGTTTTCCTGCAGTTTCTATATCCTCTTCGTGGGTTTTCAGTCTATTCATGCATTTTTAATCTATTTTTCCAAGATTTTTACCCGTCTCCTTTTTGCACCATTTCCTCTGTGCATTTTCAATGTATTTTTTCCAAGAGTTTTACCCGTCTCCTTCATTTTCCGATCGTTTTTGCACCATTTCCCTGGTTGTTATCGCATTTTCCTGCACTTTCACTGTCTTTTTCCAACATGTTTACTGCATCGTCATAGTTTGTTCCTAGCAGCCACTCCGGTTTCCTCCATGTTCCAACAGATTTTGCATGGTTTGTTCCTAGCATTTTCCTCTGATCGTTATCATGTTTTCCTCAAGTTTCATTGTATTTTCCAATACATCCTCTTCGTGGGTTTTCAATATGTTTTGTCCAGCATTTTTTTACTACATGTTTCCTATAATTTTCACCTCTTTCCTCCATAGGTTTTTGCACCATTTCCTCTGGTTGCCTGCATTTTCATGCCTTTTCAATATTAATATTAATCCAGGAGTTT